ACGAATTTTCTCTCCGAGTTAAAGTAAAAAATAACGATGATTTAGTAAAGCGTCGATATACAATATGAATTGATTTATATAGGGGCACCGGGGCCAGGGCGCCTTTGCAGTTGGTCTGGCGCAGCTTATCCCCATAAAGCGTGACTGGGGGATCAGCAGGAGATAACGGCTTCTTCGCCTCCTTCGATATGATTTTCTAATTTATTGACACTGCAGGAAAGCGATAGTTCGGGGACGAGACGCGAAAGGGGCGCGAACGAACCCGAACCGGGGGATTTCTAAAGGTCTATGAGCGAGGGAATTTATGCTAAAAATGGGGATATTTTCGCGTGGAGGAAATTGCGCGAAATTGACGGGTTTACGAGTTAACGGTATATGAAGACGACTTTATGAAATATCCTCAATTAGATTAACGACCGTAATTTCCGGCGTTGTTTTACTGGAAAATATATTTCCCATAAAGCGGGAATTAATATAAATAAAACACCCTCGGGTTGTAAAAGTGGCGAAAACCCCATTTTTATTGAACTAAATGCTTCCTTATAATGCGCACAAAACAGAACACTTGGAAACTAAATAATCATCATGAAAAATGTACTTGGATTTTAAGGGAAATGGAGAGAAATAGAGGGAAAAAAATACCTCTTATCCACTTTTCCGGAGAGGAAAGTGCAATATATTTGTGTTTTGGTCACTGTACGTTCTAGATCTGTAATAATAGTTTACTGTCGTTGGCGTCGGTTGTTAAAAACCCTCTTCTTATAGTCCAGTTACAACAGATTCAGCTTTTCCCTGATGTAGTTACGGAACGAAGGATTTTTTTTAATCTGAAGTAGAACAGGCGTGAAAAAATATGAAGACCTCCCCCGTGGAACAAGGCAAAGGTAGTGGAAACTACTTCGTTCGATAATCGATTAAAATAAGCCGTGCGAAAAAGGTCCATCGGCAACCATCCCTCGGGAACGCATTAATCTTGGCGGTAAGAGGATAGAGAATTTAAGGGTAAGAAAAAAAAATACTCTGACATTTTCTCGGGCGAGTTTCGTTCGGAAAAAATTAAACAAACCACCTAAAGGATTCCGACTCTTTGAAATTAAATCTCGGCGCCCGTAGAAAGTAACGCGATAATCCAATTTCCCTCGCGCGATACCCGGCCTAATTTTTCTATTAGTTTAACTCGTCGCATCGTCTATAGTGCTTAAATTTAAGGATTTCCTTTAAAAGTAAGTTTACGGCCGAAATAAAGAGCGATATATATTTTTTTTGTAATCCCGAATAAAACCGGTTTTACGAGCGGCGCGCTGATGTCTAATTCGAGTTTGATAAAATAGATGCGCCTTTTCACCGCGGTGCTCCGGCTCGAGCTCGGCTTTTCAAAGGTGAATACAATAAATTCCCTTCTTTATATCATAAATATTTAACGACTTTGCGTGCAGGAAGATCCGTTTTAGTTCTTCGTTTTTTACTTTTTACCGAGCGAAAGGAACAACCGTATTATACTTTTCGCTCGGCCTCGAATTTGTTGGAAACTTTACAATAAATTCGAAGTAGCTTTGGGATTCCCCTGCTTTACAATCGAGTCGCAAATTTAAGGCTAGAGTTCGGTAGCACTCGCTATTTTTTCGGGAATAGGCAACCAAAACCTGTTACCAAATCTTTAACAACAACATTTTCTCTCTACTTTTCTACACAAAATTTTCTCTCTACTTTTATGCACAAAATGTTCTTTCTACTTTTATGCACAAAAGATTCTCTCTACTTTCATAAACAACATTTTTTCTCTACTTTTCGATACAAAATTTTCTCTCTATACATTCATGTAACATCTCTCTAATTTTCTGCATAAGACTTTCTCGCTACTTTCCCTGAGAGATTTTTCTCTCAACTTTTCTGCACATTTTCTCTCTACTTTTATGTCCAAAAGTTTTTCTCTACAATACTTTCATAAACAACTTTGTTTCTCTCTACTTTTCTGCACAATATTTTCTCTCTACATTTCTGCACAAAAGTTTTTCTCTACTTTCATGAACAACTTTTTCTCCCTAGTTTTCTGCACAATATTTTCTCTCTACTTTTGCGCACAAAAGTTTTTATGGACAAAAGTTCCTCTTTACTTTTCCACACAACATTTTCTCTCTAATTTTCTGCACATTTTCTCTCTACTTTTTTGCACATTTTCTCTCTACTTTTCTGCACAATATTTTCCCTCTACTTTTATGCACAAAAGCTTCTCTCCACTTTTATGAACAACATTTCCTCTCTACTTTTATGCACAATATTTTCTCTCTACATTTCTGCACGAAAGTTTCCCTCTACTTTCATGAACAACATTTTCTCTACTTTTCTGAACAACACTGCTTTCGACTTCATTTGACGGGGGAAAAGGTCGAACGAAAATTGCAAAAAACAACCTTTTCCCCCCATTTTAATATAGCTTGCCAACAATCGTAGAGAAAGCAGGACATTCACCGAATACCGCTGCCGAAAAACGATCGTTTCAATTAAAATCATCCTACGAGAAGTAATTACGCGACCGGTTACTAAGCAATAAGCAATCAATTCCACGGCGATGTCAGCGCAAACGATTTCATTTGCAGGCGGTGGATTGTCTGCGATTTGGGCGGCTTCGCCGCAACACTTGTGCAGAAGTTCATCTTACGCTCGAAGCGAATGTTAATTGCTGCGACTGTCGAGTTTCCTCTAATTGCCTTATTAGTTAACGTCGGCAAGTGCGTTATTGGCGGGCATTTTTCGAGGACACCTCGTATACAATAAATTTTCCGAAAGCTCGAAATTCCTCTCTGCGCAGATGCTTGTATTTATCAGGAATGATCCGTTCGGTGATTCATAACGTAATTTAGCAACCATAACGAGTTCCTACATTAATTTAATCGCCTCGTAATTAATTGCTTTTGTTCTCTCCCGGGTAAACTAAAAATAATGCTGATTACCAGGGAATTAGGATTTTAATCGCCCGCCGTTTTTTTCAAATTTATTGTTTGGATAATGCGAAAAAATTGGTCAAAACCTTTTAGCAAACGTCTTGTACCTACGTTATCTAATTAACGTAAATAAATATCCTTAATAGGTGCTTCGTTATTGAAGTAAAAGAAGTTCCCTCGTTCCGTTTTACCAATTCGACTAATGGGAGCTAAACGAGGGCCTTCTTTTGTATTTATCCAATTTGGGGCGCTATTAAAATTTCCCCGAGCATTCCGATAAATTCAACGGGCCCACTCGACTATAGTTAGTCGGAAATGGCAAAACACTCGACTTTAAATATCAAAGTATAACGTAAAGCGTTGCCTCTTCGGCTGCACGAGAAACGGTAATTCTTTAACTCGTTATAAGTTATTCAGCACTTCGGACGGGGAAAATAGCGGGCGCGGAAAATTGCAATAGACATCAGAAATTGCGAAAATTACCGAACGCTCCGTTGCATACAAATAATTCGAATTTCCGCCGAACTTTCCGCCGCGGAGTTTGTTGTTAACTCGATTGAAAATTAGAGTATCGTTTAACTCGACTTTCCCTCCATCTGGCCCGAATGTTGTTATTAAGGAAGGGGAGAAATCTTCGAAAATCTCGGAGCAAACTCTTGCACGATAAGCTCGTAAACAAATTCGCCCGTAAACGAAATCTGGCGGTTTCTTCTGCCGGAGAATCTCCTACCGTAATGAAAAAACATGGAGGCTTCCGATCGAGATGGGAAACAAAGCGCACCGCTCGCAATCCAATATATAAAAGCGCGGGGATGAAAGGTTTTACGGCGGAATCTGGTCTAAGCGCTCGCGTTTCTCATGCTCAGAGATCGGGCTGAGACTCCGGCGGCCCGGATTATTGAAAGGCGATCCCGAAAAAGTCCGGCGAGAAGGGTTTGACCTCGGAGATTACCGGATAACTTTTCGTCGGCGGTCGGATTTATTTCGACGTTCGATTTGTTGAATTTTTTACCTATATGCGATTTTCCCGCACGTGCAAAACGCTAAAACCTGATGCCATCCCTCGTATTTTCGTTTTGTTACCGAACGAAATGAATAGTTTGCCTTGGATGTCAAAATTGACATTTTATGTATAATCTGTTCTGATTTGGATTGGGAACTAAAGTGGCATTTTTATTATAGTTAGCCTTGAATGTCAAAATTGACATAAGCAAATTGTTACAATTTTGAAAAGAAACTGAAGTGGTATTTTTATTATTTATAGTAACTAAACTAAAAGCTATTTTTGTGTATGTAAAGGTATTATGTTATTAACTGTATTTTATTTTTTAATCGAAATGATTATCGATACGTTGATAACTTTGATAATAATTGTTAATAAACGTAAACCATCTGAAGTTAGCTACTTATTATAAGTGGACATTACTTAATGACATTTGAAACACTTCAATTACTACAATTTCGCTTAATAAGTTTAAATTGAGTTAAAATAATTAATAAACAAACAACATCTAATCTACCTACTAATAGTTATTTATTATTTAATATTTCAATCGATAGTAATATCTGCTTTGCTAATCTTGTTACCCATTAATAACTATAAACCACCTGAAATTAGCTACTTATAAGAGGAAATTGAGAAAATGATATACAGGTTGTCCCAATGAAAAGTAATTTAAATCAAAAAGTTGTAGCAAAATAAAATGTATCTGCGAAAAACGCATGCTTTAATGATTAGGCGTTTAAAAGTTATAAGCTGATTAAATAGGCTATCTTTTCATTGTGACACATTAATTATGACATTTATCGTAATTTTAAATTGAATAATTAATAAACAAAAAAATTCCAATCTACTACTATTCCCTCGTACTTGTGGTAAATGTCCAACAGGCCCAGTTTCATTGAAACAATAAACGTTTATCAATTCACAAAGGTCAAAGCCTGATGTGGTGCTCGACTATTAATAGAACCATTACGAATTGACTCGTAAACAATTCGACCGGCTCAGTTAATTAAGGTCTTATCATTGAATTGTCCATGTTTTTTTCTGTGTTTCAGTCAAGTATCTGCGAGAAGTGACGCCGTATTTCAGGAAAGCCAGCATAATTTCGGAAGTGGGCTGGGAGCTGCAAAGGGGATTCCTGTCGGGCGCGCCGCCTGTCGTGAGGTCTCCGCAAAGGGCCGACACTCGATATCTGCCCCTGCAATTATGTCATCTGGCAAGGAACTTCAGATTTCCCGATCCAGGTTAGCGAGTTAATTTTACGTGGAACGCTGGAGCGTATACAGGCGAAATTCCAACAACGACATTCTCTATAACAACATGCAAAATAGACGATTCCGAAACTTTCGACCGTCTACTTTCAGTCCGGAATTTTCCAACGAGTTTTCCTTCGACTTCCGCCGCTGCCTCGCGCGACTCCCGCACTCCTAGGCTATTTATTTCGCGCCGCGGGCGCCCGCTCTCTTTTTTTTCCAGTTTTTATTATTCGGCGCATAAATCACGCCCGTCCGACACTATTAGAACAATAGAAAAGGCTCCGCGTTTTGTCACTACATTTCCCGTGTTCGCGAAAAGCGGACTTTTCCCGCCGTCCTCTCTTCCACCGGGCTTTCGGGCCGTTTACCGGTTGCGCTTTTAATTTCGCCGCACCGGCTGAAACGCGAAAATGAACTTTTTCGCTTATTATACACAAATCGATTTTCCTACTGCATAATAACGAAATCTTCTCGTACAGTTCGCTGCACGTACGTTGCATTTTACGATGAGAGTTTAAGTGCAAGTGTACGTATATTTCACCGTAAAGAGATGGTGTATGTTGAGCGAACAATATCCATTCTAAATTACACTCTTTACGGACTTCTCTTCTATACATGCGCGAGTATATTGCTTTTTGATTCTATCTTCCTTCATCTTCCGGAGATATTTAAAAAATAACGAGTCGATAGAGCCACTTTTAAGAGCTCTAGATTCAAAATTGAACCTCGTAGGACACATATTTTTGCATACAGTACAAGGGTAAGGTGAAAAGTTCTTATTAAGACGAAATCTTTACTTCGAGACAGTTCTAAATGATTCTGGAGCGTTCTACATGGTTCTAGAAAATTTTGTGCATAAAAGTAGAGAGAAAATTTTGTGCAGAGAAGTAGGAACAGAGAAAATGTTGTGCATAAAAGTAGAGAGAAATTTTTGTGCATAAAAGTAGAGAGAAACTTTTGTGCATAAAAGTGATCCTAAATGATTCTGGAGCGGTGTACCTGGTTCTAGACAGTTCTATATAAAGCCTCCTAAATGGTTCTGAAACGTTCTAGATGGTTCTAGGCAGTTCTAAATGATTCTGGAACCATCCAGAAAGTCCTAAATGATTCAGGCCAAGAACTTTTCACCCTACCATCGTACATACATAAACTCGTTAGAATAATATACTATATGTGCTTCATATTTTAGTAGTAAAATTTAACTACATGGCTTATAAATATCGGGCGTTCTGTTACATTTTTTTTTTTCGCTATAGAATTATATGGAATTCCCGGCGGTGCGACCTTTCGCATTTTCCGCAGGCCTTAACGCTTGACGGACGTTGCGGGCTTCATCCTATCTACACACACGACATTAATTTCTTTTCATGTTTAAGCGGGGAGCCGTCGTGAAATATGCAGAATCCTTTCATCTGCGATTCTTTTGCGCGAACGGCACAAAAAAATCGTTATAAGGTCGTAAGTAATTGCTTTCGACTTTGTCCTTTTATCAATGGAAATGGATATAAAGCTCCTGCACGAGACAGTGTTGTGAATTGTGAATGATCGTTTTGCGCTCTTTGTTTATAGTCCGGGAAATGTTTCGTGAAATTTTATAGATCGAATAGAAGTACATAATATCTAGATACTTTTAGAATTATTGGAAATGAAACGAAAATATTACCTTAAGGAATAGCGATGATACCTTTTCCATTTCGAATCGAGCCTTTGTAGAGATTTTTAATCGCCCTTCCCGACTTTAACCAAATATTATCTTTTCTTTTCTCTCCGGCGTTTCCGGAATCGCTCCGGCTTCCTCCGTTCAAGATCCGGAATATTTATTCAACAGGAAAACAAACAGGCCATTGTATGGGCGGGATCGCCAATTACAATGGAATTATTATCGGGCGTTCGGAATTCCCGAATTTTCGGGCCGGAATTTCCCAAAGAGAAATAAGTCGAGGGGCGAAATGCAAATCTCCCGCCCTAATTCGTACGTTTCTCGCATTATTTACTAACCAATTGACCCCGCGTACGCGCCCTAACGTGTCCTACGCACGCAGGAACATGTGCAAAAATTTCGATTGTCCTCGTTAAATTTCCATAATATTTTTGTGGAACATAAGGAAACGCTAATCGATTGAACAATAGAATACGTCTTATTCTACCTGAAGAAATTCAGATTTATACAAAAATATTTTGTTTTTATGGTCATTAATTATACAGGATGTCGCAAAACTTTTTGGGACACCCTATGTATATTTATTTTCCTAAAAAATCATCGAAAATTGACGTGTACTCGTTGTACAGTTGAGTCGAGCTTGGCCGGTGCTTTTTCCCTCGACTAAATCAGACTCGAGGATGCGGTGAACGTGGAGCAAAGTTAGAGAACAAACTTTGTCGCTAATTACCATGTTAATTAACGTTATAAATACCGCGAAACACCATAAACTATGTCGTTTCGTCCCGACGTTGCGCCTTTTACATAATTCGATATCAAAACCGGCGACCCCTGAATTCCCGGGCCGATGCTTCGCCGACCCGCGCTTATTACAAGTTCCGTAATGCATCGAGACGGTGGGATTATATTTTCGTTTTCGGTCATTCCAGAAAATCGCACGTTAGAACTGCATTCTCCGGACGCCATCCACATATGCGTGCTGCGCGCTGCCGATCCGGCCGAAGCCATCACTTGGTTCAATACGCTGCATTCCGCCTTGTCGGTGCTCACCACGGCTGCATTACACGACGCTTCCAGGGCCATTCCGGACTTGAGGCACATCGGATGGTTGCTCCGACGACCCAGGACTGAGGTGGTATTTTCGTAATAATTTTAAGGGTTCTTGGTCACGATTACAATTTACAAATTCGTGGTAGAGATGAGCAGTGTTTGCGGGAGTTCTTTTTATATCTTTCGTTGGTACATGGTAGCTTCTACTCTGGGTTTTGAAATCGAGAAATTTTTCTATTAGTATGCATTTATCTGAATTTTAATCCCACAAGAATTCCTGCAGGAATTCCCCACTTTTCCTCCTCTACTCTACTCAACTCTATTCTACTCTACTCTGGGATCTGTTCTAAATCTGAAAACTGAAACTGAAACTGAAGCGAATCTACTTCGAATTTACTCCTAATTTCTATAATAAATCTTCTCCTGATCCACTCTTAATCTACTCTGAATCTATCCTAACTTCACTCTGGATCTGCTCTGAATCTAAATCTCTGAAATTTCTCTGAATCTACTTCAAATCACTATTCTGAATCTTCTCCTAATCCACTCCTAATCTACTTTGAATCTATCCTAATTTTACTCTGGATCTGTTCTAAATCTAAATCTCTTAAATTTCTTTGAATCTACTCTGAATTTACTCCGAATTTGTACTTTGAATCTTCTCCTGATTCACTCATAAATCTACTCTGAATCTAAATCTCTGAAATTTCTCTAAATCTACTTTAAATCACTATTTTGAAATTTCTTCTGATCCACTCCTAATCTACTCTGAATCTATCCTATTTTTACTCTGGATCTGTTCTGAATCTAAATCTCTTAAATTTCTTTGAATCTACTCTGAATTTACTTCTAATCTCTATTATGAATCTTCTCCTAATCCACTCCTAATCTACTTTGAATCTATCCTAATTTTACTCTGGATCTGTTCTAAATCTAAATCTCTTAAATTTTTCTGAATCTACTCTGAATTTACTCCGAATTTCTACTTTGAATCTTCTCCTGATCCACTCCTAAATCTACTCTGATTCTATCATAATTTTACTCTGGATCTGCTCTGAATCTCCTCCTGATTCACTTCTAATCTACTCTGAATCTATCCTATTATTTTTACTCTGGATCTGTTCTGAATCTAAATCTCTTAAATTTCTCTGAATCTACTCTGAATTTACTTCGGATTTCTACTTTGAATCTTCTCCTGATCCACTCCTAAAGCTACTCTGAATTTATCCTAATTTTACTCTGGATCTGCTCTGAATCTCTGAAACTGAACCGAATCTACTCTGAATTTACTCCTAATCTCGACTCTGATTCTTTTCCTGATACAATACTAATTTACTCTGGATCTGCTCTGAATCTAAATCTCTTATATTTCTCCGAATCTACTCTGAATCTTTTCCTATTCGAAACCTAATCTATTCTGAATCTACCATAATTTTACTCTGGGTGTGTCTAAATCTAAATCTCTTAAATCGCTCTGAATTTACTCCTAATCTCTACTCTGAATCTTCTACTGACCCACTCCAAATCTTCTCTGAATCTATCCTAATTTTACTCTGCATCTGCTCGGAATCTAAATCTCTGAAATTTCTCCCAATCTACTCTGAATCTACCCCGATTCTTCTCCCGATCCATTCCGAATCTACTCCGAATCATCATTTATTTTATACAAAATCTTCCCAAGATTGTACCAAGTATATCGAACCAACATTTGCTCTGTTCCAGACGATGTCCAGCTCGGAATCCTCCGAAGACATGGACAGATGGACGTCGGTGTTCGCCGCCGTCACCGACAGCGAGCTGCGCTTCTACGAGAGCGCCCCGTGGTCGGGCGAGGCGTGGCGCGCCCCCGCCGAGGCGTACTCGCTGATCGCCACGCGCCTGGTGGGCTCCGGCAAGAAGGTGGAGATGCCCGAGTTCAGCATCCGCTGCGCCCTCGCCGAGGGCGTCGTGGCGCACATGCTGCGCGCCGAGACGCACCGCGACCTCGCCGCCTGGGCGAAGGCCCTGGTGAACGGCAGCCACGCCAGCGCCGTCACGCAGAGGGAGCTGGTGTGCAGTAAGCGATGCGAATGCTCGTCCTTGCGTTCTGAATTTATGGCGATTGCGTTTCAGGGTGCGTTTGGAAGGGAAGGCCGGTGCAATTGGTGATACATTACGAGAACGGGTTCACGTTGCTGGACGTGGGGACGGGGTCGAAGACGCTGTGGAGGTATCCCTTCGACAGGCTGAGGAATTCCTCCGACGACGGGAAGCGGTACCTCTGGTTGGATTTCGGTATCGAAGGGGAGGACATCGTAAGTGTTTGCGTGATGGTATTAATCACGGGTTATAAGTGTACGAATGAAAATCGATCGGGTTAATTATGATTATAGTCTGGAAAATCGATGATTCGAGAATAATTACATACTTCACGTAATTACCGCATGGTTTTTTTTGTGTTTTTTAGGAGTTGGATATGGAAGGGTGTCCGAAACCGATCGTATTCATCTTACACAACTTCTTATCTGCCAAAATCCATCGACTGGGCTTGACGGCTTGAGGGCTGCGCAAAAAACACGGGAGAAATCTACTTCTCTAACGATTGACTCGAGTCAATTAATAATTGTACAGAAGATTATCCGCTAAACTAATTCATAACGTGAACAGTATTAATACTCAACAAGATCGACAAGCGCGAATGGAAAGATTAATGTTGGTTTGGTAATTAATCAAAATATCGTTGATTTTTATGGATGCGTCGTAACTTCCTCTCTGTATCGATGATTTAAATAAAAACAAAATGAAGTTTGGAATTATCACGTTGATTGGGGTTTGTTGGATTGGAATGGATAAAAAATTTATCAGACTGTATCAATTTCAATCAAAATGTTGAACAAAATAAATAAACAAAAATTCTGTATGTTTGTACATGTTGGGTGTTTTCTCGTACTCATTATGTCCTACTTAAATTAACCTGAAAGAATTTGCCTATAAAAGAATTTACATATTAATAAATTAATTTAAACTATACTATTAAACATTTTTGTATTAGTATCTATTACAATTGTATTAAGATAGGCAACGAAACGACTCTCTTGTATTTTTATTATATCCATCATTGAGTATAAATAGATGATTTTATACTTTTATATTTAAGTCATGAAATTGTTTATAGTTAACTCTCCAACGTAGATGAATTAAGTTAGCTTTATAGCCTCTAAAAACGATCGATTTGTAAACTGTTTTCTCAAAATTACACTATAAAGTAACTTAATACATTTTTGTATATCTCTTACTAAAAGTAAGTATCATACATAGTCCATTTTCTCGGTATGGAAGAATGAAAGGTCATCAAATGCTTTTATCGTTAAAAGTAAGGTATAGAACAATTGGAAGAATGGTTAGTGAATTTTTTGTAAATACATATTACCTAATGGTCATGAAAAAAAAAATGTTGTAGAAGCAATAAATTATAACAGTTACATCTGGTCGTTTTATTATCGTTGTGTGGAAACTTTCCAAGTATCGCATTAAAAAATTAAAATGCAAACGAAGACCGTGTGCCTCTGTGTATATCTGCATACAGAAATGTAGGTACTTAATGAAATGACGCAACTTCAATGAGCTTTTCTATTAGCGTTGCTCCGCTAATATTTCAAACTAACAACTATAACACACCAGGACGTTTTAAAATAAATACTACTAATATTTTAAGTTACATGTATGAGTAAATAGGTATGTTATTTGTTTCATTAGACATATGTGATTAAATAAACAATTTTTTCTTTCGAAATGTACTCCAAATCTATTCTCAGTAACTCAAAATCAATTTACTGTGAATCCAGTCCGAATCTAACTCTACCCTGAATCTACTATGAACCCACTCTGAATGTACTCCGGATCTACTCTGGATTTATGAATATACTCCGAATCTGATTCTACCCTGAATCCACTATGAATCTACTCTGAACTTATTCTACTCCGAATCTAATTCTCCCCCGAGTCCACTATGAATCCACTCTGAATTTATTCTACCCTGAATCCACTATGAATTCACTAATACTTTATATAAACATTTTTTTGGAATATAAGGAAATTTTCGTTGCTAATTATTTCTTAACCCTGCAAATATTCGAAACCTTCGATTAACTTAAACTAACAAGCGATGCTCTCCGTTAATTATGCGATAAGGAGTCTCCTTATTAAAGGTTTCGCAACCGCAGTAGATAAGTTTTAACTTGAACATTCGGAGCTGCAGTTTGGTCTGGTTTTTTTTTCAGAAACGGGAAGCCTCCCGTCAAAACTGAAATCGCGCTGATAGCGGTTAAATATTTACTTACGCGTACAGTGCTAGTGGCTTTGTGCATAAATTTACAAGAAAAAAAAACTCATTTGAAGGTACACCATCATTACCCGCCGACTACGATTTTATAACGCCTAAAATTTAAATGAATTAGCATTATTCATGACGAATAGCTGGTTAATTTATTCGAAAATACTAGCAATAATCGAGCATCGGAATAACAGTACAAACGTATAAATAACGCGAAATTATTTTTTTTAACGTACGTTTTATTATCAATATTATTAGCAGCCGAAACGAAAATAATCTGAATACCAATAAATGTTTCCTCCAGATAGTATTTAAATGCGATAAAATATTGTTTTGCTCGTTGAATGTATTTTCCCGAAACTTGCAGTTCGTGATCTCGCGAAACTTTGAATAGTTATTTCGGAATTTTTCAATTTATATCAACACAATATAATTTAATTTCGAGCATATAATTATCTGAGTGAAATTTTTAATCAGCAGCGCGTGTTCAATCACACAAGGATACAAATTATTTCTATAATAAATAAATTATCCAGGAATGTAATGAGACAATAAGGATTGCGGGAAATAACAATCACCCTGTAAGTGTGTGCTAAAACGTATGGATTTGCTGTAAAAATCCGTATAATTCGATTATTTCGCGCTTATGTATCATCGGAGATTGGTTTAGTTTATATGAAAAAATAAATCGTACTGTAATTGCAGATAACTGGTGTATTGGTCGTGATTATCGTTTAGTTGTTATGTGATACTCTGCGCTAATGTTCGAGAGGAACAAACTGTGAGTATTTTTTCACAAAATCGATTTAGTAGTGGTTTCTAAGTAAGATTTAATTACTCGATGGGTATTTTTTTGATAATTTATTGGTAAATATTTCAGACAATGTTTTATTTGCTTTCTCACATTGTAGACATGTCTTGAATACATATTTATTTTCTAGTTTGGATTTAATCGGTTTATTATATTATACTACGTTTTATTGCCTATTAATGTTTGCATTCAAATATTAATTAAGCCCTATAATTAGGACAACTTTTAATTCTAAATTTTCTTAATCCTATAAATTATTGAGATTAAAATCTATAAGGTTCATGAAAATCAGGAATTTGTAATACATAAAAATTACATCATTTTTATGTATTTAAGTACAGCACTTATCTTGGAAGCAGCACAAGAGGTCTTATTTGTTGATAAACATTTATACAAAACTATTTTATGAGTATTAAGTGATTATATAAAAATCAATTAGTATATTATGGTAAAAATTTTTCATACTTTTTACGATACGAAACACTTTTGTACATTCAGTGAAATTAGTCATAAAAAACGTTACCTAATTGGTTTAGGCACAACACAAAGTGCTTAATTAAAACGTTTAATAAACATTTTTCCCGTTCAATTTACTTACTTAAAATAAAGGATACAATTATAAATATACGAAATTATTACATAAGCAAATTTTCCATTAGCAGAAAACTCAATTTAGCTAAACGCCTGTTAAGTTCTGTTTGTAAATATATGCGAATACTCGCGACACTTCGGTGCTTCCTATAGGTACTTTCGTTCGAATTTGAATAAATAAAAAATTAGTGAAACGAAAATGCTTCCGCGGAAATTTACATTTGCTTTGTGATAAATCGGGCGATACCAGAAATATATTTGTTACATATTTTTTCCAAACTAAAATAGAATTTTAAAGTTCACACGTGCCTATCTTACGGAAGAGGTATGTTTCTTTATTAATAATATTAATATTAATCCGTGAAATAAGTAAATATAACTCGTTAAACGTTTGTAATGGAACATTTTGAGTGCAAACTTAAATATTAGAAAAAAATTATAACCAGGTGTTGCATATTTTATGTTAAAATATTCCCGGTATTTAACATTGCATGTAATTTGCATAAAATAAGTATGTATCGGTTTTATAGGAGTTCTAATAATTCAAATAATAGTCTTCATTAGTACTGAAAACAATAGCATAAATAAATAAATAAAAAGTAATAGCACATCTTGCGTAATCGAATAAAAGGATTAGTAAATAAATATTATTGCAAAAACGTAATACTCATAAAGCTCGTTACATAAAAGTATCGACATATTCCCCGACAGATTTTCCTGGTTTAATAAGAAATTTATTATCGAGAGAGATTATTGTCATATAAAAAGATAAAGCCGATAAAAACTCTTAACTCGTCCAATCAATAAATAAATTAGATAATACTGTACCTTTCGCTCCACAATCAGCAACTCGAACAATTATTTCCCAGTTAAGGAAGCTGCATCATCCATTACACTCGACGATTTCGGTAAATATAAACAAATTACCATTTTATTTTAATTGTCTCATTAACTAATAAGCAACTATCATCGAAATCAATCGATTAGGTATGGGTACTTGTATTTTATCATTATGGAATTTTAACTGTAATTATTAGGTATGAACTATAATAGTGCAAATATAGTGATAAGTGTGTATCTAGTTTGAACTATATGCAATTCAATATACCATTAATTACGTGTAAGGACAAATATATTAATTTTTTTGGTTCTAATATTTCAAAATTATAACCTAACAATAAGATATTGTTTCTATTGAAGGTCCTATACTTTATATAATTAGATTGCTACATTTCAAATAAAATTGTGTACTTACTAATTTCCTATCAAGTTTCGTCATTATCCTCAACATTTATTAAGGCAATAAAAATTAGCAATATAGATCTAGAGTTCCAATAATAAAATTTACGAGTTCCGCACTTTACCCAGACTTATTTTTATTTGTTTGCGAGCCAATAACAATGCATTAGAAACGTCAACAATCTTATCTGTAGCGACAACATGACTCAATTATTTGTCAACCTGAAATTCAAAATTTTCTATCCACCAGCGCATCGCCTTGATTTCGTGTATTTATGAAAGAATCGGCGATTTTCACGGACAGATCGCGCTCCCAGTACCGCCGGGCATCCATGATTCATCGACGATCGATCGAAGGCAATAGCACGCGATGGCTCACGTACCCGTAAAGAAGAGGAAAGTCTCCCACGAGCACGACATCCACAAGTTCCAAGGCAAGGAGTCGATCATCACCTCGCAGATCGAGATCTACGTGGAGGAGGCGCAGCCGAAGATACCCGACGGCGGATGGGGCTGGATGATCGTTCTCTCGGCGTTCGCGCTGAACGCCATCTCCGAGGGGGTGAGCTTCTCCTTCGGGCTGCTCTACATGCAGTTCGTCACCGAGTTCAAGGGCTCCAAGTCAGCCACGTCGTGGGTGGGCAGCTTGTTTCTGGCCGTACCTCTTCTGGCCGGACCCGTCGGTAGCGCCATGGTTGATAGATACGGCTGTTTGAAGATGACCGTGCTGGGCAGTTTGGTTTGTACCACTGGATTCGTTCTCAGCATGTTCGTGAACTCCCTATCGGCTTTGTACATCACATTCGGAATAATCGGAGGCATCGGTGGGTACTCAAACCGAATCCTAATACCAACTAACTACGATTTTCTCCAGGAAGAGCTCTGACGTTCGTCACGGCGGTGGTGTCGATAGCGTTTTGGTTCGAAAAAAAGAGGGCCATCGCGCTGGGTTTGGCCGCCAGCGGTACCGGCGTGGGTACCATAGTGTTCGCGCCGCTCACCACCCTTTTCATCAACGAGTACGGCTGGCGGGGGACCATGCTGATGCTGGCCGGGTGCTTCCTGAACATGAGCGTGTGCGGGGTGATGATGCGGGACCCCGAATGGATAGTGCAAGAGTAAGTTTGGAGTCGGTTTGGCGCTCTCGAATTTCGACCGATCGAATCGAACGATGTGTTGTGTCACTAACGGCGTTTCGGCAGGGAACGCGCGAAGAGGGAGGCCAAGAAGATCGAGAAGAAGAAGAAGAAAGCGCTGAAGGAGAAGAAGAAGGTGAAGAACGACGAGTTTCTGTTGCAGAGGGTCAACACGTCCTTGGATCTTACGGAGAAGAATCGAATCCGTTCGGTAATCGATTTACCGACGTTTGTTAGAGAAAATGAAAAGGTTGGTTGACTTTGCGCATCAATTTACATCACTAATCCATTCGTGTTTGTGATTTCAGCTTCCCGTGGAAGTTATTAATAAATTAAGCGAGAATAAGCAAGTGTATAAAATAATTTTAGAAAACTATCCCAGCTTGTTGAAGACCAAAAGCACGTCCACACAAGAAATCCACAACATTGAGAACCACAATAATGCGAGCAGAGTTCCGGTTAGGTTTTCGCTAGCCGTGCAAAAAACCGAAGATACCATCATGGAGGAAGACGAAGAAGAAAACGAAGAAGAAACCAACAATTACCAAAGCCCTCTTCTCGACGCCATCACGGAGGCCAACGAAGAAGAAGAGCCGCACAGCTACCTGCAGAGCATCCTTTTAAAAAGGAACAACACCATATCGAATGGTATCGGTAACGTTGGTAATAGCATCAAAGTTACCATGTCCAGTCCCGATATGTACAGCGTATACAGAAGTACAGTGACTAATGTTCCAACTAAGAAAGTAAAAAAGGTATCAATAATGGGGTACATGTCATTTCAGAATATTTTAAATTTCGCATTTCAGAAATGGTACGTTCAATTCTACAAGTCGGTCACGAGCATGTTGGATTTTTCGCTGTTTCTGGAGCTGCACTTTTTCCTCCTATCTCTTTCGACCACCATCTTGTTCATATGGTTCATCGTGCCTTATTTCTACATCGCCGAGTACATGACGGACATTGATTATACGGAATCCCAAGCGTCTTTCGTGTTATCGGCAATAGGTTTCACTAATACCATCGGAATGGTGAGCGATTTTATTTTTGTACCGAAATACCGATTGATAAGAGACTATCATCCGCATTCAGCATTTTTTTGTTAAAGACGCGTTATTGAATTGTGTGACAGTTTTACATTGTTGTTACGGAGTAACTAAGGAGATTCTTTCAGTTGACAGTTTTATCTTGGTTGTTATGGAGTAACCAAGGAGATTCTTTGAATTGACAGTTTTGCATTGTTATGGAGTAACTATGGGCATTGTTTAACTTGACAGTTCCTCATTCATCGCATAATCAAATCGCAGGTGGCTAAGACGCCACCTACGATGCCAGTAAATGCTCTTCAAGCATAAAAAAATTCCATAGTAGAAGTTTGAAATGGACAACTACTGGTACCTGATTTAATACCAGTACACTCACATCCTATTACCCCATTGCAGGTGTTTCTGGGCTGGGCTGGGGAGCGAGTGAACATCGCGAAAACCTATGGTATTTGCATAATCCTATGCGGAATTAGCATAGCGTGCATCATATGGTTCTCCAGCAACTTCGTGATGCTGGTGATAGCGTGCGCTAGTTTCGGTCTCTTTTTCGCCAGCTGTTTCTCGCTGCTGCCCTCTTTGTTGGGGGAACTGGTGCCGCTGGAGGACTTCACCATGGCCTACGGGCTGATATTGCTCTGTATGGGAGTGGGAAATCTCGCAGGACCGCCTTTAGCAGGTGAGTTGAGCCCCCAAAAAATACATCTTACGGATTCTAAACCTTGTTTGTACTCGTTTAAGGTTTCCTCTACGACTTGACGGACTCGTGGGTGCTGTCTTTTTACCAAGCAGCTGGTTGGATTATATTAAGTGGAGTATTAATCGGTTTGATAGCGTTCACGAAGAACAGGAAATTGGGAGGATCGCCTCTTAACAAAGCGTAGAAAGATATTTATTATTATTATTTTTGTTAAATATAATAGTTATGTAAAAATAAATTTTAAATCATCCGCTATTTTTTTGTTGTCGACGTCCGAGCGGATCGAACCGAAATGGACGTTTCAATAAAACAGGTGTTGAATTTTTCATTTCGCCCGCGTTGTAGCTTGAAAGGCAGTTAAAAAATACGGCGTATTTAAAAATAAAATTTATTTGCGACAATAATATTTAAAGTGGTAGTTAAAATGTATTGTACGATTCGTAAAATCCGAAATAAAAGTTCGCGTTCGGTGATGTGTATATTAAAATGTAAAATCGCGCGAAAAAATATTTTACCTTCCAAAGAACAAGCTGTTAAAAACGAACTTATTATTAATTAATTCGAGTGAAGTATATTTTGATCTTATAGCTAAGAGTATACAGAAATAGAAATAAAATTAACCAGAACATCTACCAGATCCAAAAGAATAATAGAGAGTATAGAAATAATATCAGAAGAATCAACAAAATCCATCTAAAACAACAAGGAAAACTCAAAAAGAATCGTGGCAAGCCTCGATGACCTTCGGGCAATATTTCTTAGCGAAATACATGTAAGGCGCGCCCGAAGTCAAAGGAAGACTCGTTCTCTCGCTGTGCTTGTTCCAAACGTGCACAGCGACGCTGTCTTTAGCCATATTAAGTACAGCTTTCGTAGAGTTTTCATCGAAGTACATCTTCCACTTTTCCCAAGGCACAGGATAGAACGTGTGAGGAGGATACGCGGTGAAGCCACCGCAATCTTTACCGATCATATCTTTAGCCAGTTGCACCCCACAAAGAGATTTCAGCAATCTGAAACCACCACACACGCTGTGCCTTTAACTAGTCAGGAAGTAGGTACGAAAGTAACAACCAAATAGAAGAATATGATAAAATATTACCTTGTTATGACACCAGGACCATTGTTACCCCAATCGTGGCCGTTGAAGTTGTGTTTGAGATCATCCACGCATTTCTCGGCCATCTCGTGGCCTTTGCCTGTGGAGTCGAAGCTCAACACACCGGCTGCAACATTTTTATTCGATTCAATTCCAGCATAATTCGGCTGTATATCTTCCAAGCTTTTCGTAACTATTACATCCAAATCTAAGTAAATGCCGCCGTATTTCCACAAAGTAAGGTATCTACGAGATAACAAAATATAATCGATTCGTATGCACACATTAAATGCTTACCTAAGTACATCACTAGCATGAGATTGTGCATATATCGAGTCTTCTATTTTACCGGAGGTATAGAGGTTTTCGAGTGGCGTTCCTTTGGTGTATTTTTCGTAATCCAAATGGAACATTTTGATGTTATCGTAAGTTGAGAGAGCTTTTAAAATATCATCGGATTCGTCGCCTTCGAATTTAAGTAAACCAGGAGAGGTAAACAGTAAGTAAACATCGTAATTCGGATTCGTTCGAGCCGCGCTTTCTACAGCGCAGGCCTGTCGAGAGGATATGAAAATTTTATCGTACAAGAAAGATTTGCACGATGTCTCGTGGAAGAAAATCGACTTTCCCTTACGAGGCGTGATATCGGTTATTTCGGGAAGAGATTCCGTTTGAATTCGATAACAGTAAATACTACCTGAGGGGTAGAACAAGCGATATATCTTGAAAGGTAGGTACTGAGTTTCGAACAATATCACTAACAACGTGGCTACGCCGAAACACAGCAATATATTGAAACATTTTCGTTTGTGCACGTAAAATATATTCATAGTTTAGATATTCCAAAACGCAGTAATTGCATGATTAACAACAAACTTAAATTTGAGATTCATAACCTAACTTGGATTTTTAAATAAACAAGTCATTGTCAATGTCACTGTCAAAAATTTTTATCTTGGTTGACTTGTTTTAGTTAGGAAACCAATTACTTTCAAAAATTTAAAATAAAATCTGTATTGAATATACATTCAAATTTATGCTTAAAATATTGTAAAACAATTCGTTAGTAATGATTTCATAAAATAAATAATGCTAGATAAGAATTGGTGGTTTATTTTTTTACCTGATATATAGGCAACACAAATTTCACTTTTGTGAAAATGATTGCCTATTATAGGTAGGTACTTGAAAAAAATATGAAAATGAATAAATTTTCGTAATTATATTACCATTTTCTATGAAAATTTGTAAGAAATATTTGCAGCAAGTCCATATTATAATACCTGTAAGAACTGAAATGTCAATTTCCCATTTCAAAATTAATGCTGTTAATTAACGAAATTCCCTAAGAATTCCAGGAATTCCTCGGGAGCGCGCCCGCCGTTCGAAAAAAACGCTGAGTGTGAACCGAATAATCCGAAAACGCGGTGTTAATAAGCACCCTACAAAACCTTGGAACACTTTCGAGAACTCGAACCGTTTCGGAAAATTTATGGGCCCCCATCTAATTTTCTGTCGTTTATTAATTTTAACACATTTGTATAAACAGGGCATTTATTATTATACGGATACCTACTACAAAGTTAACTGAAACAACGACGCTGAAAGAGATTCGTGTAAAAGGTCTATTAACAGGGGTGGATTTATTACAATGTAATGAATAGAAATATATAATTTAGGGAATAAAGGAATGGGGAATTATCTAATGAATTAATGGTATAGAAAATGGTTTTGTCAGGCATACAGTTAGAATAATAGAAAATAGAAAATTATTACTTTTGTATGGGTAACATTTATTGTTTGAGTAGGATACTTTATATAGTTTCTGGGATTGGGATAAGATTTAGCAGAAAAATAAGATTAAAATTATGGTAGAAGTTTTTTTGTTAAAGAGTAGAGAGAACTGTAATTATTATTCATGCTGTTGTTACTTATTAGGTAGTAAATAGATATGATTTTAAAAACGAACAGAAGTCTAATAAATACAATTGAATACACTCCTGTATTTCTACATCCTCTGCCGCTGAACGATTTTCAAAACATTACTGAAAAATGTGTTTAATTCCCCATAATATTAATTGATCTAATTTCTCAAGCAGTCAGAAATCATATTTTGATGCAGGTAGAAGAAGATTAGTGTTTTTTCGACCTGTGCGACCACTTTTACATAAAGAATAAAATACGATCTTAGCGCATGATGAATTTATGAGACAGGATGAAAAGTGGACCTTGTCTAGCTCAAACAGCGGCGCGCGTTTCACGAAATTTGACTAATCGACGATCATTTCGAATTTTCGATGATCCCAAATCCGAAATTTCCTATAAGATTGACAGTGTAAAAAAGGCACCTTTACCTAAAACATGCAATTTACTTGCAACAGAGAATCGTGCTGTTACAATTCATCCGCGTTGAAAGGAATCCCGGCGAACAAAACTAGCTCGTTCCTCGATCACGGTGGGCCCCGCACGAAGACCGACCGTCCACAATATAACAGCTAGGGCGACGGTGAATAGCTAATAATACAAATTAATTTACCATAACGGGTGTGGACTTTTTGAGAACCCAACGCCGCCCCTACTTGTCACATATTTTACCCATTGTATTTGTCCCTGTCGCAAGTTGCACGTTGCAGCCCGACCGAGCCAATCGCGGCGCAAATAACGAGCACGATTTAACGATGGCGAACAAGAAAACCAAACGATTTATTATTAACACTTGGCGCAATTACAAAGAGGTTTGTTTCCTGATGTATGATTACGATTATCTATCTACTGTGGAAGGATGGTTGAGCGTAATTGCAGCGATGTAGGAGATGAATGGAGATTTAAAATTTATGAAATTATGCAGGGTGTTAGTTAATTGAGTGCCGATACTTCAGGATGTGAATATTTAGGTGATTTTAAGAAGAAAAGTTTAGATCAATACATGTCCTAAACCTCTTAGTTTTCGAGCTACAGGGTGTTACAGTTTTAGAAAAAAATAACTTTTCTATCATAATTTTCTAAGTTTCCGGCGTGGACGTCTCTGGTAATAGATGAAAATTAATTTTCTGGTTCTAATATCTGGTGTAATAAGAAAATTATGATAGAAATGTAATTTTTTTTCTAAAATTGTAACACCCTGCCTCTCGAAAACTAATAGGTTTAGGACAAATATTGATATAAACTTTTCTTCTTAAAATCACCCAAATATTCACATCCTGAAGTATCGGCAATCAATTATTTAACATCGTGTAAATCCTTTTTGGGTAGTACTTTATCTTTGGTCCTTTATCGGAATTTTCCACCAAAAAATAACAATTCCTAATTGAGTACCTGCCTGAAAACTTCAGTACAGAGTGTATAGAGAGAATAAGATGAAGAGAATAAGTAGAGAGTGGAGTAGATGAAAGTTAGAGAGTAGAGAATATAGAATAGACAGTAAAAAGTAGAGTAATATGGGAATTCCTGCGCGGGATTAGTGCAGCATCTGCAGGTAACAAAATTTCCGGTGCGGAGTTTCGCTATCTGATCAAAAATTCAGGTAAAATCATTACGGAATTCCGTTGCGCCCATATACCCATAGGATATTATAAAATATTAATAAAAAAGTAGTAACGGCAATAATTTCGCAACGTAACTAATTAGATACAATAAAATCGAAGCAATGTCGATAGCAATTAAACTATTTTAGTGCGTTTCGCGAACGGCTTTGGTCCGTCATATCAATTAGTCGAAACTGGTGCGTTTTGCAGCTGGCCCGACACCGGTACCTATATGTATATTAATCCACTGCGTATAGCTTCGAAAAAAAAGCGCACTTCCAGCTAAACGAAAACTCCGAGAACAATAAAATATCTAGTAGGTTCGGACGTATTGTTGAAACAATGAAAACGATTAATATTTTGTTTCGTCGGCACGGCAAAGCATTTTTCGATTAGCGTGAAGCGTGCACGCTCACGCGCCGATTCCGAAAGAGATTGGCTCGCTTCGCAGTGGAAAAAAATAGTACCTGCAAATGTGCCGCTGAATTTTGCTTTACGATCGAATTCGCCTTAAAATATACGCTAATATACAATCGAATTTCCACCAATCATCAATCATCTATTCCTAATCTAATGAGCTTAATCATTAACTGATAATCAATGCTCTGAATCTTGAATCTTGAATCTTGAATCTTGAATCTTGAATCTTGAATCTTGAATCTTGAATCTTGAATCTTGAATCTTGAATCTTGAATCTTGAATCTTGAATCTTGAATCTTGAATCTTGAATCTTGAATCTTGAATCTTGAATCTTGAATCTTGAATCTTGAATCTTGAATCTTGAATCTTGAATCTTGAATCTTGAATCTTGAATCTTGAATCTTGAATCTTGAATCTTGAATCTTGAATCTTGAATCTTGAATCTTGAATCTTGAATTTTGAGCAAATACGGGGTGTATCTACCATTCAATTGTCAAATGCTATTATCAGCATTATCAGTTGAATTTTTGTACTCTCGGTACATTTAGGCTTAGTTAAATTGTTTCCTTCTAACTCATCTAGCATCACATTTTTCGAGCGGACATTCAGTGTATAATTAATGCATTTGTGTTGTTAATGGGATTGCACTCGTCTCGTTTACAGTACTGTCGATCTTCCATCACCGGCTCGGGTCGGACTTTAAAATACTGAGAACTTTAATTAACTTAGAAGGTAAGTACGTTCGGTCACAATGCGGACGAGGTACGAAATCTTCTTAAAAGTCTAAAATAAGCCGTCAAAAATCAACGAAAACTGGTTCTACGGTTTGTGGAAGATAAGGCGATTCCGAGTGTAAATGAAACGTCGACTTACAAACTAAATGTTGACGTTTTGTTAAAAACATGTCGTCAATTGTGCGTCGCTAATCCGACGCTCCCGCTGCGCCCGAGACCCTTTTTCACAACACGGAAACCTGATGGAAATTATCTCCGAATTCTCAGACGAAAATAAGTGGATTTAACCTAACTTAACCATGTATAAAAGTGCTTTGTAAAGAAGTTATAAAGTGTAAAATAAAAAAGAGATTTTTTGATATTGGACCAGAATAATTGATCCTTTATCATGACAAAGAGTTATAGCCATTCTCGCTATCAAATATTAACTTCTTTATTATTTATTTTAACAACTTTAAGTTTCCTTACTAACTAACGAAGTTAACACTGTTAAGGGCTCCACTTCAGGGTATTTTTAAATGGGAAAACAGTAATTCCAGTAAGATTCAAATTTGGCTTCAACAATTGATTTGAATCTTTCTTATACCAAGCAATGAAATTTCCTATTTTTAATCTCTCCTACCTCATTACATATTTAAGAAAATTGCAATCAAAAACTGACATTTATTTGCAATGCTATTTAAATGGCAAAACGTAATTCTAGTAAAACTCGAGTTTCCTCGAACGGATGTATAAATAATTTTAGTAGGATGAAAAATACTGAAAAATACAGAACGATGTCTCCTAGTTTATATTGATCCAAAGGCTGTATTAAATTGAAAAAACTAAGTATTTTAGCCAATGATGATAGTAGATTTACTTTTATCTTTTCACATTGCAGGGAAGAGAATTGAATTTAAAAAATTCTGAAAAGGATTTCTTATTTTACTTTCTAACACGTTTGATTTTATGTCGAGTTAAACTAATCTCATCCCATCTATTGTGGAAAAATTTTACCAAAAATAGTTCTATATTATACCCCACGAATTATGAATTTGAGGGCTTGCTTTGGCGACCTTAACGTTCGTTATTTAAGTCTCAAAATTCACTAAATTAAGCCATATCCCAACCTTTTTGCGACACCCTGTATATGAACAGGCGAACATACACTGGCGATAAAAAAATGTTAAACTAAACTACATCTCAGCCATTCATCTATTCCCAAACAACAACCCCTATAAACGTGTGACTTTCCGACGTTCGCATCCATACATATCGAACAATAATTCATTTCCTCATTGTGACCGTACGGATTTCGAAAACAATCATCGGCGGAGTTTACGCGCAGTACATCCACCCATAAATTCGCGGCCTCGGCACATTTTTCATTGGGGTAGCCGGCTTAAACGGGGCGGTCGGCTGACACCCGTGCTAATCAACGTTCAAAGACGCCGAATTTAGATGGAAATTCGGCGTGAAGCGTGCAAATAGAACAGCTGAACGTCGCTAAATATACGGCCATCTCGCTCGCCCGGCCATTGTCGCGCCATTATCCCTCTCTTTTGTTGCCTATATACCAATAACAACAGGATTGAACTAATAAATTTCGACCACCCGGTACTAAAGTGTAACCAAACTTTCTCGACGTGTTCAGAACACTTTTAGACTCATTTAGAACTGTTCAAAACAATTTAAAACTGTCCGGAACCATTTCAGAACTGTCCAGAACCATTTGACTATCCTAGAACCATTTTGAACTATCCAAAATAATTAACAACAGATTCTAAATAGCCTGCTGAGTCCTGTCCTGGTTGCTACCCGAAAAAACAAACACAATATAAGGGTGCAAGCAAAACTAATGTAAATCTTTCCGTTAAAATAGGGATGAAAATTCTGCCGAACCTCCATTATTATTGTTGTTTTCATCGGTGCGTGAATCGCGACATGCCCCACCTTCGGCGGGGGTAGCGGGGGGTCGTGAAACGTAGAGGACGTACGTCGTGACTCGATTCGGGCGGGGGTTGGTTTCGTTATAGTTGTCTTACGGGTAATAATTGCTTCAGTTACGCCATTTTAACGTGGAATTAATCGCTTACTAAAGGTCATAACTTGGCGAAAAAAAATGCTTTGCTGGCCGGCGATAATCCGATTCTTGAGGCTTGTTATATCGTGTACCTGTTATGAAATGTTAAATAAATATGCCTTTATGTGTGCTGTTTAGTTGATTTCATTGAGATTTTTAAGGTTATTAAATGTTTTAGGGAATTAACTGGTATTTTTAGTCATTGAAGACGAAAACTGGGAATAATTTGACAATAAGCGAGCAAAACATCGGAGTTTAATTGTTGTAATAACTGGGGAGAAAATAATGACGTGGCAACATTGTATTGCAAAATTTGTGATTAATACAGTCGGTGCAAAATGAATACACAAAATAGATTAAGATTAATAGATGCAGAATTTAATTTAATATTAACAAGGGATGATAGAAAATGTTAAAAAGCTGGATTAAATCATTCAAAAAATATATATTTTCAAAATTCAACGTTTGTGTATAACATTATTATTATTTTCTTATAGTAGGTTGGAACGCATTGATTATCAAATTGCATAGTTGCCGTTATCATCCGATCGGTACTTTTAATTTTCAATTTCTTCTTCCTTTTTCTAATTTACTAGCCACAACTGCTAAAGCCTATTTAGCCGATTAAGGAATAAGAATTTTTTGTGTAATTACCTTTTCCACATGTTAGAAATGACACAATTTGAGCTCTAAATAATTCAGATTCAGAAGTTTTCTCAGAAATTTCTCTATGTACCTACTCTTTTAAGGGTCAATTGGATACTAAATTTTTTACTCACACTGTTAAATATATTTCAGATGATAAAGGAATTTGATGAATTATAGTGAGCCCCTGAATACATCCGCCGTTTAGAAACTTGAAACAGGTGCCCCTAATTTTCAATTTGTTCTTCTCATTTTGACAATTTTAGAAAATTCTTAGATTTTGTAAACTCTATAAAAGTTCGACAACATTGCCTACTTGTGACAGTAAACTATAGATAACGTGTATTTGTATTTGTTTTGCACCAACTGTAGTTCAGAACCTCCAATTGCTTCATTTTAGATTAGAGATACTTTCTTCACTATATAGAGATACTTTGTTGTTTTAAATTAAAGCAATTCGGCTTCTGGGACCACCTTGTATATTCGAGCGTAGGCAAATCGAATTCCCACAATCGCATTTCTAATTGGACCGTTTCTGGATTGCGATTATTCTCCGGGGCGCATTCGAACGACATCGATCTTGCCTTTTGTACCGGCGGAATCCACCGAAAAGACATATGTCTTCGGCTGTCATCGAGCAATGCGGACAGAATACACCTTCGGGAGTTAATGGAAGGACGACAATGCACCGGACATAATGGACACAATGGTGGTGCAACCTGCGAAGTGATCCTTGTGCGTTTTTCGAAAAAGCGAATTCGATTTGCCGTGGGAGGTCGCGCCCGGGGAGGCCCTCACCGATGAAGTTTCCCTTTTTTTCTCGCCCGGCGAATTTGCATTTCGAAATGCTTAATTCTTTTAATGCCTTGTTTGGGAAATTTTTCACGTTAAACGTGCATATTTCAACTCGCTTACTAATTTTTTCGCAACAGGAGTTTTATTATCGAATTTTATTACCATTTATGTATCTGGATGTAATGAAATAAACACGTACTTGTGCGCAGCGTTATTAACAATAGGGTATAAAAGAAAAATAACGAAACGTACTTATAAAGGGCTATTAAAGGAATACTAATTAAAATCCATTATGAATGCTTTTAAATATTTATTAAATGTATAGGTACTACTATGAATTATAATAAACAAAAAATATGCACACGCAATAAATTAAAGCTTAGATATGTAATTAAGTACAATTGATTGGCCACTTAATTTTAATTATTTATTTCTTAGTAAAATTACGAACTGGTATATAATAGGTCAGTTTACAGAGTAATCACCAATAAAATTCCAGTTAACAATTTAATTAAAAGCGGCGATTACCTAGCAAACGTACCCAATGAAAGCCTAGATAATTTAATCCAGTCGAAAAAGTTTCGAGTTTAAATTGACTGCTTAAGCTGGAATTATAATTTTTTAACTACCCACTATAACGCTAGGAACATAATAGTGACTTTGCACACAATTTTCTCATCGAATAAAACTAAATTAAACACAATTTTGCTTCATATCTACAATACATACAAACGATAAAAGATCAAATCAGTCGCTATAAAAATAAATCACAGCACTAACATGTACTTAACAACTATTCGATTATTCACGTAAAAGTTTCTGTCCTTGTTCATCGCCCCCCACCGCTAACTTTCGAACGGCGGCGTTGCCGAACGTGCTCCAAATTCGGATTTATTACTCGCTGGATTATTTTTAATTCAAACAATTCATAAAGAGTTATCGGTTTTCGATGTGAATAAGCAAATAGACTGGTACAATACACCTTACTAAAAATTCACATTAACGTCGGATTTAATGCACTCTACTTGTACACATTTCCATGGCACCGAAATAAGGATATCCTGACTTGGCTTCGCTCGGAGAATGGGTTCCACTGTAATGGCTTCCGTTGGCTAGTAAACTGTAACAAAAAAATGTCACGGGTATAGATTTTCGTTTATGTAGTCCTAAATAGCAAATTACTACACTCTTTTATACAGGTTTAGAGGGTTGTATCACTTGCTAAAATCATTCTATAGGGGTTCCTTGGACACTCCAATGCGCGTTTAATAACAATATAAGGCGAAAATATCGTCGATTATCCAACCGAAAATGCCCGGCACAATGGAGAGACTCGCTTGCCATAAATTTCATAAAACAATGATAAATTTTTTCGTCCGTTCGACGTCTTACGGCTACGTTTTCCTAGAAGGACCATCAACTGTTACGAGCCGATAGATGGAGAGAACGCGGAAAGGCGAAAAATAAAAAAAAGGATAATAATAATAAACCAGAAAACATCACTCGCAGCTGTTATTTCGTTATTTATTTTTCGCATCGTCGACGGTACGTCCGTCGCAAGTACGCGCAAGTACATCTTTGTTCGGTACCGACGAGATTGTTCATATTTCAAAGTTTTAATTCTCGTTGTCAAAAAATATTGCCGGAACGTGGTTGAGATTTAATGTTCGACCGGCGATCGTGACGTTTGAATCGCTTCCACAAAGCGATTATCGAGTGTTGCAAAGACATTTGTTTGACCCAATTTAAAAAAAACGAAACTTGTTAATTTTCTACGCATCCAAATCTCCCTAGAAAGTAATTTCCCAAATTCTAATTTCACCGATAAAAATGCATAACGCCTATAGGATATGTTTCATCGAGAATCGTGCTTAATTCTTCAATTTCATCACCGAGATAATTTACCCATCGCGTTCGTAACGTAAAAGTAAATAAAAGATACGGTTATACGACGGTGCATCGGCAGCCCCGAAGGCGTTCATTAAATAATTAATAATGTGAAATTATTAAACAATCCCGGGGCCTGAGAGAAGTTAAATAACACGTCGCAAGGCCTTCATTAGGTTGGACCCGACCAAATTAATTGCTTTCAGATATTATTCAGATGTGGCCTGTAAGTGCCAATTATACAGTCGAAGAGATCGTTTCAGACGGTACCCAACAACGCCAGTACCACTTTAATATTATCCTGCCCAGCTAGGCAGTAGGCTTGTCATTGAAATAAATTCTAGATGGGCACTACTGCTGGTACGCAATCATTGGAGGCTTATACAGAAATCGTGCTAAATAAAATTATACGGTTTTCTTTAATACCGCTCTTTATTTATCGATGAAAATATCGCTACTGGAATCGATTTGTCCGTCTTATAAATTATATTTAAACGTTTCGGCTTCTTTTTTTCGAGTTAAGAGGGGCCGGGCATTTTGTAGATGTTTCCTACCTAATTATATTCATCGGTGTTTAGCCGGTGTTTAAGGAAGTGCCGTCGATCGTCCTAATTTTTTTACTCCATTAACTTTCTATTTAATTTTAAATCAATTAATTAATTCAGACTCTAAAATATGGAAAAATTACTCACATCTTAACTTCAATTAATAAAATTACTGCAGAAGAAATCGACTATTCTACTCGTACTTTCAATAGATATTGATGGAGTCTATGGGGAGAAGCTGGAGTATTAACAAACAACTCAAACTCACCTATAATTATCATGCCAAGTGGGCGAAATATTATCAGCAGCTGCAGCTTTGTTGGACTGCGAATGCCTCGTCCACACGCCGCTCTGCTGAGGCGAAATGCTGTGCTGGTTGGGCGAGATCTGCGCCATATTGTACCCGAACTGGTTACCGCAGTGCTCCAACCCGGCACCGTTGCTGTAGCTATTATACAGGGCGTTTTGCGCCGTGGTGGAAGCACTAGAACCGCCCGAAGCGGCCGAGGGATAGCTCTGCGACGTCCAGGAGCTCTGGTTGAAGCCGCCCTCCGGGTAGTGCTGCTGCACGCCGGGGAAGGCGGTCTGCAGGGATATGGCGTTGAAGGCGTTGAACTGCTGCGAGTTGAGCTGTTTCCGGAGGCGGGCGCGCCGGTTGGAGAACCACACCTGCACCCGGGCTTCGGTGAGCTTCGTCTTCTGGGCCAGCTCCTCTCTGGTGTAGACGTCGGGGTATTGGGTGCGGCCGAAGGCGCGTTCGAGCGCCTCCAGTTGCTCGCCGGTGAAGGTGGTCCTCGATCGCCTTTGTTTGCGTTTCAGCGGTATGCCCGGCTCGGATTCCGTGTCGCTTTCGTCGCAGGAGGAGTTCGGGCCTGCAACCAAGTGGAAATTATACTGATGGGGATGCAGGATTTTGTTTCATAGATTGTTCTAAATGATTTTGCTGGGGTGATTACAAATCTAAAGACTAGCTGGTGTGTCACAAATGAGGGTAGATTTGAAAACAAATCAAATAACCACAGGGAAATATTGATTGAAGCGATTTCACGCCGACGCGAAAATAAATGGAATATTTATTTTAGTGAGATAATTTTTTTACTAAAAAGATGTTGATACGGTGGCGACGAATATTTATCGATTCGAACGGTTCGAAAGAAGCGTAAAAACCATAACTAATGACCGTAGAAGTCTATTAACTCGATAAACTAAGTGAAAATTTTATTAAATCGGACCTCACAGGTCGAAGAGGATGATGTTTCGGAACGCGATTTCTACGCTGTGGGAATTGAATTTTTGTGGGAGTTTTTCTCACCTAATATGCCGTCGATCGAGTGGTTTTTCCTTTCGGTGTCCTCTTTCCTGCCGCCTCTTATCAATCGGCTGATGGAGCTCACCGACGGGGCCGAGTTCTTATCGCATATGCCCTCCTGTAACAACGGACGGAAATCAAAAATTATTATTTTTATTGCTTAAACTACAATTAGTTATTATTCGTTTCAATACTATAGGGGGAGGTGAATGCATGGAGTTTTTATGCATTCCCGAGCCGCTTTTTATTGGTTTGAGGTTAATCAACTAATAGCTCGGTTTCGAAGGCGAAGGAGTGTCCCAAGTTTTATGAAACATTAAAAAAATGCCAATTACGAAATCGAGCTAGCGATTGGACTTGTTACGCGACGGTTGCAAGTTAGTCATTACCACCATTACCCGTAGTAGAAAGTTTATGGGCATTAACGCATTTCGCCTTTAACAGGGCCGAGCGCAAAAAAACCCGCGGAATATTAAACATCAAAGCGTACGCCCGTGTGGGAAACGTGCAGACTTATTTATAGAACGGGGCAATAATTCACGATGAGCATCAGGGAAAAAAAAGACACTTACTTTTATGAGCCGATCGCGGATCTCCCAGCTGAAGATGCCCGGCTGTTCCTTCTTCCACTGCTCGATCTTGTTCTCCACCTCCTGCGTGGCGACGCGCGGCTTCGAGCCGCCGATCACGCCGGGCCTGATGCTGCCCGTCTCCTGGTAGCGGTTCAGGATCTTGGAGACGCAGCCGTGGGAGACGCGCAATTGACGGGATATGACGCAGGGCCGGACGCCGGCCGCCGCCATTTCCACTATCTTCAATCGTATGTGGTTCGGTAGTGGTCTGCCGTTTATGAAGACCCCGCCTAATTGGTTCACTCTACCTTGACCTGCAACCAAACAAAGTCTACCTCAATTCTATATTCCCTGATTAAAGTACTCTTGTACTCTTAACAAGAGGACCTCCAAAGGGATGATTGGAGTAGAAAGAAGAAGACAACTTCTTTACCTATTTACAGGGTGGTCGGATAAGAATGTAAAGTACTGTATCTGGAAAACTATAATGCATCGTAGAGGATTGCGGAAGAAGTAATTATTAAAACGGATTAAAGGGAAAAACCTGGAAAATATTTCAATACATTTCAATATAAGAGTAATTTAGAAAAATTAGTTTAAAAAAATTTAAGGGTTTTTCTTTGGCCTAAATTTTAGTTTAGGAACAAGATATCGAGATGCGGTTTTCGCGAGCTTGTTTAGGCATCATTTAGCTACTTATTCATGAAATAAAAATCATACCAATGCATTTAATTTGTTTGAGAAAATTGTCGATATTGTCGAATTGTGATATTCTGTCGGAATATCGAAATAAGTGCTTTACTAGCGACACACGAATCTAACAAAACTTTAAATTATATCATTTTTGTAGCCCAAGAATATCTCTTTTTAACTAGCCCAAGTTTATTCAAATTGGCTCAGCCGTTTCGAAGATACAGGGTGTTTTTTAGGGAAAAAATTGAATAGCACTCACCACTTTATTTTTAGAGATACAGCAAACATTGTTAAACAAAAAAGGTTCATATTATACTCGACTTTAAATATCTGATGGTATTTTTTTGTTAGGTTAATACAGCGGAATTCATAGAAATATCACTTTTTTAGTTCCAAAATTGCAATTTTTCACCCCCTAGCGCCCGTTTGAGAAACATGAAAATATTTTCCAGGTTTTTCTCTTGGCCGTTTTAGTAATTACTTTTTTTACCGCAATCCTCTATGATGCATAGTTTTCCAGATACATTACTTTACATTCTTATCCGACAACTCTCTATATTTCCAACGACTTCATCGAGGATTTTAATAGTTTTTTGGTAGATACTAATTCATCTCGGTTTTGGATTTCGGTTTGATTGAATTACGGTCGTTCAACAACCTTTGACTTGTGCGGTCAGTAATTCATCCGCGCCGAAGAAATCTCCGGAAAAATTAATCGAAATTTATACGCGCGCTATTACAACAAATTCTTCATTCGTCTAATTCGTAATTTATCGTTCGAAGAGCATGTGTAACGTAATTCATTACCGAGCTATAAATCACCGGTCGTGAAACGTTATAGTGGAATATAATAAGCGACGAGATGAAAGAGTATTTAATTTGAACGGCGTTTGCGTATGTAAATAGGTGGAAAAATCGAATCGTGAGTTTCGAGTTCTTCGATCCGATCGATTCCAATTGACCGTGATGGGCGAAGAAGGAAAATATCCGCTCGATTGGGTCACAAAGGGTCCTCGAGTTGGACCACCGGGAGCATGTTTTCAATGCGCTTAGTTGCGCGAAAGGGACTTACAATAAATATCCAATACGGTTTTTGTGTATTATTTACAAGACCTTTCTGTGCGAACTAAATGGTACGTGATCGATTCCCCTATTCATAATCGAAGACATGTTAACTTCTTTATAATAGTTTATCCGAACATGTTTATCTTGTTTGCTACTTTGCGGAATCTTATTAGGAGAACTAGAATGTTTATTGTGCGTCTTTTGTACGAATTATTTTGAACAGAAACCGATTAAAAATCTTTTAACAATATACCAGTACGTAGGCATACACAAGATATTATAATAGACCGAAAGTATGAGTAAAATATAATGCAGTTTCACCCTGTTGGAGGCAATTATGCAAATTAACTGATTAAGGGGACCGCTTTTGATGTCGATGGGTTCGCGTCGAGGAATTTCCATTCGGGTGTCCGAGAAACTAGAACACGTGTCACTGTTGGAAGACACGAAAAGAATGAAGCACTAATTTTATTACAAAAATTTCAAACAAGAAGAATGATCTCCCTAAAGCACTATTTTTCATTTCTTGGCACTTCTCGAAAGGGGGATTCGGCGCACAGTCGCTCCATAGCGGCACATACCTGTATTAATATTGATTGATGATAAAATGAATAAATTTCATATACTTGTGTTGCTTGGTGCAAATTCTTTCTCGCGTACAATTTCGTCATTAAAATATTTCGTTTTTCTATAAAAAGCTTGTTAGGAGAAATAAGGAAAATTACCTATTACCACAAACATAGAAAATTAACTTCTAAATTAAGTTCAGCTAATTTTAAACGATGAAAAAATTATCCCAATAATCCTCATTCGGTATTTCGAATTCCAATCCGAAAAATCGCATACACCACACCAGAATTTCACGGCAATTTGCATAGATTATTTTCAATCGACCTTGTCAATCGATTCCAATTCGAAAGTGACTTACATTCTTCACAATATAACATTAATAGTTGTAAAAACTATTACGCATATTGCTAAATGATACATGAACTTTATACGAGACTAATATAAGTTGTCTTTGTTGCAGTTAATTTAATCAACTCGTGACGTCACGCTCGCTTTATTGTGAACAATCTATATGCTTACAATACCTTGGAGATAAAACGGGCGAGTTTGGTCGAGGCCGTGAGGAGAAGAGCTCGCGAGAGTAGGTACTTAGAAGAGAAAAAAAATAATAATAAAAACGGAATACGAGAAATCCATCGCAGGCCGAGAGCGGAGGAGAATATATCGAAGAGGTTTCTCTCTGGGTGCGAGGTGGGCGTGCGGACATTTAACAAAATGAAAAGTCGGTGCCCGGCCGCAGCGGCGACTTTGATCTCACTAATGTCTGTTTTCAACAGCCGAGAACCTACACCTGATTTCGACACTATGCCTGGCGAGCGGCAAATTCGACACACACGCGGGCCCAATAAATCGCGCGTTAGGTGATTTATTGCCGCCCGTTCGGTTAATTCCCGTTTGATTTGCGACCGATAGCTTTCCATTCCGGGTTTATATATACGTTAAGATTATCGGCCCGTCGGAACGTCGCTATCGACGATTGACTTGCTAATTTTCTGTTATCATTATGCAAATTTACAAAGAGGGTGTCTACGAATTAATACGAACTTGTTTTCCCTGGTACTAAGTCACTCGAAATGGAAATGATCCAGTCGATTAATATTAATTTTCAAAATTCATAGAGGAGTGTCGTGTCGAAAGCGGTCCTTAAACTGTACCATTACTAGTTTTCTATCAAATTTACAAACACTATTTTCATTATAGTATCCTACTCTGAAAGTCTTTTAATTCATGCCTATTCTAAATCTACTCTGAATCTATTCTAATTTTACTCTAATTCTATTCTGGATCTATACTCCGAATCTATTCTGAATATATCCTGAATCTACTCTGAATAGGTACTCTCAATCTGTAGATATTCTCAATCTGTAGATACCTACTCTAAATCTGCAGATACTCTGAATCTGTACTTTGAATCTATACTCCGAATCTACTCCAAACCTAGGTACCTACTCTTATCTGTGGAATCAGGTGAATTTCATAATATCCTGGATGTTTTTTTTTTGAAATTTCAACCGAACTTCATGGCTCTCCGTGATGGCTTTTGTACAGGCCGTTTTAACAGTTAACTTTCATGTCTACCGTTGCTCGAAGGGTCGATTTTGTCGGCTTCGATGCATAATTTAGATTTCGCATCGTTTTTTTTTTTATTTTTCGCTAGCAGTCGTTTACGTGTTCGTTAAAAAACTCTACTGGGCGTTAACAGACTTTTCATCGAGTCGCCTAATTAATTATTTATTAAACCCCAATTCCACACACTAATTTTATTCTTCGTGTACTTCTTGTAAAGAAAACGCTTCTTCAAGCTGTATATGTATTGAATAAAACGAACGTGTTTATAAGCCATATAAGCATATTTCTCTTATAAAGTTGTATGTATATTAATAAAGGCTCTTATCGAGTACAGAGATTACCAGTTGCTCGACACGTCGGCGAGCAAAACGTATTAAAAATCCGACGTTTTTCCCGTAAAAAAAGAGCCCGGGAATTATCAAGATATGAGCCCCGCGAGTCACGACCGCACTATGAATATTTATATCATTCACGAAAGGTCTCGAGATAGCCAGATAAGCTAATAACACAGATTTAAGCTGAATTTTCACATGTATTAACGCGCGGCGTCCGCGTGTGTAGGCTGGTAACCGACACCCAGAATCCCATTGATGATACTTATCTCGTACCACTTTTTGACATAAGTCCTGTTCGGATGTTATTATGTATATCGACTCGAGTTTTCGGCTTTTTTATTTTCGTTCGAAAAGGATGCCGGCGCGTAAACCAATTTTAAACCTTGTAGTGTCTAAGAGAAGCTTAATTGACAATTATTTCTTAGATTAAAAGCGCATGTTTTCGCGCGATGCGGCTCGTTTTGTAGTGCGCGCGCTCTGTCATAATCCAAATTAGATATTCGATTATTTCGGTGTTATTTTCCGAAAGCCTTTCAAGGGTGAATAGAATCGAAAGAGGGCCGAATTCCCGGGACCGCATCGTAATCGTAACCTTTGGCTATTAACCATCATCGGATAATAGAAATACGCCCGATGTTCTCACCCGGCCCCTCGTTTAATGGGCCGCATTAAATAATTGTCCCTATTAATTTTCGACTTGTAGCTTTTTTTTACCTGCGCTATGTTGAATTTGTGTAGCATAATGGGATTGTTTAGGATTTAATTTGCTTGTGAACCACAAATTTATTGGCCTTCCGTCAATTTTGAGGTGTAATTGGACTCGTTTAGGAAATTCTTCAACGTGGTTTCTATTATCCTAATGAAGGATCCAAGTAAAGTCTATAATAAAGTTCAAAATATAAAAAGATGAACAGAAGGCTCATGTTGGGATGAGAACATGAAGAAGCATCATTCTAATAATCTTCTATATAGACTTCTAGGTGTGGTGAAGAAGCCACCAGGCAATTTACATTTGTATCCTCAAAGTAGGATCTTTAATATGATATACAAATTGAGCCCAAATGCAGCAAAAAATTGCTGTAAAGTTGGCTCAGGAAGAAAATTAGTAATACTACTATTAAAAATGCAGCTTATTGGAGTTTCAGTTCGAAACTACTTAGGTAAGTAATTAAGAAAACAATTAGGTAACTATAATTGAGTAATAGAAATGGAAGTTTCAACACAATTGAAGAATCAATTATTACATACAGGGTTATTCACGGTATACGACACGGTCTATATCTCATTAACGGTTCATTTTATGAAAATTTTGTAAATGTAACTTTTGTGTATGTCTAATTAAGCTATAATTTAAAATTAGTTTCAAGTATACAGGACGTCCCAAAAAAAAGTTACATATCATAGTTATGTTTTTTTAAATGGAACACCCCGTATATTTTTACATTTTTGGATTCTTCGTTTAAAATAAAGGTTATTTTCAATAGGACTTGCTATACCTAAATGTTAAGGTTTCGTAAATAATTAACATTTTGTTAAAATGTAGACCATTTTTATTTTTTTAATAACTCAGGCCGTTTTTCAATTATTGGAACGAAATTTGCACCAGATCATGAAAATCAATCATGTTTTATCGTCCAATTTTTGAAATATCATTATTACATACAGGGCGTTCAAGATTTTATAACCAATAATGTATAACTTTAAACGTGGATAAGTTGATTAATTTAAATGAAACATAGTATTTTTTAATTTTTCATTAAATAGGGCATTTAATTCCCTAGCAATTGATATTAGCATGTCCTATACCTAACACGAGCCCTTTTGTCAATTTTTATAAAAAAACAGCAATAATTGCATTTGGTGTTAGTAATGAATATGGAGTAACTGTAAGTTACTCGTTGCAATTATCTAGATGGCTATGGGCGGTAAAAATAGTAGTCTAAAGTAGTCTAGTTAAATAGAGTAAATGATTCAGAAAAATAGAATAACATAAAATATTGAACAAAAAATTAATTTATTACAAACAAAATTATTACAGATTTTCAAAATGTTGACCGTTCTCTTGCAAACACAACGCAATTCGTTTTTCAAAACCCCTGCCTACACTAGATAGCATATCCGGTGTTACAGTTTGGAAAGCGTCTCTTATTCGTTCTTTCATATCATTAGGAGTTGTTGGAGGTAAATTATAAACAATTCCTTTAATGTAACCCCATAAGAAGAAATCCAATGGGGTTAAATCTGGCGATCGTGCAGGCCAGTTTTGACTTCCATTTCTTCCGATCCATCGATTTTGAAAAATTAAGTCCAAGAATTGACGAACATCGCGGTGATAATGAGCTGGCGCTCCATCTAATTGAAGCCACATTGTATTTCTAATATTCAATGGAAGTTCTTCTAACAATAAAGGTAAATGTTCTTCCAAAAAATTTCGAAAGATCCTACCATTTATTGGACCTTCAAAGAAGTAAGGACCAATTAAATATTGGCCTATTATCCCTCCCCAGACATTCACGGACCACCTACGTTGATTATTAATTACCCTTATTTCGTGAGGATTTGTATCTGAATAAAAATGAAAATTTCTTCGGTTAACTAGTCCATTATTGTGGAACGTACATTCGTCGGTAAATAAAACCCTTTCAAAAAAGTTTTCATTATTACCAACTTTTTCTAATGCCCACATACAAAAATCGATACGATTTTCAAAATCGTTGCCGTAGAGCTCTTGGCACATTTGAATTTTATAGGGATGAAATTTATGGTCTCTTAAAATTCTTGAAACACTACTTTGACTAATATCAATGGTATGGGCGATTTCATTCTGGCTGACATTCGGATTTTCAATAACAGCACCAATAACTGAGAAAACATTTTCTTCGTTTTCAGCTACAGGTTTCACGGTTGAAGGTTTTTGGTATTGGATACTTCCAGTTTCCTTAAAATGCCTCAATAATCTCTCAAACACCATTTTATTTGGATGAATTCTTTCGGGAAATCTTTGAGCATAAACTCGGGATGCTAACAAACAGTTCTGTGAACATTCTCCAAGAATAAAAATCATATCAACGCGCTCTTCTCTGGAATAAGTTTTCATTTTCCAATTTGTTCAACGAATTAATTAAGGCAAAAGATAATTCAATAACAATAACAAAAACATAAAAGAACAACAAAATACACAACAAAAACGGAAATTACAATTTTAATAAATCGATTTTTATCTTAGTTGACAGCACTAATGTCAAATAAATAAATTGATTGACATTTCTTACCTACTGTCCATAGCCATCTAGATAATTGCAACGAGTAACTTACAGTTACTCCATATTCATTACTAACACCAAATGCAATTATTGCTGTTTTTTTATAAAAATTGACAAAAGGGCTCGTGTTAGGTATAGGACATGCTAATATCAATTGCTAGGGAATTAAATGCCCTATTTAATGAAAAATTAAAAAATACTATGTTTCATTTAAATTAATCAACTTATCCACGTTTAAAGTTATACATTATTGGTTATAAAATCTTGAACGCCCTGTATGTAATAATGATATTTCAAAAATTGGACGATAAAACATGATTGATTTTCATGATCTGGTGCAAATTTCGTTCCAATAATTGAAAAACGGCCTGAGTTATTAAAAAAATAAAAATGGTCTACATTTTAACAAAATGTTAATTATTTACGAAACCTTAACATTTAGGTATAGCAAGTCCTATTGAAAATAACCTTTATTTTAAACGAAGAATCCAAAAATGTAAAAATATACGGGGTGTTCCATTTAAAAAAACATAACTATGATATGTAACTTTTTTTTGGGACGTCCTGTATACTTGAAACTAATTTTAAATTGTAGCTTAATTAGACATACACAAAAGTTACATTTACAAAATTTTCATAAAATGAACCGTTAATGAGATATAGACCGTGTCGTATACCGTGAATAACCCTGTATATACTAACAAGTGTTGATCATAAATTTGCATTAAATGAATCAAAATTACTGAGTATCTTACAGATACTAAAAATATCATGGTAATAGACCTGATATATGAATGTTGGTAAAGGAAAAAAAGAAGAAACAATAAAGAAAATACATGATAATGCGAATTAGGTTTAGCAGAAGTTTACAACTTTGGTGAATTCTCCTTTTTGATTTATTATTATTGGTCGTAAAGAAATATTAATTGTCTAGGATTGAACTATTTAGAACCACAAGATATTAGAAGAATTAGCACTAAGATCACAATATAGATCTTAGAGAATTCATCCACCAACACAAATTCTTAATACAACACACCAAAAACGATCAAAACTTCAAACCACCATCATACCACAATAATTACCTTGAAAGGGATATCCAGTGAAATACGGAGACATATTCAACGTGGAAACTGCCATTTACACAATATCGCGCACTATCTACCCAAAACCACCCGGACGGGACCAAAACGAAAATATCCACTAATATATTCAAAACACTGAACCTTCTTGCAACGACCTGGAGGAAATCTGACCGCTCCTTCGCGATACCCAGCACTGAACTGACCACGTCTAACCAAGAATGTCGTTCGAGCGGGTTCCCCCTGCGATGGGTCCGGTGGACCCGGGCCCGCCCAGGACCATTTATGGGCCCCGACGGCGGCCGACGATTGGCCTTCTGGTGCAGAGGAGGAGCCGCACCGTCGACACGAAGGTGCCCGGTTAGCTACCCAGAGCGTCGTCGACGCGGGGACCACCCTAGGAGACGGCCAGTCTACCCGCGTAAAAGTCCGTTCTGGTGCCTGTTTTTTTTTTTTTTCATTTCCACCGTTTTATTAGGGTAATTATTCTCGAGTTTTATTTTTTTGAATGGTTTTACTTACGACAGGATATGCTAATCGCCGGCGAATATACAGGGTGGTGTTCTCGCTAAATGGGCGATTTTAATCGAATATCTACAGGGTGGATTTCTGTAAGGAGTTTCTTGCAGTAAGGTGGAGAATGTTGGTTTGATTGTAATTATATGCTTAAGCAGCAAAAATTAAAATAAAAGTTTAGGAAGATTGAGTGGCAAATTACAGAAAATTTCCTGTTAATTGAGGAATTGAGATATTTCTATAAATTACTATCAATCATTTTTAATTGCAATAAATAGACGAATATAATACTATGGAATTATTTTAGATATGTTGAATTTTTAATATAAAACTAATGAAACTAATGAAACTAGGTAATAATAGATATTTGAGGACTTAAATACTCTTGGATTTAATGTACCTAATTCAGTTCTTTTTTTTTTCATTTTTCATTCTATTAATCAAAATATTAGTAATAAAATAATTGAGCTCTGGATCAAGACGGGGTTAACCCAGAAGTCGTTCACACGAGAGGAAAAATGAAGAAATTTTTAAAGAAATGAATGAAGAAATAAAATAATGAATGAAGAAATAAATGAAGAAATGAATAAAGAAATGATTGAAGAAATGAACGAAGAAATAAATGAGGAAATGATTGAAGAAATGAATAAAAAAATAAATAAAAAAATGAATGAAATTTGTGCAATTCCATCAGAGGACCTTTAGAACATTGATCCAGTATCAGTTAACAGTAGATAAGTATCTAAACTCCTTCGATAAAATAACGCTGCTTTCAAGCGACAATAAACAATAATTCTAGCCAAGTACCTAGATGAATACGAAAATAGTAGCGAGATAAATTCACGAAATCGGCGTTTACCAGGTGGTCCTAAACGCCTCGCCCGTCATCGTCATTCAACACAAAAGAGCCTCGCCAGATGACTTACCTGAATTGATTTGATACGCCTTCCCGGGTCGTCGGCATCCGCATTTCGCCAAAAACCTTCTTGTTCTTCTGCTCTCTAGTTTTTTCCCTTTTTATTTTCCGATTTGCGAGTCTCGGCCAGAACGGATTCGATCATTGTGTGCGCGTTATCTCGGCGAGATTTCCGAAAAAATCTACCGTATATTCAGAAGAACGTGATCGATACGTTTCGATCGTCCATTTGGGACTTGTACATATACATACATATATACAGGGTGGTCAAATGATTAATTTCTTTAAATAACAGAATATATTCGCGATGTGGCAACGACGCTTTAGGTGTAATTTGTAATTAGCAACGTCGTTATTAAATGATATATTATACGAGAATTTCGGTGAGGTAATGCAAACAAATCGTTAATTTGATGAATTGGAATTATTCTCGCCGGTTTTCCTCTAATTCGCGGGGATTTTTTCACTGTTGAGACAATGGGATATGAACGTCTGTTAATTTCATAAAACATCAAAGTAATTAATCATGTCAAATCGTAATTTTCAGGCAATACTCGTATAAAACGATGCGTGGTAATCGAGCTAAAATGGCGGCGGGTCGTGTTGTGTTTTTTTTTCGTATTTATTTTAGTCCCGAGCAACGATTTTCTACGATTATAAAATCAGAACTTGCTTCATATTACATATAGGTATGCAATTAACTGTTGTAATTAGTTTCGTTATTATGGGTGGCTTTATGGCGGCGTGTACAGGTACCCAGGAATGATGGTTTCACCTGGGAACGAATGGCTAAAAACAAAGCATCGCATAGTCGAAAATATACCATTACAGTTTATCGCATGCAATTAACACTGAAAGCTATAAAAATTATTTACACGAAAAAAAAACCCGGAGCTCATCATAAAAACAGTTCTTTCAACTCAAATATAATTCATTGAATTCCACCTCTCGTAGAAGCCTCTCATTTTTTGACATCTTCGATGATGATAATAATCTTTCTATTAACTATTTAAAGTAACTTTTAATATTTATTTTATTTCGTGAATATTGCAATAATAATTGGAAACACAGGTAATTACCCAACACAGAAACGATCTATTGTTAAAGCGTTGATGGGATTTTTGATTTTTCAATTTGTTACGAAATCATCGGCGGAAAATGGGAAATTGCGATATAATTGCTAAAGTTTTTAATTACCTAATGTTATTTCAGCTGGTATTGCTTCAGTAAAATGCTTTTCTTATCTTAAATGAAGCAAATTCAGGAAAAAATTGTCATTCGATGAAGTCTGTAATTGTATCGATTGATTGTAATTCGATTGACTTTTGATAAAGTCTGTAATTTTTTAAATAAAAACAATAAACTATTGATGTAAGTAGATAAAATCTGCTTAACAATTATATCTATTAGAATCCACACAAATTCATATAAATCTAGGATATATTTTTTAAACAATAAATCGTAATCCAGTTAACGAGTGCTCTAGAAAAATTACTCTTGCGTAAACCGCTATTCATTATGCATATTCATTCAATCTCACGAACGATAATCTCCATCAATTATTATAAAGCAAACAAAGCGTTTATGCATTTTAAATAATATCGCGTAATTAATGAATTTTCTGCCGTTTTATTTTTTGTTTGTGTGTATAAATAAGTGCCGTTTGAAATTACCATAAAATGAGCGATGTGTACTGCAATAAAATAGTTTTTTTACTACAGATTTTACTGCCGCATATTTTATTAGATAATTATGTGGCATCGAAAATAGGGATTTTTTTAAATATTTACATCTATTTTTGAAGAGAGTTGCGTGAAAAATATTCATCGAATCGTTGGAGATTCCCGCGGGATTTGCTAGATCAAGCGAGTAACCCAACAAAATTTTGGCGTTGAGTTTAATACAATTTCTGCAGTAATTAGTTTATACAATTTTGAAGTAATATTAAATATTATAGGAATTATGATTGTAGTTATGAAGAAATTTAATTAAACAAAGGGTAAAAAAAATAAAAACCTTAAAAATAACTTTAATAATTGTAATAATTCTTGCAAAATTTGATTGAAATTAATCAGAATCATCAACAGGAGTGTATTTGAATTTGTTCATCAAGGAACCATTATTCATATAAGTTACAGTTAGCTACATAAATAAAATTGGAAAAATAATACAAGTTTAGAAAGTCGCCTTGGCGAATTTTTTCGAAAAATTTTTTCGCCGCACACTCACACATTCGAGGCAGTACCGCCGCAACGTCCGCCCATTAAAGGTTACACCAGACCCCGCCCATGCACATATTCACTTAGCCTAGTTGGAAGTAAATTTTGTGCGATAATACCATCTGGCATAGAGATTGAAATTACTTATTATGTATACCAATCTTGTTTTCTGCCGTCACGATGCATGAACGTCGGCGACCAATAGAACTTTACAGACCATTTACCCACCAGATTATTCGATTTTTTTTTCTCTCCAACAGCCAGCTGCATTATTATGAATTGCAATTCAGTTGATATCGTAAACGTTATGCCGTGTACGTGCGGTTATCGGCCGTTTTTTTATTTTGGATTTCCATTCAATCGGATTATTCGACTGGTAGCGTTTTTGGAATGATTTTTGTACCGAAAAGTTGGTGAAAATGGATATGAGACCCATTTTTGGTGGATACCCCTTTCAAGGTAAATTCAAAAGAGCTCTGAAGAATTGATTCTTTTGTGTATGCATATAATTATTTATTGGTTGTTTCGAATCTGTATAGCATTTAATAGATGTTTTAGATTGTTGTAGGAAATTTAGGAATTATTCTGTTTGTTATTATCGCTTGATTATCCTTGCAATTTTGATAGTTTCTTGAAATTGGAATATTACTGTTAAATAACATTTAAGAATAAAGAGAAAAATAATTTTTGAATTAACATAAAATATTCTGATGCTTATAGTGTTGATCTAATAATGCATATATTACAGCTTCAATTAAAGAAGACCCTTTTGGTAGTTGATAATTATTTTTCATTAAATTTGTACTAATAAAATCTTACATCATAATTTAGAAGCATGCATCATTGTAAGTTTTTAAATAAATCAACCTATATATGCATATTTATCTAGTATCAACAGAATAACGGATCCAACTGAAATCGCACAAATTATACATTACAAACGGAAAAGTAAATAAGTACCTACAAACACAAATTTTCGCTAATTAGCCGAGCAAATAACGCCATCGTCGCAATTAAACCGACCATACGCCGATCGCAATCGCTTCCGTTACTTTTCCCTCATCTAATTGCTTCCAGGCCAAGGAAGAGTCAACCAGCTAGGCGGCGTCTTCATCAACGGCAGGCCTCTACCGAACCACATACGATTGAAGATAGTGGAAATGGCGGCGGCCGGCGTCCGGCCCTGCGTCATATCCCGTCAATTGCGCGTCTCCCACGGCTGCGTCTCCAAGATCCTGAACCGCTACCAGGAGACGGGCAGCATCAGGCCCGGCGTGATCGGCGGCTCGAAGCCGCGCGTCGCCACCGTCGAAATCGAGGAGAAGATCGAGCAGATGAAGAAGGACCAGCCGGGCATCTTCTCCTGGGAGATCCGCGAGAAATTGATCAAAGTACGTCCGACTAATAACCGTTGGTTTTATTACACAGAGTGTTCATAAATGATTGATTCTGCACGTGATCGAATTCGAAATGAACGTAGTAAGTTTGTTATGTTTATGTTGGTACCTAAAAAATAAGTTACTATAAGAATACTGTCAATAATGTCAAGGCAACTTCAACTCGATCAAATCTTGGGTAGAAATAACGTGATTTATTAATTTTTCCTGGTTTTTCTTGTGCTTTTCCCGAAGAAAACTGTATCAGCATAACCTTAAATTAATGATAGGTAAAGCAATAAACAACCTAGTGGATTAATGTATTACCTCACTGTGTTGATTTGTATATTCAAAATAGGGACATTTCTTGAAAATAATACCAACAGTGCCCTTTGGGTTGCATAAATTATTAGGTCACGTGGGAATCAATCATTTATGAAGACCCTGTATATGCGCTATAGGAAATATAATGAAGCGGCCCCGTATACAATTAATTATAGTTCGAAATTTAAGTGTAGTTTCTGCAAAATTCTGCACCAAAAATTTTGTACCCTAAACTCTACTAATCCTCGCAGGATTTCCCCACATTACTCCCTACTCTTTAATCTGTACTTTCTAGTCTCTTCTCTGGAATCTCGATTGCATATTCTCTCTTTTCTAGTCCTTATAGTCTCTATTGTCTTTATAGTATCTATTGTCTCTAGTCTCTATTGTCTCAGTCTCTAATCATTACTCTCTAATCTCTGCCCTCTATTCTCTCTTCTCGAATCTCTATAGTTTCTTAGTTTTTAGTCTGTAGTTTCTAGTCTCTAGCCTAATCTACTCTATTATGCTTTCCTAGGTTGTATAGAACCAAAAATTTGCATCAAAAATTTGTATCTGTATGAACTAATAATCCTACACAGGAATTCCCTACATTGCTCTCTACTCTTTAGTCTCTACTTTTTAGTCTCTACTTTTTAGTCTCTACTTTTTAGTCTCTACTCTGGAATCTCGATTGCATATTCTCTCTTTTCTAGTCCTTATAGTCTCTATTGTCTTTAGTATCTATTGTTTCTAGTCTCTAATATCTCTTCTCGAATCTCTAGTTTCTACTTTCTACTATCTATAGTTTCTTAGTTTCTAATATGTAGTTTCTAGTCTCTAGTCTAATCTACTCTATTATGCTTTCCTAGTTTGTAGAACCAAAATTTTGCATCAATAATTTGTACCTGTATGCTCTAAAAATCCTACGCAGTAATTCTCTACATTGCTCTCTACTGTTTAGTCTCTACTAAAGCACTCTTCAGTACTCTCTTTTAAACTACTACTAAAGCTCTACTCTTTAGTATCTACTAGTCTTTAGTCCCAATCTATTCTTTTCCGCTTTCCTATTAGTTTGTAGAAATAAACTTTTTCGATGACGGGCAAATGTAAGAGATCAAAGAGCAAAGTACGACCCTTAAAGATATTATTATTTCGGCGCGGAATTCCGGTGCATGTTTTACAGTGAAAAATAAGTCGGGTACAGGCGATACGGTCGAAAGCGGCCCCGGAGCGGGACGGGTAACCGCCGCGAAAAGGAACGACGAGCGGGCCGCGTCTCTTCGCGATACGCGATATGCGCGACCGTCCGATGGTATCTCCAGATGTCCAGTCGGTAATTTGAGGGCGGCACTCCGGCACGCTCGCCACGTCAACCCGACCATTATCGTGGTAATGTGTCCTACGGCAGGCCGTGAGCCCTTTCATCGTGCGCCGACAACTCCGCCGCGCTTTGCCATTATCTTTCGGACCGAGATATATCGGGCGTCGGGCGAGGCACCGGCACCGGCCGTGATTGTGGTAGCACCGGACGATGTAATATACATATAATCGCATCGATATTGCCGAATTGCGAGTCTTTCGATTCCCATCGGCGCGTAATTGATGCCAGTCCGAACCGACGATTTGATTTTATTGATTGAGGAAGTGCATCCATAAGTGCTTTTCTCAATAGAGTCGGATCTTAAATTTTAATCAACTTTATTTGTATTAAAATATTCCTTAACCGTTTAGTTAAGAAAAATTCATTATTAAATTCTCCAAAAAAAAACCAAAATCTTTGAAATAAATAACATTTTCTAAAGTATATCATTTTTATGAACTTTCAGAAAGTGAACATAATATGGACCTAATCCAGATTATTTCATTTTTAGAATATATATAATTGACTAATACATCTTCCAATTCACTCGGTAATGTTGATTGTCTCCCAAATTTTTGGGTGGTGATATCATTTAAGGTGATTTGTTTTGGGTGTATGTTTTGGAAGCATTCAAAAAGCCCATTTTATTTTCTCGTGCATTTTTAATTGTCTCAGCCATTGCGTTTTTTATCACATCAAGCTTGTCTGGTCTTCTCTATTGTTTTAGAAGCCATTCTAGAACATTTTTTTTAGCCACTCCATATTTAAAACATGCCACTGGTCCATATTGTGTTACTTACTCATTTTGAGATTTTTATTTTTTTCAGAAAATTGGAATATTACAGATCATTAAAACTTAATACGACTCACCTTGCTCGTGGTCTTATTAATTTTCACATAAAATAGTATTTTTTTGGATTAAAAAACTTCCAAAGTTCGTTAGAAAATTAGATCGCGCGTTGCAGAAAACTAAAAAAGGCTCTCTAAAAAAATCCTCTCAAATTTGGAGTTGTTTGTATGAAACGATTCCACGCTCTAATTTTCTACTATACAGGAATTTCAAATTTCAATTGCACCTCTCTAATTACGCTTTATATAGTTTATAGAAACTGTTTCAAACGGCATTAAATCACGCGTTTCGGTTTGAATGAATAACTGCTCGTCTACGTGCGCGCGATTCGCTTTTTCGTGGCGGTTTTTCTGCGATAGTATGCCATATTTCACGAGCACATCCGACTTCGCTTATAATAATGTCTGAGGCAAATGTCTATAATTTCATACACAGTTATTTTGCATAAGAGAGAGGCCAACTTCGCTAACACCTGTGCCTTTGTTCATGGCCGTACTCGTAGGTGGTACAAATCAGAATTTGTTTTCTTTAAGGGATAAGAAGAAATTATGAAAGGAAATTATCTATAAAAATTCAAGTTTCTTACTGCTTTTATACATAAAGAACGTTATAATAACATAAACAACCCCTAGTATACTTAACTTTATAAGATTAAAAAAGCGCTAAAATAACGATCTACATAAGCAATTTTTAATATTCATAATATTATGTATATGAAAATTAACCCTTTGGTGAAAAATTTTCAGTACGGCATAAATTGCCCGTCCCTCATGCCGGGACTTTAAATCCGTAACATCAACGTCGAGGATATCCTCCCATCAATTATATTTATTAATTCTCCAGATATTTCACTAACGATCGGGTATCGGGAGAAATGCTTTGGCTGACAGCTATCAATGTCATTAATATTTATAAAGCATGTTATTTCGGGACATGTCGTTTCGGAAACTGTAATTTCTCATTTTTACGCGGCGATGTTGCATTAAGAAAGGGAGCCTTCGGGTGGGCTTCTTTTATTTTTCGATTCGACGCAAATTGTACGCAATTTCGTAATAGTTGCTTGAACTCCGGTTCGGTTTTTTTCCTCTTTTTTTTTTCGAGTTCAAAAATACTTGCATAGGAGATTTTAATACTTAGGCTATTATCATATACCTACTACAAAATGATTCATTATTATGAATTGAAATTCTTTTAAAACTTTTCTAATACTCATTACAATTCTCTAATTATTCTACTTTATCCAAACTAGATTAGTATTTTTAATTTTTAATTTAATAAATGATTAATACAGGGTGGAAACGCCAAATGGAATAAATTCATTATTTCGGTTATTAAAGAACATATTTATAGAAAATCCGGAAACACGTCAATTTTAAATTATAATTTGACATTCCTCAATGTCAAAATGTGAATCTTATCTTTAACCCCCTTCGAAGGACAGTCAACCCCGATTTTCTTTAATTTGAAGTATAAGCTTGTGATATATCGTTTGAAAGGTCTCTTTATTCTTTATTCAAAACTGTTATTGTTTTAAAAACTGTAATTGTTCACAATGTACAAAAATATGAATTTCTAACCATCTAACCTATCTAACCATTTTTCTTAATTGCAGTTAACGAAATTCAAACAAAAATTATAACACTGACGACAACTCCCACTCAGTTATAGTTACAAACCAATTTGCTAAGGCCTTTTAAACAAACTAGTCTTATTATTAAGACTAAAACGGGAAATAATAGATTCATTATTAGATTGAATTTCTATTAAAACTTTTCTAATACTCATTACATTTCTACTCTATAACAAAACTTGATTAGCATTTTTAATTTAATAAACGACTAACATAAAAATTATGAGATTTTTAAGCAGTCTATCTTCTACTTTTCTTCCACCATTTCAATTTTTCTATTTATTTGCGCGATTCCTTTTTCCAGGAAGGCGTCACAGATCCGCCGAGCGTTTCATCTATAAGCCGATTACTTCGAGGCGGAAGTCGAAGGGACGATCCCGATTGCAAGAAGGATTACACCATCAACGGCATCCTCGGCGGTAAGTCCCAATATATTTCATCCCGATAAAAGGAAGAATTAGTTCATATATACAAAGCAGATGTCGCTAAAAAAAACTCGAGCTATAATCACTTAAAAGAAGTAAAAAGGGACACTAATAATCTCTACAGTTTTGTACTGCTGTGCACTGCTGTCTGCTCTACTCTCTGCTCTACTTTCTGCACTACACTACTTCAAATTGAAGCCCTATTAAAAAAGTACAAACAAATAACCCTTTTGTGCGTTGTTCGTGCATGTTACTGAAGGTACCTATACCTTTAAAAATAACAAACCAAATTGACTTTCGCAAAATCGTACAATCGAAGTGAATTCCCGTTCACACGCCGACAGCTAAGGAGTTTGGCAAAGGGACAATCGGCGACAAAGGGCGCACAAAAGGAGAACATCGCTTCCCGGCGAGGTATTTACAGTGATTTTATTGGTTCTATGTCCGTGAGCCGTTTGTCGGAGCGAAAGTACCGCGGGCGGTGTTTTGGTATCGAATGACAAGGGCATAATGGTCGGTCGGACCGCAAAGGCTTTACTCCAAATCTTGATTTATAATATCCGATAATTTATACATTCGTCGACGATAGTAAAACGCAGGAAACGTCGCCGAATATTTTGTCACTTCGACATCGTTTTCGAGGGTCGGGAAAGATATCCAAACTCGATCCAAACTCCAAGCGTTTTGTTATACAAATTTCTTCCTGTACGCTCGTTGAAATCACCTCGCTAATTCCGCTCGTCAATATTCCATATTTTCGAGCTATGCGATTCTTCCAAATCGAAAACGATAACATTCGGCGTCTTTGTAAAAGATACGTTCCGATGGTAACAAAGACCGAGGCATGCCATCGCGAGCCTAAGACAAGGAAGGCGAGACCTTCGTTCCGAAATTGATTGATGTTATAAGAGATGAAGTCGAAGTGGTTTAGTTCAGGGGCTCTTACTCTATTTCAATAATTAATATTTTATCTATCTATACGTTAGTATACATACGTTAATTTACTGACAATTAATCTACTCATCAGTTTATATTAATTTGTATATTGGTAGTAGTTTGTTAATGGATGTTGTAATTGGTGAGTTTTGGTATTGATATGGCTCCTCGCCCATCGACATTGCGGTCCTGAAGATTGGAAAAAAGTCATTCCGAACACCAGACGGAGACAGAATTCACACGTGTTCTGTAATAATCTGTCTCATTAACATATTAAGGTCTCGCTTTGAAAGTGGTCCGCGCCGCCCCGCTTCGCCTTCATTGATTAGGCTTTACAGTCCCGCGCGCTTCTTTTTGTTTCGTACGGCGCGCTTTTTTGAGCGACTGTTAAAAGGACCTTTCGCACGGGTTAGGTGTCCCTTTCGCGACCGTTTGCCCGATTTTAATGCGAAGAAACTATTGTGGCGCAACTGCGACAAGAGGCGATTCGGAGCGGAAAAAAGAACAACGCCGGCCGGGCCTTTGTCGGTGCGCTAGACATAATGATTTTCTCTTTCGTTGATTTATTTTTTCTTTTAGATTTCTTCCTTAATATTCTCATTATATAATGAATGTACTCGTTTCTAGTAAAATTAAAGGACTTTTGGTTTAAAGTAGGGATGTTTCCAAACTTCTGGGAAAAATGCTATAGACTCATTGACTCGTTATTCCTATTTTCAATCAATTAAGTATTCTCGCTCTACAATTTAAGTATTCTCGCTCTACAATTGGCTTAATAAATCATTGTTCAGGGGATCCAAATTCGTGAAGAACTAATGCCCAGTTGCACCAAAGCATCCTAGGATGAATTTCTATCTTAAGTCAGATCTAAGTCTAAAATCAATTTTATACTGTTGCACCAATTAAAAATCTCTTTCATGTGATATGAATCGATCACAGATCCTAGGTTGTCGATTTCTACGACTTAAGACGAAAATATTAACCTAAAAAATTTGAGAATTGTCGGGACAGTTATGGATAAAAATGCAGATATAAATATTATGGTTAATGTAGATATAATAGATGATGTAGAGGAAGAAATTAATGTGGTAGATGTTCCTATGCAACGACAAATTCGAATAAGAACTAATTGTTTTGAAACATTCTCGGAGGAAGAATTTTTTAAAAGGTTTCGTCTGCAAAAAAGAACGTCCCTACAATTATTTAAATTTAACCAAAATTTAATTATGAATGTACTAATTTCTAGGTTACAAGATATATTAAAACTACAACTTCTTCTTCTTTTAATCTTTTTTCACTGGCCCCAACAACTAATAGGTTATTTTGACATTTAAAATGACAATCATCTCATTCTCAAGTTAAAATGGATCGTAGGTAAAATAGCCTTTTTTAAACATATTCCAATTTTAAGTAGATCACACATTTAAGTCAGACTTAGACTTCCTATTGTCAATCAAGTATTCCCTCTTAGAAACGATTAAATTCTCTCTACAATTGGCATAATTCAGGTTGTTCAGGATATCCAAATTCGTGAAAAACTAAGCGAAATATCGTCATTATCGAGCACATATTATAATAAGGATAAGGTCGCGGTGACACCGGACTACAAACGGCGCGACCGGCCCATAAATCTCGCGGGCTCAGAGGGTGGGCCGGGCAAAGTGCGACCGCCAAAGCGGCCGCTCGACTGCCTCCACAATGGGGCCCTATTGTGCGTACGGGCCGCCAAAAGGCCCCGCTTCTAACGCTCTATGCTAAAGGAAACGAACGCTCGAGAGGTACGACAGGGCTGGTGAAAAATTGGTTGGAAATTAGGAATGTTGGTGGTGCAAACCACCTACTTGTTGTACAAAATAAACCTGCACTTTCACCTGACAATTTGGATGCATTCTGATGAAGAAGAATTTGAATATCCATCTGTTTTTACATATTAGAAGACCAAAAGTATATAGGAAAAAGAAGGGAGTGTTATCAAAAATACGACGAACTAGACTTTTATCAACGTTTTCGTCTAGAAAAAGAAACAATTTTGCATATCTATTGTGTGAAAATTATACATGGTGTTAATTAATTGAGTGCTAATACTTCAGGATGTGAATAATGGGTGATTTTAAGAAGAAAAGTTTTTAACAATAATTGTCCTAAACCTCTTAGTTTTCAAGCTACAGGGTATCACAATATAAAAAAACTTTTCTATCATAATTATTTTTTTATTACTCCAGATATTTTTATGAAATTTTGTACACACTTTTTAATTATTAGGGAGCATTATTTGAGGAAAAAGATTTTTTGTAATTTTTACCAGTGACGTCCGTACGGGGTTTGAACTGAATGTGTTTGAAGAAAAAATGGTACGCCACTGCTTTTCCTAAAAACCAAAATTATTTTTAAAATCCTCATTTTTTTTGGAGCAAATTCGGTCCGAAGACTTACTTTCGTACGACGCACCATTTTCGCGTAAAAAAATAAAAACCAAAACAATTTTTTCTCAAGTTCATTGAGACTGCTTTTGATATTTTGTTGAAATTTGGTAGGCGCCCACCATGCATGGAAACACTTATTTTTTGGATACAAAAGTTAATTTTTTTCTATTACTAGTGACGTCCACGTCCGAGTAATAAGAAAATTATAACAGAAAAGTTTTTTTTAATTATAACACCCTGTAGCTCGAAAACTAAGAGGTTTAGGACATATATTAATAAAACTTTCCTTCTTAAAATCACCCAAATATTCACATCCTGAAGCATCGACACTCAATAAATTAACACCCTGTATTTTCTGAATTAGGTACTAATTTTTACCAAGAGTATACTTTAACGCCGTATTACAGAAAATCGTCCTTTAATTTCTCTTTAAATCACGGTTTGTTTCAATTCAAACACTACAATGTCATTGTCACGGGGAAGCTTTACAACTTTGTTGTAGCTCGTAAGCTATACCCGCGAAAAAGGAAATAAACAGCGCGATAATGTCGTATAAATATTCGGCTTTGGAGCGATTCCGTCGAGAAATCCTTTTGTCAAAATAACTATACCGACGCGGAGCAGAAATTACACCACAACATAAACGATTCGGAACAGAAATAGGCGGTATATAAATTTCAGTTGGTTCATTAAGGGTTCACACACAAAAGCGAAAGAACGGCCTGTCGGCGAGCCGCTGGAAAGGCGACCCGAGTGAATAAGCACCTGAAAACAATTAAGGTCGTATAAATTGTTGAGAAAAGAGCCGAGCTGTGCCTCCATGGCTCCTCAATCATCCGATATGTATAGGTCAGCGTTTATTTTAATGAAAGATGAATGGAATGCGTGATAGGCACGAGCCAAGGCACCGAAGAATACTTAATCACATTATCGTAAATATACGGTTAGAAGAATTTATACTATACCACCAATGGTTGGTACCTACCTACAAACATTTTTTATAGAAAAAAAAAACTAATAATATTTAAACAAAATCCACCTAAACCATCGTAAAATAAACAACTAATAAGCAATACTCTGCAAGTACTATACACAAAACAATACCTATAAAGAAGAGATAATAAATACCATTAAAATGTTCATTACTGTACATAATAATATTAATAATAATAATGAAGAATTCAATCTCGTATACCCATATTGTGGGATTCTGAAAAATAAAACGCAGTCGTTTAAATGTGATTTTTTCCTTTCAGTAATACGTACTTATTATTTTTCCATTATTTATTTTATGGGTTGATACTTTACGAAGATTGCCCGTTAGTTTTTCCGACTTTTATGGAGATGCCGAACGATAATGATCAAATTTAACTGCGAAACAATATGTCTTCATTTTCGCTGCGAATATTATCTATCCGTTTAGGGAACTTCCCGCACCGCCTCGTACATAATCCAATTAAATCGTCCGGCAAAACGTAACGCCGACTACTTAATCAACTAGTTAGCAGCGAATCGCGCCCGTTTCTTCTTCCTTTTGGCCGGTAATCGATTAGGTTTTTAGCGAAAATCGCCATCAATCTTCATTGGTGGAATATTAATCATCGAACCGCCGGCTCTCGGCCCGCCTGCGGCTCAATTAGATAGGCATTCGGGCCCACACAGGTCGCCATTGTCACATTCACTCCGTTTACCGGAGGGATTTTCCGCCAGCGGACACTCCACCTAAACGCTAATTCCCATCAAACACCTACAAAGTCGCCACCGTTCATGATCCATCTAATAACTTGAGAAGCAAGATGTATAGTTGCTTGTGATCAAAATCAGTTAAAGTGCTGCATTTTTTCCAGGTAAAGAAGAAGACAGCGACATCGATTCCGAACCGGGAATACCATTAAAACGGAAACAGAGGCGCTCCAGGACGACTTTTTCCGGTGAACAACTGGAAGCTCTGGAACGAGCTTTCACCAGGACTCAGTACCCCGATGTATACGTGAGAGAAGAGCTCGCCCAACAAACGGGACTCACAGAAGCCCGAATACAAGTAAATACAATCCTTCTTGCCTCTTACTATCTACCACATCCAACTCGGTGTAACACCATCGATATATTTCCACAGGTGTGGTTCTCGAATCGCCGAGCCCGCCTGCGCAAAGGCTCCACGGGCGCCAGCCCCTCTTCAGCCTTGGGCTTCCCGGTACTTCCGTGCCAGTACCCGCGGGAATCGCAGTACGATTGGCGGAACGCCCAATTCTACAACTACAACGTGCAATCGTCGTACAACCAGGAGTACTCGGCGCTGTTGGAGTCGAACTACGCGCTGGCGCAGGCGCACATCAGCCAGGCGCAGGCGCAAATGAGCCAGGCGCAGGTGCACAAGGAGAACTACGTGCAGGCGCACGCGCAGGCGGCCAACGTGCGCGTGAAGGACGCGGAGGTGTACGAGGCCGCGCACACGGCGATAGCGCAGCAGGATAGGATGAAGGACTGCGGCGTGGGTTATCACAATCCGGAGGCGAGCAGGCCGGTGGGAATGAGCAAGGAGGTGGATTTGAGTAACGAGGCGTCGGGCAGTATGGAGGGCGCGTGGGAGAAGGTGCCCGATTGGAAGCACAACGCGAATTTAGTCAATATGGGGAATTTCAGCGGCAACGAGCATTTTCACAGTCAATACCAGGCCGATCAGAAGAACTACTGGGCATGAGGCAAGTACGTAATAAATTAGGATTAAGTTTAGAGTGTAAATATGAAAACATTGGCGAGAAAATATATTGAAATGAAATACAACAAACGATGCTCCATTATATATTTTTTTATTGACATTTATATTACATTAATATAATACCACTTCTAAATAAATACCGGCAAGAGAGCCTATTTTTACAAACATATGTAGATATTATCGTCCTCGATTTATTGTCTAAGGATAAACACTTATTGTCTTAAATACTTGATTAGTTTTATTCATTTAATATTGTCCCACACAGCGCATATTTTCGAAAAAATCCAGCCCCATTTTTATCAAGGAAACTAAATAGGAATTATAACATCGAAATCCCACTATAGCAGAAATAATGCGTTGCAAAACTGATTTTGTCTCGATAAAACATTTACTGTGGAAGACCAAATTGTTAATTTTGTTGTTACGTATCGGATTCGCAATCCTCTAATCATGTCTACACATAAATCAATAAATGTAAATGTACCAATAATAATATTGTGTTAACCTAGTTCCTCCACCAAAAATTAAAATCAATTTATTTTTTTATTATCGAATAAATTATTGTCTCGGTTAGTAAAGAAGAACTACAGTGGGACGAACTGGTTTAAATAGATTATAGAATATATAAATTGGCCTAACCTATTTCTAGAATCTAGCGTTAATATGTATGATGATGATATTCTTGATTGGAGAATTGCTCTCGAAAGATGTGATATCGATAGGAAATAGTCGATAGAATTTACGGATATGTGTACCAGATATGTTATTAAAAAACGCTCTGATATGTTAAAAATCCAATTAAAAAACCAGCGCGATAAAAGAATTAATTGAATATTCGGTAGGCGATTACGAGAAAATTAAAACAATCAATTCTATCAACCACATTTTCGTTCGGGATGCGTTCGTTAATTTAGTAAAATTTGCTGACGTTAGGATGGTAAAAAATCCGTTTCAGATAAGCAGACTCGCCGGGCGACTTGTAGGAATATCCGTCGCTGGATTTTAGTAGTATCGACGCGTTTTGGGCGTCGCCGTCGACTTGGGCTTCCCCATTTGAGGAAGACGCCCTGAAAACGAAACCAGTTTTACCACTTCTATTTACACAAAATGAACGAACACAACTAAAAGGTATCTAAACCGGTGCAATTCGTACTCTAAAGGATGTGCGTATCGTACAATCAAATGCAGTTGTGCTATTCACTAGCATATTTCACAACATCTATTGAGGTTATTGGGGGGTAAATTCATGTATATCGATTATACATTAACCCCTGTTACTACGCCTAAACACCAAATCGGGTCAATCCAAACTATATTATATAAATACGTTGCTCGGGAATCCAGGGACAAGCAAAAACGAACAAACAAACAACAATATCTAATCTACGACAGTCGAATTAACCTGCATTCACCGACACTGGATCTGCCCGATCTGTTGAATCTTCTGATGTGCCTAAACGTAGGCAGCCAACCTAATCGGGCCAAAGAGCCTATGTGCTTCTTCTCCGGATTCGGGTATCCGGATTTAGCGGACGCGGTCGGTCGAAAACCGCTCCTCATCGCCGAGCCTGGACCAAAATGCACAATTCATAAAAACGCCCAAATGCACCTTAAATGTACCTACACTGTCCTCGTTAAATCAATTCTACTCAAAGCGTTAGTTTTATACACTTGTTATACAAAGAATACCGGGTCGAATCGCGGTGATGTCACATTATAATAGAATGATATTTGGAAAATAACGCTTATTTTGTAACAGTCGTTACTGCACCTCTATACAAACAAAATCGATTCCCAACTCTATTAAACTTCTGTCAAACGAAATGTCATAAATGTCAATTTTGACATTAATCAACATTTCAAAAACTTTACTAATCTACCGTACATTAGAAAACTCAGTGCGATATTCCGACCCGGCATATAATAAAGTAATGTGAGCACCACAATATTCCAAAAAAATAACACTTCCTTTACAAACATACTCACCTAAGAAACGCTTCCCGATACCGGGATAGGCCTGGTGCAAGTCCCTTATAACATCATCATCATCGTCGTCGTCGTAGGCATTCTGATAAACGGGGGTGTAGTTCTCGTCGTAATAATAATCGGCCTCCCGTTTCCCTCTCGCCGCTCCCATGCCGTTCTTATCGTCGAACAATCGCCTCAGATCGCCGGAAGATTGTTTGCTAATTGCATTTGATAGGCGATTACCGGAGCCCGCTGGAAGGAAACCGATCGGGAGTATTAGAGGCAGGTACTTCGCTTATGAGCTTCTCGAGATAACTTTGAAAGTTTGAATTGGGGATTACGGGTGAACTAGATTCTTGACGGTGCATTCGATTATGAGTGTATTATCTTGCAGTATAGATTAGAAATTTATTCCGGGAGATTATTGGATTTTCCGATGTTTTAAATGAAATAATTTACCTTGGGGGCTTCTTTTATACTGGGCGTGCTTGCGGTTGAGATCCCCGGCTTTAGCCAGGCTGCTCAGGGATTTCTTGCTCATCGGAGGTACGTCGTAATTTTTAATTATGCTCCCCAGGTGTCTCTTGTCTGCCAAGTTTTCCCATAGAGTCTGGACGTTCCTTGAGTGTAAGTCTCCATTTCTGGCTAAAGACTCTAATCCTGCGCAAACAAAATTTAAATTTTACCCCGTATCTCTTTTCCATTCCCGAACATCCCTTTCTTGCTTTATTGTTCGTAGGAGACAGATATGATTTAATCTCGGTTGGTAGCTCGGCTAGTTTACAATGCAGCAAGCGATGTATTGGGGATATTAATCAAATCCCATTCAGCCCTTGTGGCAGCTAACGCCTTTGAAAGAGTATTGAAGCGTAATAAAGTTTAGCTTATGAATTGGATCGCGCTATTATGCCAAAAAAAATCGATGCGTGGGAAAAGATAAAATTTATTCGATTTTATTGTTTTTGTCGTTTCGTTAATTCAACCTAGATCGAAAAACACACGCTAGAGAATTAAATTGTTGTCGCTAAAGGCCGAGTAATCCGCCAGAGGGCGTATGAATCGCGATAATCAAGGAGAGACCTTTCCAATGAGTTGGATATGACGTTGATAAACTGAAATAATGATTCCCGATCACGAAATCCTGTATTTGTATAATATATATAGTTCGATTGAAATTCTACACAAAGCGTAATTCGAAAATACCGAAACAAAGCGAAACTACTACGCATACAAATCGAAACGTGCATTATTGAATCGTCACCTGGTAGATTCTCGTATCTAGATTATATCTGGACTATATCTATTTCTTTAATTGGAATCTAAATTAATATCTGGCGAATTAAACTCCACGCGGTTGGTTAAATTGGAATTCTCGTGTTCAATTTCCTGGTGTTCATTTTAGTGTAAAGTCAATTCAATACGCGAATTAAATGGAAACACCAAAGTTGATTGCATTTAATATGTGTGTTTTTAAAAGGGTTGTTTAATGTAGCAGTAATTTTTAAAAAATTGGATATTTGGAAAATAACTGTTATTTCGTAACAGTCGTTACTGCATCTCTATGTACAAAAAAATCAAATCCCACCTCTATTAAACTTCTGTCATACGAAATGTCATTTATGTCAATTCAGACAGTTTTCGTTTTTGTATCATCGAAAGCATCTTATAGTCCTTTTAAGAATTCTCTCGTTAAATGTCCTGCTGTTTGTTTTAATGTAAGTACCTATTTCTAAAAAGTCAATTAACAATATGCAAATTAAATGAAAACATCAAAGTTTCTGTAAACTACGTATATATTACCAAAGAATGCCAGCATTTTAAAATGTGTGTTTTTTAAAAGGGTTGTTTAATGTAGTAGTAATTTTTGATTGAATTTGTAATTACTAAACTAACTAAATACTAACTTACCACGCTTTTGTTCGTCTGCCTGCCTGGGGAGTTGCCCGTTTTTTGCCAAATTAGCGATGCTTCTCTTGTAATTGGCGTCGTCTTCTTCTTCTTCTGGCATCGTTTTGATGTAGCCCGCCCTGGCAAGAGCCTCTAAATTTCTTTTATCGGGGAGGCCATTCAATCTGGAAAAAAAATTCAATGACACGCAAACGAGCGCTACATTCATGTCGCGTCGCATTTACGATTTTAAAATTACATTTTTCACGATTTTAGAGAGATTTTTTCTTCTTTAACATCGTTAATAATTTCAAAGGATAATCCCCAAGGATCAAGCCGTATACAAACCCTTTATTGTTAGTAAATTACCTCATTAAAGCTTGATAGCCTTCCTCGTCGTCGAGCCGATCTATGGCCTCCTGAACTTTTTTCAACAGCTCCCTGCGCAGCGCCCTCACTTGAATGGAGGGATTCTCCTGCGGGGACAGGAGCTCCTCCAACACCTGATTACCGTCAATATCGTATGTCGATACCTGCAAAAGCGTTTTAAAATAATTTATTGTCCGATGGAATTTGTAGATCTTTGTCCTTTAACAAAACGATGTCTGGTATCTAGTTTTCCATATTGAATAGCATTTTCCGGATGTCCTTCCTGCAGGATATCCGTCGTATAAATAACAATAGCCATAGGATACGGGTTTATTGTGAATTGTATTGCAGGAAAATATAATAGAAATTCCCGGTCCATGTGCAGGATAAGGTGAAGCTTTAAAGCTTTGATTTTAGTAGTAGTAAAATGTTAGCTGATGGTATTATTAAGAGAATTAATGGATAATTGTACTAATTAAATGTATGTAAGAGGGAATAAAGTTGTGGTAAATTTATTAAATTAGAGAATTATCAATTTAATTGGAGTGAAATTATTTGTTTGAATGTTTTAAAGTAGAATTCAATACGAATAAAAATTATGCTCGCTACCTTTTATCGATCCTGATAGGAACAGGTGGTTATATTGCAAACAATACATCACGTACAATACACAAATCATTGGAAATAATTTTCCGATGCTCTTATTTGATAAAAAGTAGACAGATGCGGAATATTATGGAATATAAGCTCTTTTCTTCTTGTTTTTTTTTTCGCGTTTTATACGCCGCGAGTATTGGTTTCCCGTCGAACGTTATTTCTAAAGGAAACTTGAGATGCGCGAATTGGAAATTGGAAAAACGTTCGGATTTTTCATTGTTGGAATTGGCAGGCGTAAAATCGTTAAAAAAGCTTTCCCAATACTAGCCGCAGTACATTTTTCGCATTCCCTGCACTCTGGTAATTAGTTTCACCATTCTGTCGCAGTCCTCGCGATTAATTTAATTCTCCTGTCAATTAGTTGCATTTTGGCCCATTTTTCAGCTTCGTAAGAACTCCATTTATCGATCGAATTCGTCGGGAAACCTCAACATATAAAAGCATGAGATTAAAATAAAATTTCATCGAAAACCGATGTTACTCTTCCAGTCCATTGGCTTCGACGAAATTAAATTCTTTCAGACTTTAGAAAAGGGAATAAGAGCTTATCGAAAATTCGATGGTAAATTCCACGTATTTATATCGCAAACAACCCGTATAAAAATCGATCGAATGTGTCGGAGTGATCGAAATTAAAAATTTAATATCAATTTTTTGCTCTTATCATTCTTCTAGTGCCGTTTGTCATTAGGAAGCGAGTCGAGCGGGCGTGAAACGTCGCCGTTTGTGATAAACAGTTTCGTAATTAAATTTAGGTTTTTGCTTTCGCCCGGCGTTATTAAATATTTAGCAGTTTTTGTAGCGGAATTAATCGGCTTTTCATTTGACAAATTCGTCTGCGCTCGGAATTCCGCCGCGATTCCATTATGTAATTACTTGGTGTAGCTTCTTTCGGTAAAATCGCCTCGCGTTGAACGCTGATTATGATATAAATTTCGGGAATGTACATTTTATAATTACGCTTGGAACTATACCACATGCGCTGCGAAATATTCGCCCTCGTGCATACTTAGCGAATATTTTCGCGGTACTGATGGGAATAAATTCCTGTTCTAATTACCGAATAATATCCCACGTGCATGTTGGCGTAAAATTACAATTTGATGTCTAAGTAGTTCTAAAAGTAATGTTACGCCGGGAGAAAAATAAGACCGGAGTTCTAAATGTAAGTTAAGCGGATTGCGGAGTTTTAATTAACCGGACGGCATAAATCGGATTTTCCCTCGGAGAGGCTATTAAATCGGGATTACGTTTCTCTAATAGTCACCGGGAAGGGGTTTATTGCCAACAAGGTTTTCTGAAAAATAAGGAGGAAACGCCGCTAAACTTAATTCTTTCAACAAGAATCGGTTGTCCATTTTATTATTGAAATTTTAGTTTGCTGGATGCATAAAAAAACTCTTGTTTTTTCACACTAATTAAACTCGCATAGCAAATGTATTTTATCCTGTACTTTCCAGTTTAAATTAGAGTTCGGCCTCTTTACTTTAAACTCTTCTAAACTTAAACTTTGCAACATTTTAGGCGTGTAGTAATTCAAACTTTCATCGTGTAGTTAGAGCGCACGTGCACTTGTTGATGACACACCAACATCAATCAAACCCCAAGCAGACATAAATATATTATACTCACCTTGTATACGCCGAGCAGGAAAACAAGAATACCGAACGCGAAATTCATCGATACAGCCGAATGCATCCCGCGACTCCCTTCGCCCGAAAACTCCCCAATGGCTTCGCAAAAAGGACCCCTATGGCAGAAAGAATGCCCTTTCAACTGTTGATTCGAATATCAACACGTACGGTTTAGACATGTCGCCGTCGCGGCGTCGGTTTTATACAAGCCGAAAGCGGTGGTGGGCGACGGAACCGTCCCCTCGCGCAGAATCCGCCCCAAAACGCGAAACGGCCGGGGTCGGAATCGCTCCATTATCCCTGTCATCTGCCTACGGTTACTTTGAATTATGCTTCCCAGAAATTCGAAGAGATTTCGCCGGATAAATTGGATGGCGCAAAAGGCCGATGCAGCACTAACAATTACAGAGGGAATGTTGGGAATTGTTTCTCATTAAATTGTTCCGTTTTATTAGCTTTATTATTTATTTTTTAATTAGCTTCGATTTGCGACAATACAACTGTCCTTTAAAATTCAAGTAGGTTGTAAATTGGAATGTACCTTAAGTAGGATTGGCTAGAGTAATCAAGGGAATATTATTTGAAAAGTAACGCATATTTTGTAACAGTCGTTACTGCGTCTCTATACCAAAAAAAGTAATTCCCACCTCTATTAGACTCCTGTCAAACGAAATGTCAATAATGTCAGTTTTGACGGTTTTTGATACATGAGTATCATCGAATGCATCTTAAACTCCCACTTGAATTGTATTGCAGGAAAAAAAGTGAATAATCAGTGTAAGAAGTAAAAGTGAAAAGTGAATATCACCAATTTTACGTCCATTCTGTATTCAAATGCAATAGAAATTCGGATGCGATCCTGTATTTACCGTATAAATAGGTTAGTGGAGGTTCAAAGGGACCACTTTGTTTGCCTTGAGATCCTTTGGAAAAAGCGGAATCAAACGTAATAAGGCGCTCCCGCCCGATTACTAGCGTAAATAGCTTTTGCGATAGTTCCCGTTTCGACGTAAACTTTATTAAAAAAGTAATTGTACGTTTCGAATAGCTTGTTTGCTGTAATTTCCAGGGCTTTAATGGGAAATTTCCAAGTGCACAAAGCGAGTATGAAGTGAATACATTAGAGGAGACTGCATTTTCGTCGATTGGATCATTAAAAGCGGGATTTTTTAGTTATCCGGTTTTTTTAGTTAGTTCGCGTCGAACTCAAAATACACTCCACCCCTGGGAAATCCTATTAGTTTTAATTTGAATTTATGGGTGGCGAATAAACAAGTCTATGGGGCAAATTTCGCATGGCGATCGAATTTCTTATTTACGATTCGGGTCGCTCCTGCTAATATTTCTCAACTTCGATTAAATCGTATTTCAAGCCGTAAATTATCTTTAATTTTTTTTAGATACCAAGATAAATTAAATAATAAAATCTATACTTACCTATTCAGTATGTAATAATTAGACAGGATCAAAATTAATACAAACTATTACTTCATTTAAATAACTTAAAATTTTATTTAAAAAAAATCACAATATACTTTAAGTACAACTTAGAAATATGGAATGTATAAAATTGCACTAACTAAATTAAGTACATAGGTAAAACTATTAAATACAGTACGATCGAAAAGTCACGGAATATGATTTAAAAAAAAATCCTAAAAATTACATTAAATATTGAGATCTTACAAAATATCTGTCGCTAAGGGCTACTCTCTTTCCTCGACGCGAATTTTGATTAATTTTATACAAAATATCAAAGTCAATATTATATTTAAAAAGCTCTTTAGGCACGCGTTTTATACAAATATTACAAAAAATATCATTTTCGATATTTAGGCGAAAATAAATAAAGGGCACGTAAATTCTCCGAAGTCTTTTGCCTCTTGTTCAGCTACATAGTCTACCGATAAATTATATTAGAAAACGAAAACATACAAAATGCACTCTCTCATCATAAACAGACGTTTGTACCTTTCATTAGGCTAATTTTACAATTTTTTTGAATCAATTATGAGTACAAACGTCATATTTTGCAGTACCTCAAAATTTTTTCTTATGCACATAAGGCAAGATAATCCTTACAATTATTCAATACATATGTAGGTACTTATTTTTATTTTCGGGGACCTTCCATAAGGACCTTAATCTACGGTTTATTTTCTAACATTAGACAGTAAAGGCTGAGGTGGTTTCTCAAAAAAATAGTGCGTTTATTTATATGTTAACGCATGTTTAAAAAGGCATTTTTTGAAGATAAATACATTTTCTCGAAAAAATTAATACTTTTGTTGTATTATTGCAGCATAGAATTAGAAAAAGGAAAGACCTGAAACGTTTGCAAATAGTTTTTTGTTATTATTAATATTATTATTATCGAATGATCTCTGAGATTGTCAATTTTCTCTTCTATCTTTTCCTTCATCTATTCTAATTAATCTACGTTGTAAAAACTTCAGTCTGTATTGCGTCTTGGAAAAATAAATTATTGAGCAATTCAGTGTTTGACGACTACCAGTTAATGGCACTAACGTAATTTAGTACATGAGAAAAATTAGCAAATTTATTTCTTGCACATTTTCTTTAAGTTTATTTTTATCGTTCTGTCTATTAGATGATTAAATAAATGTATGTTTCGCATCTCGAAAAATAACTCTATATTATGTCTCCTTATATCTACGCTATTTATCGAAATTTTTATCATTATTAGGTATTTCTGGTTTTGTGTATTGTAAATTCGGAATAAATAGATTGTTTCGATTGTTCACAGTCTTGAGTATTTGTCTGTTTTGATGGAATGTCGTATCATCTAAGTTTACATTTATGTAGCAATTTATAAAGCTGAGTATTATATTATTCATCTTATACACTTTTTAAAGCTTCTATTGTACGCAGTGCAATTATACGAAATCAATTCGTGTACTAAACATCATCAACTTAACTGTACAAAATACAATTAAAAACTAAACAGAAGTTTCCTCGTTCTTTTCCTCGATCCTGCAAGGGAATTTATTTTTTCATTAAAAACTCGCACACGTTATAAGATTCGTGATAATTACCTCGCCCGCTTGGTTAGTTCGAGAAAGAATTTATTTATCGTATTCCCAACACCATCTAGAGTAAATTAATAGAAAAGGGAACATATTAGTTAAACCACAACCACATTATCAGAGATGAAAAAAGTAAACTAACAAATAAGTAAGTAAATACGTGCATAGGACTTACTGATGAGGCGATTCGTTGTGTCGGGTGCCGTGCATCATGACGGGGGCCATAAGGGGCGAAGGCGAGCCCCTCATGCTGCCGCAAATGGACCCGTGCACGGAGCCCAAGACGGAGCCGATCCTGGAACCGATGTGGGAACCGGCCGTGGAGCCGTGGTAATCCATTCCCGGGTTGTTGATGTCGTTCGTCACCGGCGATACGACCCTGCTGCCCGGATGCAACGAGTGAATGTAATTGCTGTGGGTCGTTATGTGGTCCTCTTCGGCTGGAAATTACATCGATTTTTTTTTAGTTGTATGGTAATTTACAGCAGGTAGGTAATGAAATGGTATAGATTATACAGGGACGGACCGATCCTGCATAATATATCTATGAGGTACTGTTCATGAGAAAATCCACTACAATTACTTAATTACTGTAAGCTAACACCAACCTTTATAATCATTGTCTATTAGGAAGCATTCAATAATTACACAAATTTATTAGTTTAGTTAAATATTGCAGGTGTTAGTATAACTTACCAGTGTAGGGGAAATGATATTTATCGTTTGTATGCTGCTTTTCTTCATTATCCGAGAGATATTCCGGGTAGTTCATGTTATCGTGCGGCATAATCTTGGGCAAATAGTCGCCCTTGTAGACCAATGTGTTCGGATTGTAATTGTTGTAGTGCGTCCTGACCATGTACTGCTCTGATTGCAGCGCCGGGACGCTCGTCTCCGGCGTGACGTCCGGATGAGGAAGCGGATTCGGCGAGCCGTTCTTCTGGTAGAACTCATTGTCGGAACCGGTTTCCGCCGACCACCGTCCCACCTCCGCCACTGCAATGATATTCGATAAATAACGGTTATTTTGTAACGGTCGTTACTGCAGCTCTATACCAACTAATTGAATCCCACCTCTATTAAACTTCTGTCATATGAAATGTCATTTATGTCAAATCAGATAGTTTTTGTTTTTGTATCATCGAAAGCTTGAAAATGTCCCTTCAAGAATTCTCTTGTTAAATTGCCAATTAAATGAATTCAATATGCAAATAAATTGAATGAATTGTTATTCGAAATGTCATTAATGTGTCAATTTTGATGTTTGCACATTATCGAACGCGTCACAAAGTCCCACTTATTCGTGTACAATGCTAAATTTAATAATGTATCATAGGTGAGAGTAGAGGAAGATGGGATTAGTGCAGAATATAGGTAATAAAAAAGAATAAGGTAAGTTAAAAAGTTAGTAATTTATCGTAGAGTAGCTAAAAAAAAAGATATTTGAAAAATAACGGTTATTTTGTAACAGTTGTTACTGCACCTCCATACCGAAAAATCGATTTCCGTCTCTACTAAACTTCTGTCGTGCGAAATGTCATCAATGTCATCAATGTCATGTTTGAGTTTTCGTTTATGTATCACCGAACGCATCTTAAAGTCCTACTTACTTGCGTACAACGCGAAATTTAGTCATATACCTCAGTGGAGAGTAGAGACATCAACCCGAAGCTTTTATAATCAAATAAATACGAGAATAAACAGGGCGCCTACCGTTGTGATTGGGCAGATAAGACTCGGGCAGCTGACTAGTCCACCTGGAGCCGTAGCTGGGCTGCACGGCGGGGAACAGCTGCGAATTGGTGACCACGTTCAACGACGGCGGAGTACCGCATCGCGACACCACGTGCTCCGTGATATTGGGCAGGTACCCCTGCCGGCCGTTGTTGGCGCGCGCCCGGTGCCTCCGCATGCTCGACTCGTCGTCGTCGCTCGAATGGCTCGACGCCAAATCGAGGCTCCTGCCCTCCGACCCGTCCGAGTCCGAGTCGCTGTCCTTGTCCCGACGCTCCCGGTCGCGCTCTCGTCGCTCCTCGTTCTCTTCGGGCACCTCGCGGTGCCTGTGCAGGCCGGTCTCGTGCTCGAAGCCTCTCAAGTACGATGGAACGTCGCTGGTCGAATTGTAGTTAGACGTCGACGTGGAGGTGTGTCGAAGATGGCTGTCGCTTCTAAATTATAATTATTAATAAAACGATAGTTAGATTTAATTTCCAACGCACCTGTAAGGACTAGAGCTGGTTTTGGTAGTCGATCTAGAAGTGGTACTCGATGTCGATATACCGATGTTTCTTCTACCTGCCTCCCCGGAGTTATAAGATAAAGCAGAACGCTGTAAGTACATCGCAAAGTTATTCAAACGGGCTAGTTAAAGAGCTGAAAAAATTCGTACCGATTGAGCGTTGATATTCTGGCTACTCGTACTCGGTACTCCGATCACCGACTGCGTATCGAGCAGCGGCACCTTCTTCCCCATACACCTCATTATCGATCTTATAAGATTCTGGCGCACTCTGTTATTAGCGAAACAGTACCCAGCTAAAGAGAAAGCGGCGTGGATCAGCACGGCGATTGAGAGGAACGGCGTGAGCAGCGGATGCCGCTCGGAGGCGTCCAAAAGGGCCAGCACCCAAGCGGCCCCGGTCAAAGGTAAGGCTATAACAGACACCCAGAGAAGCGTCCTAAGATTCCCGAAGCCCAGCACGTGGTCTTGCAGCGTGAACGCCGCTCTAACGGAAAACGCGAGTACCAGCACGTTGATCAGCACCAGCAGACAAATCGGCCCGACCAAGCTCCAAACGACGCTCTCGTACAGCGACACCCAACAACTGAAATCGAAACTATCAGTACCGTTTACTAAATTAGACGATTGTTTATTACAAGTAGTAGTTGCCGTATTGGTGCGCTCGTACTCCCACCGCTAGGCTCACAACTACAGCGGGTGCTACGTATCCCATGCAGTAGTAGAACCTCATGGGGCCGTGGTTGATGTCCCGCATCTCGGTGAGCATCCTGTATAAGTGGATGGCGTCGACGAGCATCCAAGAGAAGGCGGCCAGCCAGAGGTAGTGCAGGCCGATCGCGGCTAGTTTGCAGGCGAACTGCGGAGAGAATTCGTTGGGTTTACGGTGTAATCGTGGTGGATTTGAGTTACCTCGTTTGCGATCATCGGTCTGCGGGCTTTCAACGCGATGAAGTACAGCAATTCGCCCAGAAAAACGCACAACACCAGGTTCTTTCGTATGGTATTCGAATTGGTAGCCAGGCCTCTAATCAGCGCCAAAATGAGGTAAGTACCGAGCAGAAGAGGTAGCGATATGGCGAAGCAACTGTAACTGGATACGTCCTCCAAAAGAGACGGCTCGGGGATGTACTGCGAAGAAAAATATTATAAAAATATTGATAACAGTAATGATGGTTAATATTACTTCTAAATCGACTTTATCGACCAAAACAGCGAAGGTTCCCAATTGATTGCAACTGCAATTGACCAGAATCGGCTTGTCTCCGGTTCTTTCGTGCCAATCATCAGTCGCTTCTGTTCTACAGCCCACCCTCGACCATTCGCCGAAGCTAAAACAATACACAAATTTAGCGATTTATACCAAAAAATTTCCGTTCACAGAAATTCCCAGAAGTAGCGAGTAGAGAGCATAGAGTAGGGACTAGAGAGAAGCAAGTATAGATAATATAGTAGGGAGTAGGGAGTAGAGAGAAGAGAGAATAAAGTAGGGAGTAGGAAAGGGGAGATAGTAGGGAGTAGATAGAATAGAATAGGGAGTAGAGAGAATAGAGTATGGTAGGGAGTAGAGACTAGAGAGAATAAAGTAAAGAGAATAGAATAGTTTTGGGCAATTCCTGCGTGGGATTAGTGGAGCATGCAGGAAACAAAACTTTTTCCAATGCGTCCAAAATATTATCCAAAAATAATTACCCTCTAACGTTAACCCATCGAACGCATTGCGGATTCGATCTAGCATTCAGTATAGTACTATTGGTATCCATCCACATCTGCAGCCTAACTGGACTATTCAAAGTAGTACCAGACAAACTTCTATAAATCAATTTAGTCTCCGACAGTTTATCTCTCTTCACTCTCAAGTATCCTATATCATCTTCATCGATTTCGCTGCGTTTGTAGCCGTTTTTGGTCCAATAATCGCCGGGATCGAACTTCAAATCGACGTCCTGAAACGGCACTTTGTTCTCTTCGGGCGGCTTCACGTGGATGTACTCAGGCACCAGCACGCTGACGGACACTAACGGCGAACCGACGGTGATATCTACGCCCCATCTTCTTATAACCGATTCGTCGTAGGTGTCCGGGTGCAAGGCGCTGTCTTGCCGATACTGCGCGTAACTAACAACAGAACCGTCCTCCGGCAAGCTGTGCTTGGTGATTATCTCCCCGAATTCGATGGGCTTGATGCCGAGCAGGTTGAGAGACAGCATGATTTTGGTGTGGCGATCGAACTTCGAGCTGTCCAGTAAGTAGTTGTTGTATTTCGGGAAGGACACGTACGGTTCGGGGTGGAGGTTTCTGCTCTCTTCGAGGAACAGAGACGTGTCGGGTAAGATGACGCTTTCCGAAGTGAAATTCGGTTTGAGCGGCGGAAGAGATTCGGATTCGAAGCCGTACAAAGACTCCGGCGTGACGATATCCAAACCGATAACTGCAAATTGAACAATCGAATTAATTCGCAATAGATCGATGATAAAATACTCACCGAAATTAGGAGAGATGATCTCGAAAGGACTGGTGTAAGTATCGTGCTGGCTAGCCGATAATATGTTGATATATTTCTCGGTGAATTCGATAAGATTCTCGATTCCCTCTCCGGTCAAAGCTTTTATTCTCTTCCAATGGCGCTCGTAGCTCGAGCACAACACCACGCTCAGCGAATGCGCCACGTTTCTGATGAAATCCTTGTCCTGGCTGTGCGTCAAATTCAATCCGTTCATTTTGCTTTCGTAGTTAAACAACTCTTCCAACAACTCGAACGTTATCAACACGTCGGCGCCGTACAAATTCCCGGTCAAATTGGTCGCCTTGTACAAATCGTACGATAATTTTATCGCCACGAACGTGTTCAAATGCAAATCGCCCCTTTCGATATTCGATAACTGAAATAAACATACAAATCTATAGAAGATTCCTTGAAGAGTTAGCTACTTGAGAGTTTAGGAGTTGGTAGGGTGTTATGGATAAGAGGCCACTAACTAGAAACATTAGGAAATAACATGCAGATCAACCTGTAAAAATGGTAAGAATAAACAGTAGGTACTAACCTGTTCTCTCAGTTCCAAAAATTTCTCGGAAGTGCAATTGAACAAATCGGGTTCCTGCCAACCGCCCAAATCGTTATCGCAAGTTCTCGATGCTTTACCGTGAGACCCTTTAGGGCATACTTCGAATGCATCAGCTCCAAACACAGTCCTGGGCCACCAGATTCCACTCGACGACGATTTGGGGCAACCATCATAAACCACTGCAAGATTTTTCGTTAATAATCATTACTCGAGGAACGTTCAAGCAGCGCGTAAATTACCTTCGCAACCCTTCGTAGTGACCTCGGCGTAAGCGTTGGGACACGAGTCGCATTTGAGCCCGATGACGCCGTCCTTGCACCGACACTGGCCGGTCTCGTGGTCGCATTGGGTGCTGTGCGAGCCGACGTGGTAGCAGTCGCAGGGGATGCACCGCGTGGTGCCGCTCGGCTGGTAGTGGTTCTCCCTGCAGTGGCACTTGCCGGTGGCCTTGTCGCAGTCCGGGTTGTAGCCGGCCTCGACGTCGCATTGGCACGGGCCGCACACCGGGTAGCCCCACCAGCTGGCCGGGCACGGTTGCGACGACTCGTTCTCGCAGTACTCGCCCGAGTAGTTGGTCGAGTTGCACTCGCACCGGTAGTTTTTCGCCTGTTCGAGGTCCTGTACGCAGCGGGCGCCGTTGTCGCAGGGGTCTTCGGAGCAAACGGGCACGCACAGCGGGCCTATATGTCCCGGGTTGCATTCGCAATAGGATCTACCCCATTCGATTATGCACTTCGACGATGCCGGGCACTCGGCGTTGCATTCGTTGATCGAGTAGCAGCCGTCTTCGACGTTGTCTCGCACCGTCGGTCTGTTCAGCAACGTTTGATGGTTGCCTATTCGCACGTCTTGGATGCAACCTTCTAAGTAATTGTAGCCGGCGTTTAGGCTGGTGTAGGTGTTGTCGGGGCCGCCTATGAGGATTTTCCCGACGTACAAACCTTGGATTTTATCGGCGAAAGGCATGGTGACGGCGCTCTCTCCGTAATCCACGGACAGTTTGATTTCGGTACCGATCCAAATGATTTCCAAATGGTGCCACTCGCCGTCGGAAATATATTTAGACGGTAAATGCAACGATTCCCCGTTGTAAGAATAATACAAGAAGCCTTTATTTAAAGAGGTTACCGCCGAGCTGTTTTGGCCGACTTGCACGGACATCAAAAACGTGTCTTCTTGCAACGTCCTCACCGATAAACCATTCAACCAAGGCAATTGTATAGGCCTGAGCAGCGGATTGAACGACAGAGTACCGTCGCCGGAGAAATGCCAGGGCGAGCTGATGGTCTCCGAGCAATCTTTGCCGCCGAAACCTTGCGGACATTCGCACTGGTACATGGCCCAGCCGTCCGAACATTTACCGCCGTTTTTGCATGGTCTGGACGAGCAAAAGGTCCGTCTCTCGGGGCAACCGGGCGTCGTGCCGTTGTCGGTCATGAACGCGTTCAAATCGACGAATTGATAGTCGATTTCCAAATCGGATATGCACCCTTCGTAATGGAATTGCTGTATCTGGAACACGGCGGACTCCGCCGGAACGCCGCCCAGCTGCAAGGGCCCCGTTAGATCCAGGAATCGATGGCAGGTCTCCGTTAGAGAGGCGCAGCGTTGCTCCAGCTGGTGCTCCACGTACCCGGCGCAGTTCCATTTCCCCCCCAAATCGGAGCCGTGCTTCAACGCGATGGCAGTGTCGCAATCGTCCAAAGATACAGTCGCCGTTTTGTTGAAGTAAATAACGCGAACCGTGTGCCATTTACCATCGGATACTGTGTTGGAAATCGAGGCTGTAACTTTCGTTATTTGGCTGCCGAGCGAGAACGAAAACTGCACTTTCCCTTTGACGATTTCCAAAGCGATGAAATCGTGTTGTTCGTTGTATCGTCCGTTGTATAGGAGCAACCCGTTGGGCTGTTGCGTGGCGAATTTGAGGCTCAAATGCAACCGGTGCCTTTGCTTCAAACTCGGGAACGTCAGAAACGAAGTTTTGGTGAAACTCCGGCTCTTCAATTGGCACAACGGCGTGTAGTGCTCCAATTCGGCGACGATGTTGCAATCGTCGCAAACGAAATTCGATCTGCCGGGTTTCGGGGAGCAAGTTTTATCTTTGAGGCAATTGCATTTGTCGCTGTCTAGTTTAGTTTCGCAATTTTCGCCGGCGTAACCCGCGGGACAGACGCAGGTGTAACCGCCTTCGCGGATTTTGCACGTGCCGTTGTTTCTGCAAGGCGACGAGTAACACAAATTCACCTCCGTATCGCATAAATAATGCTCCTTGGAACCGGTGAAGCCTTTGGAACATTGGCAGGTGAACGTGGTCACCGGATAGATCGGTCTGAACAGCACGGTATCGCTGGAGATGAAACCCGAAGCGTTGCCGAATTTCAACACAGTCAAGCATTCCTCGTAGTTCAAGCAAGGTTCCCGCACGCACAGATTATCGTCGAACGGTAGGATTTGCACGGTGGATAGCCTCGCCAGAACGCCTCGATTCAGGTAGACTTTTTCTTGGAGGAATTGCGGGGAGTAGTACTCCTCGCGCGGCACGTCGGGCCGCCTGACCGAGAAACTCACGTTTAAAATCTTAGCGGTCACGTCGGTGTCGTCTTGAATGCTGAACACGAAGATGTTTTCCTTCGGGCAGGGTAGAATGGCGGCCAAACCGTCGGTGAAATAACCCAACAACGGCGACAGGAACGCCTCTTTGGTCATTTGATTCAACCGCACGGTGATGGAATTCAGCAGCATCTCTTCGGTGATCAACCGCACGGTCAAAGTCATCACTTTCTTGATGACATTCACGCCGTCCGACACGGATATTTCCATCGAAGCGATCTTCGGTACGTTGGTGTTCAATTGCGGAGACAGCTGCAGTTGCCCGGTGGTCTCGTTCAGCGCCACCAAATTGGCGTTGTTGCCCGACAGGATCCTGTAGCGCAGCTTGTCGGTGACGTCCGCGTCGTAGGCCGGTATCCGGCCCACCGAGCCCGTGGGGAAGAAGTCCCTGAAATTGTTGAACACCACCTGGAAGTCCTTGAGCACGGGCGCGTTGTCGTTGACGTCGGTGACGACGATCTCCACGTGGACGTCGCTGCGCAGCGGCGGGCTGGCCGCCCGCACGATCAGATCGTACTTCTTCTTGGCGCTTTCGTAGTCCAGCTCGATCATCGTGAGCAGCTCCGCCTTGTCGGACGCCGGGCGGGTGACGAGCGAGAAGCTCTGGGCGTCCTCGCCGCCGATGATCGAGTACTGGACGATGGCGTTGATGCCTTCGTCGGGATCTTTGGCGTAGATTTCGCCGACGGTGGATCCGATCGGGCTGTTTTCGGGGATGTAAAGCACGATTTTGTCGGAATCGAAAGCCGGAGGGGAATCGTTCACGTCGTCTATTTTGATGGTAACCGGTACGGAGCTGCTGAGAGTCGGTGAGCCTTTGTCTATGGCGTAGGCTTCCAGTTCGTATTGCGATACCGATTCCCTGTCGAGGCCTTTGTTGGTTCGTATTACGCCGCTGGTGGGGTCGATGACGAACGAGCCGTCTTCTTGGTCTTTTTCGCTGAGAGAGTAGTGGATTTTTCCGTTTAGGCCAACATCGGAATCTGTTGCGGTTACTTGAACTACAGAAGTACCTACTAGAGCATCTTCTGGTACATTTCCAGAGTAAGCGACCTGTTTGAACACCGGGTAGTTATCGTTGACGTCTGTTATAGTAATTTCCACGTCTGTGGTATCCGATAGAGGCGGAGAACCCCCGTCTTTGGCCGTTACTGTAAGTAGATAACCCGAAACTGTTTCTCTATCCAGCGTTTTGGTGGTGACAATAGCGCCGGTTTGTCGGTTTATGGTGAACGCGGAGTCTTTTCCCACGTCGTTGAGCTCGTCGCCGAGGAAGTAGGATATCTGAGCGTTCAAACCAACATCGTTATCGGTCGCAGAGACCACTAACACAGTGGTACCAACGGCCACGTCCTCGAACACGCTGGCCGAATACGGCGCGTTCTCGAACACCGGAGCGTAGTTATTCGCGTCGGTGACGTTGACGTAGACCGTGGCGGTGTCGGTCCTGCCGCCGGAGTCCGACGCGCCGATGGTGAGAATGTACCGCTTCTCCTGCTTGTAGTCCAACGGTTGCGCTATCGTTATCAGGCCTCGGCCGTTCTGCGAGGTGATGGCGAAGCGGCCTCTGGTGTTGCCGTTCGTTATCTCGTAGTGCAGGCGGCTGTCCTCGTCCGGATCGGCGGCGGTGACCGTCGCCACCGGCGTGCCCGGCGGATCGTCTTCGGCCACCACGGATTCGTAGTTCTTCGGCTCGAAGACGGGGTCGTTGTCGTTCACGTCCTGCACGGTGATCACCACGCTGGCGCTCGCTGATAGAGGGTGCGCCGCTTTGTCTGCTGCTATCACCTGAAAAATTGCGCGATGAGGTTGGTTGAGTGAGTTGAGATGTTCGAAAATTTGTGATTTTTTAATTCAAGTATGTTTAACATCTGGTGGGAGTTTACTTTTATTTGAAACAAAAATAATGGAGTAGAATGGAGTAGGGTAATGAGGAGAACGATATTTGAAAAATAACGGTTATTTTGGAACAGTCGTTACTGCACCTCTATACACACTAATTGATTCCCATCTCTGTTAAACTTCTATTGTACGAAATGTCATTAATGTCAGTTTTGACAGTTTTTGATACATAAGTATCATAAAACGCATCTTAAAGTCCTACTTATTCCAAAAAAACTCATCGTAATGGAGAATAGTCCATTTTAGTGCATGATAGTTGGTGGAATATTTTACCTGGAACATGTATTTGGGTTGATGTTCTCTATCCAGTTCCTTGGTGGTGTATATCCAGCCCGAATGCGAATCGACGGCTAAAGGTAGATCATCAGTACTACCGCCTGTCGCGTCTCTGCTCGATATTGTGTACTTTATTTCGGCATTCGGCCCTTCGTCCGCATCGTAAGCTTGCACTTTGACTATACTGTATCCGACTGGTACGTTTTCCAGCACGCTTTCTTGGAAGAGCGACGTGTAGAACCTTATAAAAACAAATTAAAATTATCACATAGCATTATTACAAATAAATACAGCACGTACCTCGGCGTGTTATCGTTGATATCCTTAACGTTAATTAGTAATTGCGTTGTATTGGACCTGGCGGGGCTGCCGCCATCTTGAGCCCGAATCACCAGTCTGTAATTTCGGATCGTTTCGTAATCTAGGGGTTTCACCAACGACACGTCACCCGTCAAACTGTCGATAGCGAATTGCGATTGCGTATTGCCGCTGATTATTGCGTAACGTATTGCTGCGTTGGCGCCCTGATCGGCATCCATTGCTCTAAAAAAACACACAAAAATCATTTAAAAGATGTAGGAGATATCAACAAAATAAAAAAAAATCAATAGCCTGATGATGATGATAATCTGATCGAAGCTTTTGTTGGTGAGGAATGATAAGAAATGGTAAGGAATGATAAGAAAAGATGAGGAATGACAAAGAATGATCATAATAGTGATAAGGAATGACAAGGAATGATTATAATAGTGATGAGAAATGATAAGGAACGATAAGAAAAGATGAGGAATGACAAGGAATGATCATAATAGTAATGAGGAATGATAAGAAGTGAAGAGGAATGATGAGGAATGATCATATAATAGTTATGAGGAATGATAAGTAATGATGAGGAAAGATACTTACTTGATATGTGCTATAACGGGATTATCATTGTAATTGATATCTTCGTTGAGCGAAACCGTGTAGGTTCTTTCGGAAAATTGCGGATAATTATCGTTATCATCTAAAATATGAACGACGACGCTGGCGGAAGAAGTCCTCCTGGCGCTTTGGGGCGAAGCCAGATCGGTGGCTTGAACTATCAAAGTGTAAACTTCGGTCGTTTCTCTATCCAAGAGCGTTCTGGTGGTGATGACGCCGGTCTTGGAATCGATTTTGAAGGCGTTATTGTCGTCGCCTTCGGCGGAATTACCGCCGCCGCTGATCGTCCTGATCGTGTACTCCACCTCGGCGTTCTTGCCGATGTCCTGGTCGGTGGCCTTGAGGGTTATCACGGTGGTGCCGACGTTGACGCTCTCGCGTATACTGGCGTCGTATTCCATCATTTCGAATGAAGGAGAGTGATCGTTGGCGTCGAGGACGTTGATTTGCAACATGGTGGTGCCGGATCTCGGCGGAAAACTGTCGTCCATCGCCGTCACTCTGAAGTAATGCACGTCCACCAGTTCCCTGTCCAATTGCACTTTGGTGGTCACCACTCCGGTTTTTTGGTCTATATCGAACATCGCTTGGGTTCTGTAATCGTTCAGTACTAATTAATAAATTGTTTGATACTAGAAGCTGACGTGTACATTACCTGGAGTCTAATAAACTGGTCATGGAGTACGTTATCGGACTGTTTTCCGGATCTCTCGCTTTCACAGTGGTAACTACCACCGGCGGGTCGCATTCTTCTAACACGCTAGCCACGTACAAATGCTGCTCGAAAAACGGCGATTGATTGCGCAATTCCCTCCTCACTCTCTTAGCTATGTCAGTATCGTTGAACTGTTGATGGTGGTAGACGATTTTCAATCGATGCTCAGTGTTCAACACCGACACGTTCTGGCATATCGCCGAGAACAGTATAGTAACCTGCAAGTTGCAAAAATCTACCATATTTTCTAAACGTGTTAAACCTGCAAGTACAAACCTTCCACATGGGCTCCACGATGCAAACGTTCCTGCTGGCCACCAAGTCGCCTTGGCTGCGCTCGATCTCGAACCTGTCGTCGTTGACGTAGTGGAATTGCACGGTGCAGTAGGTGCTGATGGTGCTGGGCAGGAAAGCGGTGATGGAATTAACGAACTGGCTCTGGCGCAGGCAGATCTTGCGCCACTTTCCGGCGGTCGGTATGGCAAAAGAAGCGTAGGTTTCCGACACCCATTGGCGCGCCTCGTTGATTTTCTCTTTAACGGACGGATGCAATCGCGAGAAGGTGGAGAGCGCGCCGCGTTTTGCTCGAGATTTGACAACGTCTAAACTCCTTCGTTCGCGATCGAGCTCATCGTCGAAATATTCCTCCTCGCTGTGATGGGAGCAATGTTTGCCGACGATAAAAATCCTCAGCGGCAAGCTGTAGTAATCGATGTCTTTCAATCGATTCGAGGTGGAATCGATGTGTATGGTGAAGAAATTGGGGTAGTAAATGCCGTCGCATTCTAGCTTCTGCAACAGGAACACCTGCCCTGTCTTAGGGTGGACTTGCACCAAGGAATAAACGAAGGGCGCCGATCGCCTCTCGTTTAATTTGTACGCCCTGTCCGAGCCCAAGCGGTACACGCTGGCGTTGAATAGAACATGGCCGGGCGCGGTGGTGTCTTCTAAGAGCAAAAGGTAATTATCGGCGGCGGGGATGATCGAGGAAAATAATAAAATCGAGCAGAAAACGATCGCTGTACTCTCAGGCATCAGAGAGTGTCTTTTGGACATTGTTCGCGAAGACGATCATGTTAGAACTCCGTTAAGGGCGGCTTCATTTTATCTGAAACGAAAATAAATGGTGAGTTTCCGCGCGAAGAATGGAATCGATTTATTTTAAAAGAATGTATCGGACGTAAAACTTCCTGCGGACTTCTCCCGACGGCTTTCGATTCATTAATTTTGAACACCTTCGGAGAATTCCGGGCCGTAAATTCTCGACCGAGGCATTAGAAATTCCATCTACGGAAAAGCGTTTCTAATAAAAATTTTCGTTCCTTGAGATAACTCCCATCACTTAGTTTCCAACTATTTACTGAATTTTTCATTTTCACAGAGATATTTCATTAATTATTAAACACTCTGCTAGAGTGCTAGAATAGCATCCTATGCACTATTATTTATTTCTGTAATAAGTAGTAATAAATGTTTTTATTCCTCATTAAATCGCGTCGAAAGTAAATAAAATATTTTACAGCTATTGCTTATGAAATTAAATGTCTTTATTGCAGGTCCGTCTCTGTTTCCCTATTACCGCGCTAGCGTTACTTGCATAAAAAATATTTCAAAAAAAGTAAAAAGTTCACGGCTGTGCAATGAGCGAGGTTCGGTCTAGATACGGATAAGTGCAGCAAAAACATCGGGTTGTAATGGAGGAATATAAGAAAATAACATTTCATTTTATAGAAGGTAATCGCCTTTTTCTTCCGGTATATCGACTACGGAGTACCAATTCGTGCCATAAAACTAATGTTGCGTTATTAATCTGCCGGTGTGATAAATTAATAACATCTATACCTGCGGTGTACGGTTGCAATTAATTTATTTATATGCACTGTATCTCTAGTTTAGTTTGGTGTAAAATGCACGGCTTTACTTTCTAAAACCATTAATTAGCGGAATAGTTTCTACCCTAAATTTATAGTCTAACTGAATGTCTTTGTAGACACCCGGTATATATTACAAAAAAATCTCCTGCGTTGAAGTAATTCCATTTTGCTCGTAGAATTGAATTCGAAGCACTTCCTAATAACGCTCGATTCCGCCGGAGCGCAAATTTTATTAATCATTTTCGAGAAGACTCGCGATTCTATGGGCGAAGATCCGGTCGATTAAATTTTCTTTTTTAATCGAATTTTTCAGCCGCTTTCGTTTCGACGGAGAAGCGAAAACCGATTAGATTAGAACCGGACGAGAAGAAGAACGACAGCGAATATTTTAAAAATTCTACCATAGCAAATGTAGCTTGACAGTTGGAATTTTTATAAAGTTAGAGATGAGTCAGGGAAATTTAAAGAAAAGTGAGAGATTAGATAGATCAATTGATGCCTATACATCGATCGAACGACTGCCAAGATACCTATATTGAGGTATAAATTCTCCCGCCTCTGCAATTATCCTAGCGGTATCTTCATGATACACGAATTATTTGGGAAATCTCCTAAAATTACTCGACAATACAACCGTTGTTTATCCGTTTAATTTCACGGGCGGTGATAAATAATACCTAACGCATGGGGGAGTTGATAAAACGAGGTTTCTCGTTCGAACGATGACTCACAATACACCTTTGTAAAGGCGAGGGTGAATTCGAGACACATTCTCGAATTACCCCGAGAGAGGGGCTGTTTCTGTGCATCAGGGCGATACCTGCACGCTCCACCGAGCATTGTTAATTTATAAATTTTTAAACACGTCGAACAATGACCAATTAAAATCGCTATGCTCGATAATTGTCTTGTACTCGAGGAATTCGGAGGCATTTAGCAGTGTATATGGGTAACGGTTAGCGTTTGTTTCAAATTTAATTAAAATGTTAATGGGTGCTTACACGACTGTTCGCGTTTAATTAAACTATTTCATGTTTTGCTAATTATTTGGTGAATTAATTACGTGCCATGTTAGCGTAGTTATAGTAGGTGAATTGAGGGTGTATCTACAAGGAAAAAGTAGATGTAAAATCTATTCCAATGAGGCACTTTTCTATTCAATTTTCTCTCGAGCACATGCCGGGATGGTTGCCAGAAAAATAATAGAACGACACTCGAAATCTTGTAAAGCTTTTGTATTTTTTATGAGGGTTTCTGTATCCAGAATATTCTCCATTGTTTTAGCGGAATGGAGTACAGAGAGGTTGCATGTACGCCGAGGTAAAGGGCTCTTTAGAGGTCATTTCGAGCGAACTTGCGAACAGTCTTTTTGTCGCCTTTATTCCCTTTATACTTCTATACGAACAATTTTCAGAAAATATTTATCAGTAGATGTAATATTAGCGTGTTTGTTCGTATACTAAAATTAATTATGACACCTGGCATAATAAAATTACATGAGTTATTTCCACGAAAATGTATTGTATACATGTTAATTTACGAAATTTTCGGACATTTCCTCAATAAAATTTTGTCACGGCATTGTTTGAGAGAGATTTTTATCATAATTTACAATTCAAATCGAACGCTCGACTTTTGAACTCGCCTCGCGTACGAATATTATATGCAAGAATGGAAGGAAAGAGCCGCAGATGCGCCTCCGAGTGTAGGTATATACCTACGTAAACAACCTGTTTATAGAGGAATGTTTTAATATAAGTTAACTAGTCCATAACAAAAACGTTATACCTTAGAATTTAGCCTAGCGTGCCGGGCCCTTTTTTATTACCTGAACTAATGCCCTCGCGTTCTCGGAAATTCTCGTTGTTTTAGTTCGATCTGTTCTTAATTAGATGTTGTCTATATTCCTATGCAGGGCCGGGTTTTCTCTTTAGTTGAATAAAATCGAAGTAGCTTTGTTTCAAGGATTAAGGGTAGGTTGTTTAGGTTGTAAAAGAATTGAGTTTCGGTGGAGATTCTCCCGGGATTTCGAGATATATGGGATCGAATGAAATATTCATGTACCTATCCGAGCAGTAAATGCAAATCAAATGACTGAAAGCAACAATGTCGATACAAATCGCAGCGTTAATGGAATGTGGGCTGTTGTAAATGTTTTCAGTGCACGTTATTTTGTTGTTTATTTGTTGTTTATACCGCAAAATGATTTATTGTTGCACTTTTTACAAAAAAAACAGGAATTTTATGATAAAAAAACTCATTTAAAACGCTTATTTTAAAATATACCACAACCTCATATAACACTTTTGTACCTATTAACTTAATAACCATTGAATTAAATTAAAACCATTGAATTAATATTCAAAGAACCTACTAAAATATCAAATAGTCTCCTATCCTATATCCTATATACCTATTCCATTTAGAAACATCATAAAATACCAACCAATTATTACCGCAAAATAAAATAATAAATTAAAAAGCCGAAAATGATTAAAATTAACCAGCGATATTAACGATAGATCAGCACAGTAACAGCATGCTCGATATTATATTTTGTATCCTTTCGGCATTTAAACTATTTGTACACATACTTACATGGGCTATAAAACCTATACTTTCACACAAAAGTGCATTGACACTTAACCGAGTACAATACACCGGACGAAACGAAAATGTATCTCAAACGGACCGCACGGCTTCTTCACCAGTTCATTTCATTCAGGAATTCCATGAAATATTCGAAATAATTCATTATTTTCAGAAGCGATCGACGAGTGCACCTTACACGCTCAACCTACGCTGCCATTTTGATACGATGCTTTGAATTTTTCGTGTTATTATTCCGGTTTTTGATAGGATACCCGATACAGGATTGGAAGGATAATGCAGAAATTTAAACTCCGGGCCGGAGATGATTGTTCTATTAGCCCACAGATGGCGGCAGATGTTTTAATCCTTTTTCTTCTAGTTTAGCTTTGGCCTCTGTATATTGTGTTCTTTAGTCAAAAGAAATTATACTTGCTTCTATTTTACTTTTTAGTAATAAACCATCAGATAATTAACGAGCAATATTTCTATTTAAATTAACGTAATTATACCATTATTTGTTAAAAAAAAGAACATATAATTATATTGTCAATGTGACATTGACAGTAATAAAAACTTGACAACCTAATGACAACTGAATGACAGTGACAATTCTTTTAACCTCACTCTTTGTTTATTATTGCTTTAATTTTTATCAATAATGTATACAAAAATGCGTGTAATTGTATTATTATTATCAGTAACAATAGTGCATTCGATAAAGGATGATTGGACGGATCCGCATGAAATTAAATTCTCGAACCCTGGTAAATTAAAGAGATCGAACAGTGAAAACGACAAGGATAAGATAGGTAGAATATCTGCGAAAAACGAATTAAATGAAGCGGCTGTGGATGAAAATGCGTCGCTCTTGTTTTTAAAACGAACCATTAATTTGATATTAAATTCTGCCAGTCCTGAGAAAGGCGATAGTTCATTGCACTCTGGATCGTACAGGTTTCGAATAGATTCGGAAGTGTACAATGCTTTGAAGGAGTTTAGCGAAAAAGAGCTCGTTAACTCGAACGATATGCGAAGATTGGATTCTGCTTTAAGTGAACTTTTCAAAAACAACGACTATGAATTTATTAATTTAGATGTATCAAAGCTCAATTATTTTTTTGAAATAGATTTTATACTTTTATTGATGACACCCTTATGCTTATTTGTCATGTTTTATTTAATCAAGAATAAATTTGGGTTCTTAAATATATTTTTGTATGCAGTATTCTCAGTGTTTGTAGTGGATTATGCTAAACGATATCAAGTCATGCTAGAGGTAAGTAGGAAGACATTTTTCTGTAATTATTCTCATTAATTGATATTTTAGGAGGCCTCTGAGCACAATATTCACATGGAGTATTCCAAGGAATGTGATACAAATAAAATGAATTGGAAACAGTACATTGCATTTCTCCTGGGCAAGTCATAAATAAATTACGTAAAATCATTTGGTTCATGAAGTGTTTTTTTTATAGAAAAAAAATCGTGTGAGAGGAAAATTGTAACTCCTTTAGACGTCATGTTAAATCAGTTGAAATACGCTATTATAATTCCATTCGAATCGTTTGGCACGGGAATTGGGGGATTTAGCAGCGAATTATGGAGTAAGTATTACAGTAATATTATTTATATATAACTTTATTTACAGTAACTGCATTATTGTAACTTTTAATTCCAGGTAAATTACCATTTCCATGGAACCTCGTTATGTTTCCACTGATGTTACTTTTCGTCATGTTAATGATTCTTTTCATAATGATAGTCTTACTAGGAGCACCGTTCAAGCTGAATATTTTACATCTTTTTTGCTTCCAATTCGGGAATACTCATGACGGCCAAGATAGAGTATCTGCTAGAACATTGGATAGATTATTGAATTTCACATGGGCCCACAGACCAATGGTGGAACCTGCGATATCGTACCCGAATAATGAACCATCCCCCGAAAGATCACCCAGCAGGCGTAGAATTAGAGAAAAGGAAAGTTGTGCTAATTGTGCTAATTGCGCTAACAAGAATAAAACCAGTATTGAGGTTATCGAAGAGGAGGAAATTAGTCAGGAGCAACAAGTCAAAGAAAGAGGAATTAGTTGTAAGAATAAAAAGGAAAATTTGGAATTTATACCAAAAGAACCAAAAGATTTAGTGGAAGACGCAAATATTGATAGTAATTTAAATGATTGTACAACTAAAAAAGAGAATTAAATATTTATTTTTGTGATAAGATTTATTTAGGATTCCCCTTGACCTTTTTGTTACAAAAAAACAACAAACATTAAAGTTCAGAGATGTGTATTTAAAAAATTACATTTTCTTGATATCAAATTTCTATTCTACCCTAAAATACTGATAAAATATGTATATACAGCTTTAAAACTAGATATCACTAGAGAATAATAAAATATATGGCAACTTTATCAACACAGCATATTTCTCAATTTGTAGTCAAAAAAAATACCATCGTATGAATATTGCCGGGAATCGAACGGTACGCGAAATGAAATTTTGAATTTTGCCTGTCTAATTCACAGCCTAATATACCCCATTAGAAACTTTTCAAGTTCAAACAAAAACCAAATTTTACTGGCAAAAACTCCAATTAGACAGTTGTATCCAAAATGTAATAATCCATAAAAAAAACAATTTGTACGGGCTGCATTTAAAGGATGATATACAAATCAATCAGCCCCATTTTTGTACGGTTTACCACATTTCCCATCAGCAAGATGATAATTTTTCTATCGTTCTACGCCCCTGTACGATGCTCGATTCTATTCCAATACGTTAGTAACAAACGCCATAACAACGATCCCTAGGATTAAAGCTAATAGTTGCTTGAAGGACTCTTTAGGATCTTCTTCTTTCAGTAAATCAGGAAGAACAGTCACCAGAGCTATGTGAAGGAACGTTCCAGTGGTAAACGGCAATATCCAAGAACTCCTAGCCTCTGCAAATCAATTCCACCATTACTCTTTCACTATATTATTATTACTCGAGCTCCTTACCAAGAGCATTCCGCGCCCCGCTGAAGGTGATAGCCGCCATCGCCCCCACGAGCCCGCCACCCGCTGTTAATATCTGGAACAAGGCGGCGTGCCACCTGGTGAAGCCCGATTTGAGCAAAATCGCGAAGTCTCCCACCTCGTGGGGGATCTCGTGCACCAATATGGCGAAGGTGGTGAGCAAGCCCAGCTGCAGGGACACCAGGAAGGCCCCGCCCAAGGACAACCCGTGAGTGAAGTTATCCATGGTGTTCGCCACCAGGTTGAGGTACCCGGCTACCTGGAAAATGAGCAGGAATTTAGACGAGCTGGAAATTGGCGATAAGCGAATCACCGATTGAGCGCATGATGTTCTAATGAATGTTGATTAATTTTTGTATTTATATCTCGGCGAAACAACAAGCTGATAACGCGTTATAATTGCATTCCCGACAGATAAATATATAGGCTAGTAGTTGCGTGTAACTTACGAATTTTTTTTGTTCGACTGGTTGTTTCTTGTTGTTGTTGTTTTCTGCGGTGGTTTCCGCGATTTGGGTGCTGTTTGTATCGATTTGCTCCAAAACGGAGAATAATTTTTCGGCGGTCACGAATATTATGAGGCCGGTTAGGATCCATAAGCCGCTAGAGGAAATGTGATGTCCACCTAAAGCAAATTATTAATCGATAAACTCTTTGTTTAAAATACGATTATGTAATAATAGTAACTCTAAATAAACGATAATCTTCCACGGGAATTTTGTGTTATACTTGGGGTCACTATTCAATGGCGTTTAACTGAAGCGTTGAACTCGGGCCATTGTAAATTCGCAATTTATCTAATTATTTTTATAGTAATTTCCTGTCGTTGTGGCGCAAATTGGAATTTGAAGAATGTAAAATAGCCGCGCAATTAAATAGATTTGATATAAAGCGATCTTACCGACAGAAGAGACGGTGTCGTTCGCCCAAATTTCGGGCAATGAGTGCAAAAACACGTCTCCCAATAATCCACCAACGGCGAAACTGAGAAGAGTTTTTAGTCTATTAGCACCATCTGAAAAAAAAACCATATTTATTAATTTAATTACATAATTATTCGCCCAATTTTCCAAGTACTCGATTACATCTACATTCTCATTCAATCAATTCTATTATCTCCACGTTTCGGGTTTAACAAAAGCACAAGGACGTTTCAATAGATCCGCGTGCGAAAAAGTACCTGTTTTAGAGCGCAATAAGTCGTATTTTTATCACTACACTTTCTATTTTCACCGCAAAATTGCGCCGCTTTGAAACAATGAAATCGATTTTTGCACACGCCGCCCAACGAACGGGTGTAAATTGCACGCAAAAAAGGGATTGTACAATTTAATCCTATCCATATTTTAATCATTTAATAGAATCTACTCTATGCTATGCTCTGCTCCGTTCTGCTTTAATCTGATTTGCTCCTACTCTCTACTGTACACTGTACTCTGCTCTGTTCTGCTCTGCTCTCCTCTGCTCCTACTCTATATACTGTACTCTGCTCTGCTCTGCTCTCCACTATGTTCTGCTCCTACTCTATACACTGTGCTCTGCTCTGCTCCTACTCTCTACTTTACACTGCATTCTGCTCTCCTACTCTCTACTCTAGACTTTACTCTGTTTTGCTCTACTCTACACTACTCTACTCTCCTCTGTGACTGCGACATTGATGGGACTGATTTATTGTGCAGCGCTGGAATGATCGACCTTGCAGTTCAGGTTCAATACCTTGAGATTTTATGTATCGCCGCGTTCGCGTTTGGTAAACAAAAATTTTGCGCTCGTTCCTGGTGAAAAAAGCGAACGCCGCAAGGCTGTGGGATTTTTATTCCGAATAAATTATTTTCGGTGTTTCTCAACGGAGCGGCGGCGAAAGTAAGAGCGAATTGTAACGTTACGTAAGGCAGCGTTGCAAAAATCCAACGGCTGTGAAATTATTGCGAGTTTGTTACTCGAAAAAAGTCGGTTTTATTGTATTGCAATATTTTATAGTAGCGAATTGAACGGGCAACATGCCGCGCGGATAAAGTTCGCATGAATTAAATTTAAAATAATTTTGCGCACGGCATGCTGATAAACAAATTAAACTAATAGCTGCGATAAGATGTATTTGGGTAATCTCTCGGCTGAATTAGAATGAGAATATATTCTACATTGATCAAATATGGAGAGGTTCAGTAACTTTTACGATAAAATAATCAGTAAAATGGTCATTTGTTATTTAAAAATGATAAACATCGCTTTCGATTTTGCACACGACCGTTTTTATTAGCATTCTGTATTTATACCGACTATACGCATGATTCATTGTTGTAGCTTCATTTGTTGTTTTTATAATTTTCAAACAAAAGCCGTGTGCACAGCGCGTCTTGATAACCAAATACATCTCGTATGTAAATATGTTTGGAAGTTTTAATATTCATTAGGATTTATTTTAGTATGTAGAAACATTTTGCGTGGTTGTTTTGATAAAAAAACTAGTTTCTACTCTACTCTACGCATTGTATACACGAATAAGTGGGTCTTTAAGATGCGTTCGATGATACTTGATGAAAAACTGTCAAAAATGACAGTATGAGAAGTTTAATAGAGGCGCGAATCATTTTTTGGTATAGAGCTGCAGTAATGAGTGTTACAAATTAAGCGTTATTTTTCCAAATTTAAAATCCTTGTGCTGATTGCTCTACTCTATTCAATTCTACTCTACTCCACTCTAATAGAAATGGGATTCACCGTAAATTAACGCTTGGATATTTCATAATTAACTTGATTTTCTTTATCTAATATTGGAACCTTTTATCACAGTAGCTATTAAAAATGACTTAATAAGTACAAAGCAATCTCGTCTGGAATATAATGCTCCATGTAAAAATAATTACAATGTGAGATAGTATTCAAGTCAGGTACTTTGAATAACCTTTGATCAATAATTACATGATGTACTTTAATTCATGTAAATAGTAGCAGGTTTAGAAAAAAAATACCAAGTTTACAATGCAAATTCTTACTCAGTTTTTGTTATTCATCTTTACATTTTACCTCAACATTTACTTTCATAAAAATAAACAAACATCCATCATTACAAATAATTACTAATAATTATGTTTACTTGTTTTATATCTGCTTGTAAAGTTTCTTGACCTGCTGACTACAAAGGCCTACAATTTTTTCCTGAAATTTATAGTCTGTTCTGAATAACATTGGTCTAAAATTATTTTTACTGGATATATTTTTATCGAAAACTGTACGAGATCCGTAACCTTTGTCCATTAAAGTAAAAAAAATATTGGTTATATCAATCAATCGCAAGGACAAACATTATGGATTACATAACTCATGTAATTTGTTTAAAATATTCCAATCTTTAAAATTATTGTATCTTTGTAGGGTAAAATTGCTAGATTTTCAATAACTGTCAAAATTTTACTATAAATAGTACGCACTACTTTTTTGTCAATTAAATTCCATTATTATTTCATTGAATAATAAACATTCCTCTTCTTTTTTTGATTATAGTTGCTCCAAATTTATGAATTAAATTAAAAAATGACAGCTAGATTTGTTTACATTCCCTAAAAATATGTCAACATAACCTTAAAATTTCTTCTCTTTTTCTACACATACATTAATTAAATACGCAATTATATTATTAAAGGTCAATTCGCAATCAAACAATCTATTATTTCGGAAGTGAAAGTCCGCACAAATAAACAAACTGTAATTATTAAATACTTTCAGCCAAAACAATAACAAAAAACGGTAAAAAATAGTAAATAAAACCTCTAACCTCCTTGTTTCAAATTGTCCGATTGGTCCAATGGTATGACAAGGAGCGGCAAAACGCCGCTGAGTCCGACAAGGATGGAGCCAAAAATGGCCCAACACCAGGGCACATATTCCAGGGCACAAACCCAATCGGGAACCAAATCCCTTACTAATTCCTTGTAGGAATCGTCGAAATCGGTATTGTTTGTGTCGGTCATGCACACGAAAACGTTCCCAAGCAGTGTCATCTTGAAATAATTGCAGAAATACGGAAATTTACGAACTTTTCGACACCCACGAACTGTTTCTTTCTTCGATGTAAAGAGCTGTCTCGAACCCGACTAATCTAACACTGAGATTGAGCCGGGCGGTTATGAATACTTAGGGAATTTAAAGTTATTATGAACTTAACAAAACACACATTTTTAACGCACGTTAACGTTTGACGGAAACATCTTTTCTGATCGGAAAAATCGAGTGTGCTAGGCTATGTTTCTGACGGATGCCTCCCCACCACTCCATCGCGATCATCTGGTCCCGTGACCTAGTTATTCCACCACAGAAAATTCCAGCGATAATTGAGATATACAGATATAACTAGATATTCCGTAATATTGAACATTTTTTCTCAATACCAAATACTTTTGATGTCAATATGTGTAACTTAACGTTTCTAATCAACTTCAATGTAATTATTTGATTGGTTCAATTTTTCCAAATTTTTTACCTTGGTGTAAATCGCGATTAGCCGAATCGCAGCGTTGCCAAACTTCGAGTAATTATCGATTCCGCGAAATTTGATTTGAGATAATAAATTAATGGAAAACAAAACAATAATTAAGTAAGATCGAAATTTCAATTTGAAATAGAAAAGTATATATGTGAAATATTCAATAATTATTTATTTTGAGCTAGTTATTTAAGGCTTCCTATAAACGTGCGGCAACAACGAACTTTTTGAATATTTAATCGAAATTACCTGATGCGTTACAGTGATGTATTGTACAATTTTTATTTAATTTACCTGTAAATTCTTGCGAAAGTTATTCTTTTATCAAGAATATTTTAAGCACACAAACAATTCTTATCTTTCAATTACCTTACAGAACAATACTCGAAATCTTATCGATATTTAATATTTTATACAAATGCACACGCCATTAATCCCACTCATAATAAGTTTTATTGTTCGCTTATAAAAAAATTGGAATATTCCACATTACGTTACAGTTAAGTTCCAAGAAACTTTTTTCACCTAGCTAGGTAAAAGTCTAGACTTCTTCAAAACAACAGATAAACTATCATTCAATATTTCATCAAGTTTATTGTTACATTGTTACCAAATATTATTGTTAGATATTAAAAAAAATAAGCTTGTATATTTAATTGAAGTGTGGGTCTCTTGTACAGGACTGATGATGGGGATTAACCGAAACTATATAGTAGCCTTATTTCAATGTAATATATTGCATTAAACAGGACTTTGCATTGATACAAAACATCTAAACAAATACTACTTGAAAATGAGTATTAAAATCTATTTTCTAGACAAGTGGGATGTTTGTAGAGATATTTCAAAAATTTTGAATTCAAAATTGTTTAGTCTCCACTCGAAACTGAAAATATACATTTTATAAAAAAATTACAAATAATATTATAAAGGAATATTAAGAACATAGCGTAGAAGTTTAACGTACCGTTATTTAGTGTATAGAAGGTTCATAAAGCGCAATGCTTAAGTGCAAATATTTAACCTGGTAAGTTAACAAATTCCTACTTATGAATTTCCACTAGTTTTCCAAGTTTGAAAACTATGCAGAGATGGAATTGCGGCAGTAAATATCCGATATTCGCGCCGTTTCCATGGGGCTCTACAGTGCAGTGCGCGTTTACTTATCCTCGTTGTCATCACGCATTAAAAGTTAATTAACTCTTAGCCATCGGCGGAACGGTTGCCAAACTCGATAAATAGCGTAAATTCTCGTCCCCTGGTCCTATTTTCGTACTTAAAACGTCCATATGCACTCACACAAACACGTCTCTGCGAGTGCTCCATTGTAATTAACACATGTGCCAGTCAATGTTCCTCTTTGTCACGTTAAATCTACCGTTAAATATAGATCAATTAATTTCGCGGAATCGCCACGACCGGTTCCCGTTCGATCCATTAATAATAACGCGACGGACATCGGCATGGACGTTTGGGGCAACTTGAATTTGGGATCGCTGGAAATGGGCGCCATCGGAGCCAGCAATTTAGTGCCGTTGATTAGGGGCGAGGAGCCCAATTTCACCAGTAGCTTCAGAAGGAAAAAGAAACCGGTGAGTGGGTCCTTAGCGCTTTTAATATGCTTGCGAAGTGGCGTGGAACAAGTCTATTTTCGAATGTATTGCCAAATTCGTTGCGAAATTTCCATTAAAATACCACTTTGTATGAAATAAAGTGGAATTCAAATAGCACGCATGGATGATTGTTAAAATTAGATGGAGCCGCTCAATGAGATCATTCAATAATTTATATTGAATATTCGTCAACTTATTAAATTGCCTTCTTTAAATAAGTAATTTGCAAAAAATCAATATAAGTTTTTATTTCAATATCTTCAGCTGGAATTGGTAGTGCTGATGGTAATCTTAAGTTCAAGTCTCTGCTCTGCTCTGCTCTGCTCTGCTCTGCTCTGCTCTGCTTTGCTCTGCTCTGCTCTGCTCTGCTCTGCTCTGCTCTGCTCTGCTCTGCTCTGCTCTGCTCTGCTCTGCTCTGCTCTGCTCTGCTCTGCTCTGCTCTGCTCTGCTCTGCTCTGCTCTGCTCTGCTCTGCTCTGCTCTGCTCTGCTCTGCTCTGCTAAAGGATCCTCGAGAAACCTTCATTGAATAGGAAGTACCTAACAAGTACCACCTAAGTAGCACCTAAAGTAACAAGTACCAAAAATTATCAATTCCCTCGCTATTTTAGCGATTTTTTTTTGCCAAATTTCGAATTAATGCTCTACCAGCGAACAAGAAATTCACCAGAGGGCGACACGTTCGAGCGTCTCCTCAAATAATCCCGAATAATAATTAGAAAACCGAAGCGAATTTTTCTATTTTTAACGCCGAGCTATTTTCGCTTCGGCTATTCGACCAAAACTCCTGTCAGAGGCATTCGAAAAATCCGTGCGTTTTTCCTCGGATACATATTATTTTCCTCGCGTTTCCATCGGGAGAAAAATGGACGTGTCGCCGGACGTGTGGGGTCAATTAGCCCTCGAGGCGTCCCAGGTTTACCTGACAGATGGAACGGCGGCGAAAAGCCCGTTTGCTGGAACGGTACGTTTATTTTTAGCTTTGCACTTAACCGGGCCGTTGTTGTTTGCACTCGAGTAGCGATTAAAACTTTATTATTCCCCGCACTTTTTTCTTTGTTTACAGACCATCGAGAAGCTACCGGATAAAGTGCTGTTGCATATATTCAGCTATTTATCGCACAAAGAAATCAGCCAAATGGCTAAAGTGTGCAAGCGATGGCGCATCATGGCTTACGATACCAAATTGTGGAAGAACGTCTCACTTCGTCCCGAAATTTCTGGTAAAAAAACTAATTTTTACAATCGTATAACGATAACAACAAATTTATTATTATTGCAGGCTTGCACGTAGGCTCTCTGGAATCGCTCCTGGCTCTAATCAGCATCAGATTCGGACCGAGTTTGAGGTACATCGAGCTACCGATAGAGCTCATAACGCACACGGTCCTCCACGAACTGGCCAACAAGTGTCCCAATTTAACCCACATGCTCTTGGACTTCTCCACCGCGATGCAGCTGCACGATTTCAGGCAAGTGTCCTCAGCGATGCGCCGAGTAAACCTCACCGAACGAAACATTTCAGCGAGCTCCAAGCCTTCCCCACCAAGCTGAAGTACCTGTGCATCTGCCTCTCCGAGGTGATCTTCATGGAGGGCTTCATGCGGAAGATCTACAACTTCATCAACGGCCTGGAGATACTCCACTTGATCGGCACCTACGAGAAGATCGAAGAGGAGGAGGAGGAAATCTACGAGGTGATCAACGTGCACAAATTGAAATCTGCCACTCCTAATTTGCGGGTCATCAATTTGTATGGTATTAATTTCGTGGATGATAGCCATATCGATGCCTTCAGCTCCAATTGCATCCAGGTATATAAAATTTAGAGTAATTATTTCGCGTATAAAACACGCTTTGTTTTTGCAGTTGGAATGTTTGGCGGTGAATTATTGCAATAAAGTAACCGGTTCGACTTTAAAGACGCTGTTCCAGAGAAACCGAAGGTTGAAATGCTTGCTCATGAACGGAACTAGTAAGTAATCCGTTTGAGATGATTTTTAAGAAGTAATAATTGTTTCTCTAGATTTACAGAGCGAATATTTAATGCAAATAGACTGGGAGAAATGCCCGGTACAAGAGCTAGACATCACAGCGACCGATTTATCCACGGAATGCCTGCAGGATATCCTATCCAGGATACCGGCGTTGAAATTTTTGAGCGCCGGGCAGTTGAACGGGTTCAATGATTCGGTGTTGAAAACTTACATGGACTCGGGTAACGCTAGAAATCTGGTAAAAAATTAATTAAAGCGACTGTAAAACTCGCTCACTCGATCTTTTATAGGTCGCTTTAGATTTGGACAGCTCGGATAATCTTACTGAAGAGGCCATTTACAAATTCTTGTGCAAACACGGGCATCAGCTGCTGGGTTTAGGATTGTCGGGGATGACTCACATAACAGATTCTCTTTGGCAAACTATTTTACCGATATTAAACAACGCTCAGTAAGTAGTAAACTCGCATTGCTTCATTATTTTGCATCTATTTTTGGCAGGATTTTGGTAATGGGCACGCAAGAGCGCTTGGGAGTGAACATTTTAGTGGATCAACTGATGGATAGTATTTCGAGAAACTGCCCCAACGTGGAGCGCCTGGAATTGCGCTGGGATCCCGATAATTTGAGATTCTCGGATAAAAGCCAAAAAGCCATCGATACTCTGCGAGTGAAATGCCTAAAACTACGATGCTTGTGCCTCAGGTGATTTTTTTTAATTAACCACAAATTAAAATATAATAAGTTATTATTTTAGCGATGGGCGATACTACGAGGTGGTGAAAGCGAATTTCGAGAGAGCCGATAGAATGACGGTAGTAAGGACATTAACCAATTGCAGAATCTCCAATTACTACCTATTAACCAACTACAAGGATTTGATATTTAATTAATAAAAGAAACGCAGCGATTAAACTGAAAAAAAAAATCTTTTCTAATCGTAGGTATACAAATAAATATCGAGAAGTGTGTGATAATAACTAGAAAGGAATCGAATTATACTCGTATAAGAAACGATTGAATTGTTCTTACTGATTGGGTATAATTCAATTCCGATCGTAGAAAGTATTGTCGGAAAGAAATAAGAACTATACAAATCGAAATAGGTATTTACAATTATTAAACAAGTCAAATGTATTATACATATTATACATTAAAAAAGTGGGATGAGGGTCAATACCGTTGGAAATTAATTATACAAGAATCTAATTCGTTTGCTTTTCTCGAAATCCATTGACTAGCTAGAAAAACGAAATAATTTGCCAATTTTATAGAAATACAAGTAATGACCCCGCGGAATTTGCAATTTTTAAATTCCAACATTTCATAGCTCTTACAAAAAATAATATAGATACAAAAAAGAATTTAAAAATTCAATTCCTCCGTTTCTCCAACATATAAGCCCTTTATTGACTTTGAAAGAAAAATTAAACATATGTTAATTGTTTCAACATTCAACAACAAATAAATAATCACTAGCCAAAGTTGAAAAACCATTTACACATCCAATTTACAATGCATAGTAAAGCAGATGCGCGTGTAAAATTATACTAGGAAAATGAACCAAAAAAATTTATGGAGATCTTTACTTCCTGTAATAAAACCTAATTTAATAAAAAAAAATTATCTAATAAGAAAATAGAAATTTTCAGGAAACCCCATCAATCGTCCCAAATTCTATAGGATTCAGAAACAAAAATTGAATCAGTCAAACTAAAAAAATAAAAATAATTTCAAATAACCCGCTAAAAAAAACAAGTGTCAACAGAAACCACGGACGAATATTTCTAAGGTCTGGAAACAGCTATGCTTATGCATTAGAGAAATGTGTCCCGTTGTTTGAGTACTTTTTGAGCTTCACATTTGCGCCGCACCGTGGCGAACAATCGAAGGACCAACTTATCCCAGCCAATCAGCGTCGCGCTACATAAAATCGCGGTTGTAAGATGACAGTTCAAGCTGTCAAAATTTCAAAAATTATTTTTTTACATTTCGAGGTGAAAATGGAGAAATAAATTAACCGAAGATACGTGAGGCACGATGTTAACATTAAAATCATCGCTGATATAAGTATATTTTTATATTTTGTATATATTTTTAGTTTGAATGAAACCTTTTTTAATGCTAATTCTATATAATTCGCACGAATAAAAACCGGGGTCCTTTACAACATCGCCTCCTAGCGGCCGTTTTAAGAACTCTGTTTTATCCTCAAATAACGGGTCATTTTTTCGACCTGTTTCCAGACCTCAGAAATATAAGGCCGTGACATAAACAAATACCACTTCCACCTTACGTTTGACACATTAAGAACACCAATACTTACATCAAATAAATTTTTATTCATTTATGTACACTTAGAATAAATATTTTTTTTCCTCTTACTTTTACCTCATCTCAAAGTCAATTAACAGCCAACGTACGTTTGTTTGTTTGTTTTTTTTAACTAGTTAACATCGAGCTAATCCAGTTCGAAATTCTCATAAAAATTACCCTACATATCACAATCGTAAAACGACCCTATCACCTATCGAAATTACCGTCCTGCACCTCCTGCCGCTCCCCCTCCTCCCGCCTCTCGTCCGTATCGATCCCGTGCAGGATCTCGTGGCACAGCGGACACCTGTCCTGCACGTACAGCCACTTCCGCAGGCACACGCCGTGGAAGAAGTGCCTGCACCGCGTTATCTTCGCGCTCTGCATCTCCTGATAGCAGATGGCGCACACGTCGTCCAACAGCCTCAGCTGCTCCCTGTCCGCCTCCGGCAGGCTCTCGATCTTGTTGACGGCCGTGCGGCGCTTCATGAACACCGACCAGCCCGCCTTCGCGTCGCACCAGATGTTGAAGTACGCGTGTATGCACATCATGGCCGCCCGGATGGCGCTGCCGCTCTCGAACATCAGTATCCAGGCGCCGTTGAAGAAGAGGAAGATGCCGAAGCAGAACTCGACGGTGTTGCCGAACGCTCGAATGTAGTAGATGTAATCGTCCAGTTTCTCCCAGAACGTCTCGCGCCTCGCGTCGAGCAGGAACAACGAGTAGATCGCCAGCGATACAAACACTTTCACGATGACTTCTATACTGAACGCGGTCACTGCTAGTAACCAGGTGGAGGTTTCTTGCGTCTTCCACAAGAAGTACATGAGTAGAATAGGTAGGGCGACTAATACGGCGCTCACAAGGAGCGCGTGGAGGTGTTTCCTCACCGAAGGGTTGTGTGAAGCGCTCAGGCTCATCAACAGAGGATTCACTACATTATGGGTGAAGTGCAATAAAGCAGTAAACAGCAAACAGAAGTTCCTGCACAACCGTACGAACCTCACTTCGGGCTCTAACCCGGTCAAACCGGTCTGCAACGCCAGTATATAAAATACTATAGCGGATACAGTACCGAAATTCTTATCGTTCTCATCGTCGGTCAGTAAAATCCACTGGAAGAATTTCCCGATGTAATTGCATATGCACGAAACTATACTCGTTATGCCGAGTACAGCGGTCAGGGTATCACAACCGGTCACCATCAGATACTTAATCAATCTGAAATGGGGCGAGTTGCCGTCGTCAATCTCCCAGTAACCCGACAGGAAAAATATGCCGGCGTGTTCGATAACTCGCAGTATCCAAAACGTGCGCAGCACCTCCGGCACGTTCAATCTCAACCATTCGGACTCCACCAAAGCCGACATGCCAAAGTTCGATACAAAGTTCTTGGCTTGCAGGTACCCCGTGTAGACGGAGTGCAAGATGTGCACGATGGAATTGCACAAGACGAATTTGACGAGGGCCAAGGGCACCAGGGCCGCTATGATGGGCATGTGGCTGAGCAGGATGGGCGGCGTGGGCAACACAACGAGCACCGATGGAACTAAGAAGATCAACGGCAGAAGTCGCTGTATCACCGGGTTCCTCGGTCCGAGGTGGATGTTGGTGAATATCATCGCCAACAGAACCTGCAGTACGTAGTTCTGTATCACGTTGAAGAGATAGACTTTGTGCTGGATGAGCTGCTCGAGGTTCAACGACAGCACGTTTATGATGTTTAGGGTTCGGTTCTCGAAGTTCTCGAGATTCAACGCGGAGTTTATCGTGTTCACGTTGGTCCAGTAGGAGATTATTACCAGTCCGACTGACATCAAGTACATGTACACTACCATTAAGTGCTTCGTACTGAGAACGAACATGCAAATGGCGATAAAGCAACCTGCAACAGACAAAAGGAATTAGATTTTTTTACACACTCATACGCGACGTAATTGATATGCATATTCGGTTATCGTCAGGTGAAAGGATCAAGGTACGAGTAGCGATTCGTACTTTTATGTCATTGCGGGTCAACACGTTTCTATTTTTAATCGTATGCTAGATTGGGAAAGTACATAAAGCAATACCTAAAATTATCAACGGATTGAATGCAGGAAATAACATACATTATTTGGCTTTAACTAAGAAACAGTTTTAATCTTATTTACAAAATGTATGTAAACTTTTTATTGATAACGGGCTCACTGACTCTTGATAAATCTTGAGACTTTTTAATAAATCGATAGCGCTTTTCTACCACTATTTATTATTAAATACACGCAAGATTAATAAACATGTTTAGATGTTAAGTTAATCATAAATTTAGCAATTACCTGTTCATTTTTTAGTAACATTCTTATTGTGTATTTCATATATGAAATTTTAAACAGAATTAAATAAGACAAGGTCAAATGACAAATTAAGTGGTAACAATTAATGAAAATTATACACCAATTCCCACGTGAGAACATTACTTAATATTACACCGTAATACATGATAAATTAAAAAACTAGAACATGAATTATTAATGAATAATTCGATTGATTTTCCAACAATATAATGAGTATTTCGAATTCAATAAACCAGTTAAATAAATAAGTATTTATCGAGTTAAGTAGCTGGATGAACTACTGTAATAATGCAATGTTCAACGTAATTGTCAAACGTGTCCAAATAAATTTTTGATTAGTTTATTTACCGTAAAATGATATTTAGAGTAAGTGATGAAGTAAACTAAAAATAGGTTACATACTGACCTAAAATGCTAACCACTAGCCTTGCTACGGATAGTATGATATACCTCGAAACCAGCGGATCGAAAGGATGGCTATAAATTGTATTGTTACTATATTCATTTTCAATTTTGGAATATTTTTCCTCGTAACTTGACAAGTCATGTTGTGACAAATCCGTTAGACCAAATAATCCTATTTTTAATATTTCGTCGATGACGAACAGCGGCGGCACTCTCAGGACGACTTCCACGAATCCTAAAACTCTTCCTCGGAACGACATTTCATTGCAAGCACCGAAAAATTAACTTTTTAAAATAGATTAAAAGGGTGTTTTTATTGCGAGATCTTACAATTGACAAATGAAACGTCATCGACGACTTTGACGTTTCTAATACTCCAGTCGGTAAAGCAGAAAACTGTCATTTGTGTCATCTGCTATCTATCGGAAGTTTTGTGTTTTAAATATAATAGTCTACTGTAAATTTATAAAGGTTTGTTGATTTTAGTTCAACTTTAATATTAGTAGATGGGGAGACATGTTACATTACAATGGTTTTCAATTTTATTATGGGTCTTGCGATTACTGATTAAATTTTGTTTTTTTTTTGAAGAAGTATTAATTGATTTATGTCATTGTCATTTGTCAATGTTAATATTTGTGTTAATGACATAATAACAGATGTGTTACTGATTAAATTTATTGAAAGGTACCATAATATAGATTTTGATAAATTTTTGATAATTTTGTAATCTTTCAACGGTCAAAAATCCGCAATTTTACCATTTTAAAATCGACCCTCAGTTATGAATATGACATATATCATTGTCATTTGTCAAAAATGAGTTAAAATGACAATGTACTTCGGATTAAATTTATTGAAGAGTATCCAAAATATGTATTTTTGATAAATTATTGATAACTTTATACATTTTAATGGTTAAAACTCCGCAATTGTACCATATTAAATTCGACGCTCGGTTATGAATAGCCTCTTTAATAAACGTCAAACGTCCACGAGCCGCCTACTCGTTTCCATCTCTTGAAATTATTAATGATTGTACAATCGCGAGCGTGAAGAACTAAAAAGCCCAAAAGCCACCGAAATGAAAACGAAACAGAAAAAAAAATTAACCGACTTAGCGTTTAAGTTAAAGGGAATATTTCAGTTACGCTGATAAATTCGTTATTTTGACGTGCAGCGGTGTTACGCTATTAGCTAAAGACTCACTAATGATCCTAAAGCGTTGGCATATTAGTGTTTTTAGAGGCACATGTGCGACAGGATGATATTTTTAGGCGCATTCCGACATATAGACCACTTTTCTTAGGTTAAACGATGCCGGGTTTTTTTATTAAAAACCTTCCATTATTCATAATTAAGTGAGTTCTATAACTTACCGAGTGGATTTTGAGAGCTTTGATTGATTTTTTGTAGCAATCGAGATCAACTTCCAATCGCGCCAACTGCTATCTGTCCGATTATATGTATATTTATTAGAAATTCAACATAAATAACCTATTAGCAAGGTATTTTTTTATATAGGAAATTTATGGCGCGTATAGGAATCTCCGAAATCGGCGAGATTAAACGGTTTTATAAGAGATTAAGTAAATTCGGCGAAAGGCCTTCTGACAGGGAGCGTATCAGACCATTAATGCCGACCTATCTTAATAGACCAACAATGAACTAAACAGTTGAAGTGGTTGGTAACAAATGAAGATTAATGTTCGTGCGTATTCCCATGGGCGAGCGAGAGAGAGTTTAGATTCCATGGGCCCGTGGATATTTCGAACGGCCGCTGCCCATTTATTCTAAATTTTTGACAGTTTTTTCGCTTCTCGCTGCGCCTTTCAGCCCGCTCAATTGTCGATAGTCTTGAATGAATCGATTCAACGAACGTGAAACTATATTATTTATACTTCTCCGTTTTTATGATGACTTTATTTTTTTTTTCTTCTATATCTGCTCATTGTCGAAAGCGTAGAAGTCGATCACATTGTGGAGCCGTTTGAGGTCGCATAAATTATGTTATTCGTTTATACAGACGTTTCTCGTCGACTAAAAGGGCATTGAAATGTTCGAGATTCGCTTGAATGAAGAACTATTTACCCGCAAGTGTCATAATGATGCTAAATATTGGGTAAACAGTGGTGTCGAACAAGAATTAGCAATGTACAGCGATTCTCCACCAAAATAATAGCCCTCTTTGAGTCTTACTTTTACCCTTATTAGAGTAGAGAGTAGAGTGTAAGGAGTAGAATGACTAGAGTATAGAGTGTAGAGAGTAGAGTGCAGATAGTATAAGAGGATGTACAGAGTAGGTAGTAGAAAGTAGGGAGTTGAGAGTAGAGACCACTTTTTGAAGTCTTCTTTCAAACAAACAATTTAAGAACGTTTGCAAAGAAAAAAAAAATGGTAAAATAACTTGACGCCCCTGTACTATAATGTCTTCATTAAATTTACATTCGGACCCTTCTGAGTGACCGAACTGATACGAGCAAAAGGCTGTGCATTGTATCGTTCTTCGGAATTCTAGTAAAATACAATTTTAATGGGTCCTAACAAATATCGTGCCTTTATAGTAGATGCCATTCAGGTATGTATTTGATCGCATAAATTTCGACGTGTCACCTTTTGTGAATGAATCGGTGAATTATTAACTTTCCTATATTCTCGACTATATCATCCCAAATTTCGAATTTATCCTCTATAGGAATCAAACACGAGTACCTATACATATCAGCCAAAATGGCGGCGTTCATACACGTCAACCCGTCATATTATATTTACACCGCTTACGATACGACTTCCTCGAAGTTTCATTGTCCTCGCGCCGATATAATTCAATGTCCGGTTCAATTTATATATAATAATGGAGCCCGTAATGTATAGCAACGGCATCGTTACAACTTTTTGTCATGATTAAAAGGGAAACAAAGCCTAACGGGCGCGACAATAACGCGAATAAGAAACAAAACGATAACAATGCGCACACCGAAGGAATCATCGCAGGAAAGGAAATCAGAGGTGTAGCTAACTGTATTAATTTTGTCCATATAACGAGCGCCTCGAATGATGGAAATTGAATAGTTTTATACCACAAATTTTTATGAATAAGAGACGACCAATAAACAATTCACCGAATAAAGCGTGTAATACAACAAATAAACGAAGTCGTCGAAATAAACGGGCTTCCGGATTCCCCTTAGTTACGTTCTGGCAGGCGTGCCAATCGAAGAGCAGTGCCGGCAACGTCGGCGATACTCGCAATTCGCAATTCCCCCGCCGACCGCATGACATATAATGGAAGATAAGCTCTTTGTGTAATAGTTCTATTGCATAATAGCCTCGCTACGAGTTGTTATCAGAAAATGACTCATAACAACTGACAGACGCGAACAGGAAATTGGAATAAGAAATTTTGGGGCGTAAAATGAAAGATAGTAGTCCTGTAATTTCCTACCATCTACCGTGGCCATTTGTAGTCTGGAGTCGAGTGGAGATGAAGTGAGAATAACCGGGAATCGCGCAGGAGCGCATCCAGGATACATCCTCCCACGTCATATTCGAAATTAATGTTGACGAAAGTTTGAACCAATTTCTCTACTCTTTACTCTCTACTTTATACTCTCTACAATCCAATCAATCCACTCTCTTATTCTCCTATTCTCCCTACTCCTTACTCTCTACTCCCTACTCTATTCTCTGTACTCCCTACTCTCCACTATCTCCGCTCTCTTCACTCTACTCTCTACTTACTCCTCTCTAATCTCCCACAAGTACATGAACAAATTGCCCCAAACCTCGTTAAAATTGACTCACCCTGTATAGACACTAACCAGATGCAATTAATATGAAACTAATTTTAGGAATATTTGTGGGATGTTGGTCCAGAGCCGCCTCTGCTGTTTTGAACGCCTCATCTCACTCTCGATTCGAGTGGAAAGTTGGAGGTTGGAGAATCGGGAGAGGAAGAGAGAGGAGGCGATGCCGGGGCGCGTGGATTCGCGCGAGACGGGAGACGGGAGGTTGTGAAAACGTTGATGTTTCTATTCACTCCAGCAGCGCGGTTTCACCTCCGTTCGTCGCGGTCCCCGTTTTTCGGGCAAATTGTTATAATATCGAAATTTACAATTTTCCAATTTTCTGGCGAATGTTACATGAATTCGGAATATATCGACCGCGCCTCGCATCGTAAAAATAACCGGCTTTAATTATACGAAACATTGTTTTCAGTTAGTTAGCTGTCCGATCGGCGATTTTAATTATAAATATCAATCATTCCGCGAAAAGAGATAAATTTTCATCGAAGGTTAGTTTATTTTATATACGATACGCGTCGATGTTAATTGATGGGTTTCAATGAATCCGGCCGAAGGAAGGCTAATAATAAAATCTGAAAACGTTCGATTAGAAAAATCGTTGAATTAATTCGGAATTCGCGATTTGATTGATCCTGTAAAAATCCAGAAAATTACCTTACCCGTTAAATTTGATCGTACTTCGTAAAAAGTGCTCGATAATTAGAAATAAAAATAAATCCTTATACATTTTTTTCGTGCCGTTCGATGGAGCTGTATAGCGGAATAAGGGCCGTTTACGTGAGAATTCCAGCGAAACGAGCACCATTTGCGGATACCCGACGCTTTAAATAAATAATTTAATTTTATCCTTGTAAGGATTATTCAAATTGCGAGTTGGAGAGGTCTTCAGAATCTCCTGCAAGACGCATCAAACCAACGGCACCAACGCATCGGCGTAGTGCTCCAACCAACGAAACCATTTAGACAAACTCCTAACAAGCATACTGGAAAAATCTTACCACAAATCAAAGAAACATCATTCTTCCATCTACATATCAAACATTTTTTTAACGTACTTAACGCTTGATTGTATCCCACACTTTTCTTCGAGCAATAGGCGACAGGATACGCTACTGGGAACCCGTCGAAGGCATGTCTCCGGACAAATCTATTGTTTCCACTTGGAAATCCAGCCAATAAATAACCAGCAAAGCAAAAGCTTATTTAAATAATTGACGGTCGTGTGATGGCACTGATCGACTTGCTCGATCCAACATCCACCTTTCCAGATGCTCGGCTTGAATATCTAATGTCGCCGGGGCGTTCCGGTCACGTTCGACAAAACGCCGAGCTTACTGCAATATTTAAATTAAGGACGATACGAGGATATGTTGGTGTATATCCCCGCCGCGAGAACAGGATGTACCTAACGAGGATAATATACGGTGTATAAAAGGATTGTTAGAATAGTGGAAATGTATAGTGAAATGTAATGCGTATAGCAACGCGATGTGCAGACATTTTTTTGTAATTTTTAGTATCTAAGATTGATATAATTGGTTGGTTATTGT